TTGATTAAAATGTTGTTTTCACCTTACTTAGTGGATTGGGACAAGCGGAGAACGGATTAGATCTGGGGGCTTAATTTGTTTTAAGGGGGTAAAAAAAAGATACATTATTGGATCTTTTCTCCAAATGCAATGTTGCAGTCTCCAAATGGACATCTGCGCTGACAAGAAAGCAACTGGGCAGCATGTCATTTGAGGAGAAGGCAGCACGGACGTACATGGGATTACAGAGAGAACACGGCAAAATGCTCCTTACAAGTCCTTTAACAAGATCTTAAAAGATACACGACATCGCTAAAATTTCCAACAAACAAATGTTCAACAGACTGCTTCCAGACGCTGGTTTGTCCATTCTGCACAAAGATGATAAGCTCAGAAATCCTCAGCTCAGTTCTTCCAACCAAGACCCAGGAGGGGTGGGAGTTGTGGGGGGAGTTTTGGAGTTGGGGAAAAAAAAACCTGGCTCAGTCACCCATACTCTCGCCTCTGAGTCAGTGTCCTGGAGTACTGCGCACCCGCCTGACTCAAGAACCAGATTAGAGACCATCACAGAGGGCAGACTCGATTCTGACATTCCGTTGTCAGGCACGTCAGGAGCAAGTTCAGGTTCGAGGAAACCCCACTTACCTCTCCTCCCATAAGGAGAGTCTCACTGACATGGCCAGTATTTGTCCTTGCGTATCTCTGTTCTAAGGTAGACGTTTCGGGTATATTTTATCCCCCTCCCTCCCGTGTCGGATATTTTTCCTCTTTGTTTATTGTCTCCCCTAGGAGGAGGCCTGGGATCAACAGCACCATGACTTCAGCTCAATCACAACACCAAGGGAAGTGAAACAGTAAATAGATAGTTAACAGGGAATGGAGGGGAGGAAAGAGGAAGGCAGGAGAATGGGACTAAGCAGATCTTTCTTCTGCGGAAACAGAACAGACTGTATGGGCCGAATGGCCTCCTTTCCTGTAAATAACAAAAATATTTTTTACATTTGAGACAGCGCCTATCACGTCAGGAGGAGGTTCGTAAGTGATGCAGCAGGCAGCCAATCTGCGCAAAGCAACCTCCTACAAATAACAACAACAACAACAAGATTCCATTTATTGAGCGCCTTTCACGTCGGGAGGACGTCCCAAGGCGCTGTACAGTTGGGTCAGGACCCGAGCAGGGAGGAAATGGTCAGGGTGAGGGGAGGGAAGGGAGGGAGCGAGGAGGGGGTAGAGAGTCGAGAGGGGAGCTGAAGGCACGGTCAAAGAGAAAGGTCTTGAGACCGGCCTTGAAGGAGGAAAGGGAGGAAGCAAGGCGAAGGCACTGGGGGATAGAGTTCCAGAGCCTAGGGGCTGAGAGGCTGAAGGCCCGGCCACCGATAGAAGGTGGTTGGGGCGGGGGATGTGGAGCAGACCGGAGCCAGAGGAACGGAGGGTACGGGCGGGTAGGTAGGGGGATAGTAGGTCGGAGAGGTAGGAGGGAGCAAGGCCGTGAATGGCCTTGTAGGTGAGGATGAGGATCTTGAATTCGATCCTCTGGGGGATGGGGAACCAGTGGAGGCGAGCGAGGGTGGGAGTGATGTGGTCCGAAGCCTGGTGCGGGACAGTACACGAGCTGCAGAGTTCTGAATGACCTGCAGCTTGTGGAGGGAGGTGCCGGGAAGGCCGGCGAGGAGAGAGTTCCCATAGTCCAGCCTTGAGGTGATAAAGGCGTGGACCAGAGTTTCAGCAGCGTGAGGGGTGAGGTAGTGCCGTAGTCCGGCGACATTCCGGAGGTGATGGAAGGCGGTGCCAGTTGTGGCGCGGATATGAGGGAGAAAGGACAGCTCAGGGTCGAACAGAACCCGAGGTTCCTGACTGGCTTTGAGAGGTGGAGAGTGCAGCCTTGGATGCTGATGCTGTCAGCGCCTGAGGTGCGGAGGCGCTGACGTGAGCCAATCAGGAGGGCCTCAGTTTTGCGCACATTGAGCTGAGAAAGTTATCTCTCGTCCAGGACTCGATGTCGGACAGGCAGCTGTCAGGACATCGGTGGTCGTGGAGTTGAGGGTAGAGGAGGAAAGGTAGAGTTGGGTGTCATCCGCATACATGTGGAAGTTAACCCCATGTCTGCGGATGATGTCACCAAGGGGGAGCATATAGAGGGTGAAGAGGAGGGGACCGAGGACAGAGCCTGAGGGACACCGCACGAGACAGTGCGGGGGCGGAGGAAAAACCATTTGTGGAGACAAAGTGAAGACGGTGGGAGAGGTACGACCTAAACCACTCAAGGACAGGGCCTTGAAGGTTTAGGTGGGAGGACAAGCGGTGGAGGAGGATAGCATGGTCGACCGTATCGAATGCTGCCGATAGGTCGAGGAGGACGAGGAGGCAGAGGGAGCCCTGGTCACAGATGGTCAGGATGTCATTGGTGACCTTGACCAGGGCAGTTTCTGTGCTATGGGCAGCACGGAAACCCGACTGAAGGGGTTCGAATAGTGAATGGTTGGAGAGGAAAGAGCGCAGCTGGGAGGCGACAACTCGTTCCAGGACCTTGGATAGGAAGGGGAGGTTGGAGATGGGCCGGTAGCTTGATAGCTGCGACGCATCAAGGGAGGGTTTTTTTAAGGTGGGAGTGATGGTGGCAGTTTTTAAGGGAATGGGAATAGAGCCAGAGGAGAGGGACAGGTTGACGATGTCTGTGATATGTGGGGCAAGGAGGTGGAGCTGGGAGATAAGGAGTGGAGTGGGGATGGGGTCAAGGGAGCAGGTGGTGGTTTCAGGGAGAGGATGAGTTTGGTGACAGAGGATGGGGAAACGGGTACGAAGGTGTGTAGGGGAGGATGGGTAGGAGTCGGAGTGTGGGAGGGAAGGGGTGGGTGGTGGGTGGATGTTGGAGGGGAAGTGACCGCGGAGCGGATTCCCTTGATCTTGGATTCAAGGAAATCCAGCATCTCCTCGCAGTGAAGGTTGGAGGAGATGACCTGCGCGGGGTGGCGGGGGGACGGAGGAGTTGGGATGTGGTAGAGAACAGTAGCCTGGGGTTGTCCTTCGCCTCCAGGATTATCCTGGAGTAGAAGGACGATTTGGCCGAGGCTAGAGTGGAGCGGTAGATTTTGAGGAGGTCCAGCCAGCCAGACAAACAGCCATGAAGTGAGTGAAAGATCTTATCTGGGGGATTATCGGCCAGGACACTGGGAAATAAATTTTGGGGGAAGGTAGGCAGGAGGGGTTATGTGGTCAACTGGATGTTCGATACATGCAAAAATCCATCAGTGTCCAAAGAGTCTCCAAACCAAACTACTTTGTAGCCCCCTCATGCAGCATCACTGTAGCTCAGTGGTTAAGAGTACTCGCTCCACAAGTGAGAGATCTGGGTACGATTCCCAGCAGGGCAAAACCTTGGGCAAGTTTCCTTATTCCACACGCCTGATAATAATCCCTCAAAAAGAAACAATTATGATTTGGTCACTCAATCCACGACTGTTTGTGGGATACTGCTGTGCGCAATTGGCTGCCGCATTTTGCCCACAAAATATACAGTCAATTCACTTTACAGTATATTCTTTGAGATGAAGGAAAAGGGCAAATTGAATGTCGTCAGAGCGAGAACAATCTGTAAAAGAACAGCAGAGTCTTTACAACATCCCTATCTGGGCCCAAATACTTGAGCACAGTCAGCACCTGGAATTCACTCATCCTAGACTTTTTTTTTTGCTTTAGAAAGACTGAACAACAACAACAATTCATTCAAACAATGCATTTAAAAGACTTTCACTTTGGGAAAAAGTTAGAAATGCAATTTGTTGTTGTTGTGCTCCATGCGGAGCGGAGGTTCTCCATGTAGAACACAACACTACATTTGTACAGTGCCTTTCACATTGGGAGGACGTCCCAAGGCGCTGGACAGGCAGACTTTCGGACCCAAGCTGGGGGTCGGGATTAGGGAGGGTGAAGGGCAGGTGGAGGAAGCAGGGAGATCGAAAGCACGGTTGACAAGGAGGATCTTGAGATGCAGGCAAGGGAGGGGGTGAGGTGAAGGGACTGCGGGATGGAGTTCTAGAAGGTGGGGGCAGAGTGGCAGAAGGCCCGCCAGCCAATATGGTGCAAGCCAGGCGGGTAATATGAAACAGGCTGGGGCTCGCTGAGCGGAGGGAGCAAACAGGATAGTAGGGGCTTAGGAGGTCGCAGAGGTAGGGGGCTTCAATGCCCTTCAAACCATGGAGGGCTTTGAAGGTGTGGACCAGGATCTTGAAATGTATCCTCTGTGTGATGGGAACCAGTGGAGTCAAGTGAGGATGGGGGTGCTAGGATCACAGAGCGGGAGAGGACATGGGCTGCAGAGTTCTGGATGATCTGCAGCCTATCGAGGGAGGAGTTGGGGAGGCTGACAAGCAAAGAGTTTGCATAGTCAAGCCTCGATGAAATGAAAATGTGTATGAGGGTTTCGGTGGCCTGTGGAGTGAGACAGCGGCAGAGCCGGTCCATGTTGCGGAGGGTGTGGAATGCAGAGCGGGTCATGGCGCAGATGTAGGGTAGAAAGGATAGTTGAGGGTCAAAAAAAAATCCCAAGGTTCTGGACTGGCTTAGTAAGGTGGAGTGTGCAACCATGTATGGTGATGCTGTCAGCACCTGAGGTGTGGAAGCTCTGACGGGAGCCATTCAGGAGAGCCTCGGTCTTGTTGACATTCAACTGAAGAAAATTAGCTCTCATCCAGGGCATGATGTCTGCCAGACATTCTGTCAGGACAGCAGTGGTCCTGGAGTCAAGGATGGAGGCAGCGAGTAGAGTTGGGTGTCATCCACAAACATGTGGAATTTGACCCAATGTCTTTGGATGATGTCACCAAGAGGGAGCATGTAGATATTGAAGAGGAGGGGACCAAGGACAGAGCCCTGAGGAAAGCCGTACAAGACTGTCTGGAGGCTAGAACAGAAACTGTTTGTGGAGATGAAGTGGAGGAAGTGTAAGAGGTACGATCTGAACCAGTCAAGGACAGAGCTGTGAAGGTTGAGGTCAAAGGAGAGATGGTGGATAAGGATAGAGTGGCTGACGGTGTCGAAGACAGCAGAGAGGACAAGGAGGCAGAGGGAGCCCTGATCGCAGATGAACAGAATGTCATTTGTCACTTTGACCAGGGCTGTTGCAGTGCTGTGGCGGGGCACAGAAACCTGATCGGAGGGGTTCGTGAATGGAGTGGTGGGAGAGGAAGGAGCGAAGCTGGGAATCAACAACTCATTCCAGGATCTTGGAGAGGAAAGGGAGGTTGGAGATGGGGCAGTAGTTTGAGAGTGTTTTTAATGGAGCCTCTCGGCTATACAGAAGGTAAGAGCAACTTTTCCCTCCTCGGGTTATCCAATCCACTCCAAGTAACCCTCGATCCATTCCGAGTGAGATTGGAGTCCAGGCTAATACCCCAGTGCAGTCCTGGGGAAGCACTGCATTATCAGAAGTGATGTCTTTCGGATGAAATGTTAAACTGAGGCCCTTCCTGTTCAGGCGGACGATAAAGATCCCACGGCGCTATTGAAAAAAAAGGGAGTTTCTCTCTCCCGGAGTCCCTGACAATAATCCCCCAGTTAAAATTGGTCACTCACACCATGGCTGTTTGTGGGACATTGCTATGTGCAAAATTGGCTGCCGGGTTCGCCTACAAAATACACAGTCACTACATGTTACAGTGTAATCTGGGAAGTGCTTTGAAACATATTGACATTGTAGATACCAAATCAAATGGAGGGATGATGATGACTGTTTTATTATTATTGTTGTAAATTGTTGAGTGAAGTTTGGTTGAATTTCTAACTGGCTGGATTGTCTTTCAGCGAAGACTTTGGTAAAACCTTTACTGACGTCTCTAAAGTCCTCAAAAACTATTATATTCGTAAAGAATTCGGCATTAATGTTGGCCCAGAAAATTCCAAAAAGGTATGTGCACAATTCAATACAACTTACATTGATGTAGTATCTCTCTGTATAGCTCTGTGGGGTTTGCGGAGGTTGCAGAGATAGGGCCGAGTTGAAACCGCAGAGGAATTTAATGATGCGGATCTTGAACCGGATTCTTTGGGGGACGGGAGCCAATGGAGCCAGGCGAGCATGGGGGTGATAAGCTCTAACATTGAATGGTGCACTGCCTGTTGACCCAGCCCTACAATCTTGTTACTTTGTGTCTGTAGGTAATTCTAACAGCTGATGTTTCGAAACTGAAAGCCGGCGGGGCGATATTCCGATCATCGGACTCTGGGGAGACGTTCGAGTTTATCAATCTTCCGTTCCATCCTTCCCAAGGCATGACTTTCCATCCCTCCAACCCATCCCAGCTGCTGGCCTACTGCATCAAGGTAAGCCAAACACGAACATAGACCAGTCTTTTGGGGCAGAAACTCTTGCCACTCAGCTCCTGTTAACCCTGCAAGCCAAAGCCCTAATGGGTAGGGTGGTCCTAGCTGGACAAGCAGTGGGAAAGCTTGCCAGACAGTGGCAAGCTGTGTGGTTTTAGCTGACTGGACACCAAGCTGGTTAATCCAACGCAGACTCTGTGCTCCCTAAGTCTTGGCTTGCCAACCTATACTAATAGTCTATGGAATTAGGTAAGCAGGATGCATCCCTCCAGGGAGAGATTGCACATCCTATTCCAAAAGATATCTCTGGAATTTCCATGTTTAGGTGGGATGCATGGAACTCAGAAATAAAAACAGAAGTCGCTGGGAGCACTTAGCAGGTTAGGCAGCATCTATGGAGAGAGAAAAGTGAGTTAACCTTTTGTTAGTTGAGTTCTGACGCAAGGTTATCGATCTGAATCGTTAACTTTTTCCTCTCTCCATCTGCCTGATCTGCTGAGTATTCTCAGCGACTTCTATTTTTATTTCAGATTTCCAGCATCTGTAGTATTTACCCTTTTGTATGGAATTTAGTTTGGTTTGGATACTCTTAAGCATGGTGATAGGTTTCTGCATGTGTCAGACACCCGGCTGACCCCCGAAAAACCAAAGACAAACACAGTGTTCAGCTCCTCGACTTTCCTTCTGAGTAATAAAATCCTTACAGGATTCACTGTAAAGTTGAGTGACTGTGTGGTTTCCAGGCAAATGTGGCAACCAATTTGCACACAGTAACATCTCAGATTTTATCCTCTCTCTTGTTCTCAGCATTCTTTGTGGCTTTCTCTAAACGTTGGAACAACGTGGAAAAAACTCGAGGAGTCTGTCTACACATTCTCATGGTAAATAGTGTTTCTGGATATCACTAGTAGTGCACTACATTTACAGTGAGCATGTGATGCATTTACAGTGAGGGTGTGATACATTTCCTAGTGGGTTGGTGTGCATTGATCAGATAGCAAATTAATATTATCTATTTTTCTCTGTGTGTCTCTCCTCTCCTGATAGGGGTCCAGGAAGCACAATCTTTTACTCTAACAATCCCAAAGGCATCTGTGAGTAAAGCTCTGTGATAGATACAAGTTCACTGTGAACCTCTCTCCAGTGTTACCCAGTTCATTCCCTGGCCACGTTTAATGATCAGAGTAAAACGTGGATCATAGATCCATGCCCTCGTACCTGCAAAAATCCATACAGGAGAATGCTGATGATATTTAAACTATCCTGCAGTCCAGGCTGTCGCCCCAGTGCAGTGCTGGGATAGCAATGCCAGTGCTGGGATAGCACTGCCCCAGTGCAGTGCTGGGATAGCAATGCATTGTCAAAGGCGCCATTTGTCAGATGAACAGTTAAACTGAAGTCCTGTCTGTGCACGTCAGGTGTCTCCCACCCCTTCCCGCATACAGAGTCTCCACAGTGCGGCACTCCAGGTCTATACTGTGTACCACACAGGTCTTTCTCTAAGAAAGTCTCTTTCTCTGCCTTTCTCATTGGGTACCCAAAACTTTCTTCAAACTCGTCACTTAGCTCGCCCCCAAATCGTCATTGAGACAGTTACCAAACACCCCCCCAACATCGCCGCCATCACCTTGGCGTTAACCTTCTCGGTATCTCCCCCCCCACCCCCAGCCAGTGACCGGTGTACTGTGTTGTTTAGATGATGTGAACGCCAGAGGAAACCTGCACCTGCAGAGGACGACTGACCTGGGCAAGTCCAACACCAAGCTCCACACCAACATCTACTCCTTTGGCTTTGCTGGGCAATTTCTCTTCTGTTCTGTTATTCATAATCAGGTAAGATAACTAGTCATCCTGGATAACTAGCGATAGCTGGTTTGTTAACAAATATTTGGATAGCTAGTTTTGGATGATAGTAATGGTAACTTCTGCAAAATAACTGATGATAGGTTAACTCATGGTAACTAGTGGTAGGATTACCAGTTTTGCTAAGATAACTAGTGGAGGGATAACTCTGTTTGCTGAATTACTAGTGGTTTGATAACCACTCTGCTAAAATAACTAAGTTCTGGGTAGCCATTGCTTCCTATCTAAATGCTCTGAGATGCTACCCTGTGTTAAGGGCCTATTTAAATACCAGCTATTGTTGAAGTCCTTATTTTTGTGCTGGTACACAAAGTCCTGTGAGCATTACTAGCTCTCGGGTAATGCTTGGTTTAGTGTCAGCCTGGCGTAGTGGCAGCACTCTTGCTTCTGGTCAGAGGATTGTGGATTCAAGCCCCATGTCGGGACTTGGAATGGCATAGTCTCAGCTGATGCTCTAGTACAGTGCTTGGGGAAGGCACCATCCTTTGGATGAGACGTTAAACTGAGCTCCCTGTCTGCGTCTGTTCAGGTGGACGTTAAGAATAATTGGAAAAGAGAAGGGTGAGAAGAGATGTGACCCAGTTGTCAGGAACAAACTGTGAAGCATAACTCGATGTGCTTGTTCTCCTCAGAGTCTCCCCAGGTCTATCCTCGTGTCTGTTGACCAGGGCGACACGTGGAATGAAGCTCAACTGCCTCCAGTTAGTCACGAACAGGTACAACATGGGTGGTCTGACCTTAGCTCCAGTGCTATTGCTCCTTGTGCTCCCGAACTCAGGGCTGATATCCAGCCAGCGGGGCCAAAGGGATTTCCTGGCCTTAACGCTCTGGTGTGGGATCCAATCCTGTTTCAGGAGAATCCCACTGGACTGGAGATGGGAGCCATTCCCAACAGCAAAATGTCCCAGTCACATTTCTAACTCTTTCCAGTAACCAGAGTCAGCTATAAGGATGTGGGGGGAAAGGGCAGGTCAATGGGACTGAAAGGATTGCTCTAAGGAAGCAGCAAAGACACGATGGCTGTAGATTTCTATGGTATTCTGATCTCTGAGTCAATCCTATTATGATGCTTTGATGTACTTCCTGTTTCTGTTTGTGAGACTCGCATTTCTTATCATACAAAAAAGCCTCTGAGAGTCTCTGAGTCAGAAAGTTGTGGGTTCAATCGAGCCTTGCGTTGGGGGTTTGAGCTCACAGTCCAGGCTGATGCTCCAGCCCATTACTGGGGGAGCACTGCATTGTCAGAGATGCTATCCTTCAAATGAGACATTAAACTGAGGTCCAATTGGGAGTTAAAGATCGCACAGTGTTGAAAAGAGAAGAGAGTTTCTCTCTTTTTGTGTCCTGGCCAATAATCACCCAGATAAAATTGGTCACTCCATTCATGGCTATTTGTAGGATGTTGCGGTATGTAAATCAATTGTCACGTCTGCCCACAAAATGCAAAATATGTGAGTATTTATGCGTGTTTGTGTGAGTGTGCATGTTGGGATGCTGGGGGGTGGTGTCTGTTTAGTGTGCGCATGTATTTGGTGTGTGTGTGTGGTGGGGGTAATGTTCAGCGTTTGTATGTATTTGGCGTGTGTTTTGCTTGTGATTTTGTGTGGCATATATGTATCTTACATGTGCAAGAAATCAAAGTTAAAGACAGTCTCACACAACTGCAGTGTCTGTTCTTTACAGTTCTACTCCATACTCGGGGCAGACAATGAGATGATTTTCATGCATGTGGATGAGCCGGGGAGTGAGTACAGTTACTTCAACGTCCCCTCGTGGCTCGCGTGACCTCCCCCCGGCCACGTGGCTCGCGTGAACCCCCCCACCTCGTGCTTCAACTGATCCCCTCATGCCTCGCGTGAACGCCCCCGCCTCACGTGACTCGTGCCTTGCGTGACACCCCCACCTCGTGCCTCGCGTGACCCCCCCTGCCTCGCGCCTCGCGTGCTCCCCGCTCGTGCCTCGCGTGCTCCCCGCTCATGCCTCATGTGATCCCCTCATGTTTTGTGCCTGCTCCCTTTCAGACACGGGCTTTGGTACCATCTACACGTCTGATGATCGTGGGATCCTCTTCTCTAAGTCTCTGGAGCGCCATCTGTTCGTGGATTCCAGTGGAGCCAATGATTTCACCAACGTGACATCCCTGCGGGGAGTCTACATCACCAATGTCCTGGACATAAGTAAACATATGCCCTCTGTTCCTCCACAGCATTGCTGGTAGCTACCCACTGCTCCTCTCGCACTAGCCTGCTTCATGTGCCCTCCCTGCCCTGTCCACCATTAGCGGCTGAGGTTTCAGCCATTCGGTCTCCAGTCTCTGCAACTCCATCTTGAAATCCTTCCACCTCATTCAATGTTTATCTCAGGACCATGCCTTTGCCCCTCTCCCCTCCCATCCCCACTCCCACTAAGCTCACACCCCCAGCTCAGGAGCACAGGTAGGACTGGTAGGCACATGGGAATGTCCTCCAGACATGAAAGACACTGTATAAATGTTAATTTGTGTTGCAGTCTCAAAGCGCTTCACAGGATTCATTAAAGCGTTTCATCCATAAAATATACGATCAATTCAAAATATGTGGTACATTCTGTGAAGCGATTTGAGACATCTCGAAGACGTGATCAAATGCAAGGATTATTATTAAAGTGTAGTGCCTGTATATTTTGTAAGCAAATGCGGTAGTCAATTGGCGCACAATGATGTCCCACAAATAACCATGAAATGAATGACCAACTTTATCTGGGGGATTGTTGGCCAGGACTGCATGCAAAAGAAAATCTCTTTTCTAATAGGGAGGATCTGTCTCTGGCTGGCTTTAGGGTTCACTACTGTCGGAGGAGCCGTCCTTCAAATAAGATGTTAACCTAAGATCCCATGTCTGTTCAGGTTGACATTAAAGATCCCAGGGCACTATCGGAAAAGCGAATGGAGTTCCTCTCTTCCAGTTTCCTACCCAAAATTTCCCAGATAAAATTGGTTCCTAATTTCATGGCTGTTTGTGGAACATCGCTGTGTGCAAATTGGCTGCCATGTTTGCCTAAGAAACACACAGTCACTACACTTTACAATCAACCAACAGGATGGTCAAGGGCACTGACTCTGACACCTGATAACCGAGGGGAACACGTGAATCTCATTTATTTCTATGTTTGTAACCAGAAGCTTGTTATTGCCCCTTTGCTGACAGACAACACTATCCGATCAGTGATCACCTTCGACAGTGGAGGGGAGTGGAGAGCGTTGAAGAGACCATCCAACAGTCAGTGTGACAAGACAGCCAAAAACCCGGAGCAGGTCAGTGTGAGTGAGAGAGTGTGCAAGAGAGTGTGAGAGAGAAAGAATGCGTGCAGTCCGAGCTGCAGTGTTCCCGATGCAGCATCAAAATGTTTCTAAGAGGAGTCGTGTCCTTGCCCAGCTCCCCTTCCAGGCAACTCTCTTGCAATTGTTAATTAATATTTGTATAAAGACATGTGTCCTGATCCCATCCTGACCCTTTGTCCTCTTATCTCAGTGTCTCGGAGTCCTCTACTTGCTCGATCCAATATAGTTTGCAGGGCTATGGGATTGAATTGGATAGCTTGTTTCAAAGACCCAGCACAGACACGATGGGCCGAATGGCCTCCTTCTGTGATATATAATTCTATGATTCTACAAGTAGGTTTTACAGCATTGGAGCCCCGGTTATCTAATGTTTAATAAATGTTGGTATCTTTTGGGCAATGTGATTCCCTGGGCGAGGTGGGAAGGACTCACGATGGTGGGATGTATAGGTCCTCATAAAGACCAGAAGACGTTTCCAAACACTTCATAGGATAGATTATAAAGTGCAGTGACTCCGTTTTGAAGGTGAAAGTAGCAACCGATTTGCACAAACTACTGTCCCACAAACAGCCATGAACTGAGTGACCAATTTTTTCTGGGGGATTGTCGCCCAGGACACCGAGAAAAAGAAACTCCTTTCTTTTTTCCAATAGAGCCAGAGGATCTTTTATGTCCACTTGAACAGACACACAGGGTCTTGGTTTAATCTTTCATCTGCAGGATGGCGTCTCCAAGAATGTGGAGCTCCCCCTAGCCCTGCACTGGAGCGTTAGCCTGGACCGTGAGCTCAAAGTCCCCGATGTGGGGCTCGAACTTCCATCCCTGATACCGAGTCTTTGTTTTTGTTTGCAGTGTAGTCTCCACATCCACTCCACCTACAGCATATCTCAGAAAGTGGACGTACCCGTTCCCCCACTCACTGCACCAAATGCAGTGGGCGTGGTGATCGCTCATGGTGAGTCTGGATTTTTGGGATGAGTGTGCGCATGTCACAAGGGGCATGGAATTGGATGTCCATAAAGCAATGTGCTGGAAGTTGAGCTTTTCTCCTCTTGTGACCTTCTAAAAACTGACCAATGCACCAGCTCCCACGCTCAGCAGGCACTGGCCTGCTCCATGGCCCCTGTCCGGCCTACTCCACCATCAGCGGTCGGACCTTCAGCCTTTCTGCCTCCACCCTCTGGATCTCCATCCTGGAACCCCTCCGCCTTGCCCCCTCCCTTCCCTCTTTCAAGATCCATTACAAGACTTTCCTATTCAACCATGCCTTAGTACATCTCCATCCTCCTTGCCCTCCACTCCTCTTGATTCCAGCCCCCAAATCAGGGGCAAAACCCTTGACTGTCCAGCACCTTGGCACCTCCTCCCGATGTGAAAGGCACTTCATAAATGTAATTTGTTGTTGTTGTTGTGACAGGCAGTGTTGGTGATGTCATCTCTACCTTGCTTCCTAATGTCTACGTGTCTGATGACGGAGGCTATACGTGGTGGAAAGCTCTGAATGGGCCTCACTATTATACTATGTTGGACTCTGGAGGGCTGATCGTGGCTTTGGAGTCTCACCCAGACAGGGCCGTACAGGTTATAAAGTACGTTATGTAACCAAGGTCTTAACCAAACATCTCACCGGTCTCCCCAGCTCCACCATTCACAAAGTTCAAAACTGATTCAAAACTCCACCCATGTCCTCACCCGCACCAAATTCCGCACCAAATTCCCTGTCATCCCAGTCCTTCCCAAGCTCCACTGGCTCCCTGTCACAGAACGGATCAAATTTCAAGATCCTCACACTGACAAACAAATCAATTCACGCCCTAGCAACCCCCTACCTCTCCGACCTGCTCATACTCCACTCTTCTACCCACTCTCTTTGCTTTGAGAGTTCCACATCTGCGTGAAATTTTTCCTCTAATTATCCTAATCCTCCTGGGTAATAGAGCAATGTTGACAATAGTCAGAACAGTCTGGCCCAAGGGAATGGTTTGTTGTTCCAAGAAATGCAAGTGAGGCACGTCAGCTCTTCAGTATTTGGAGAATAAACCCCCCAGTTTTAATGAACCAAAAGATGGATATTTCTGTCAAAATCCTTGGTCACTTCATTGGAGATGTTAGTATTCTCGGCTGGAACTCCTGGCTGGTGCTTGTTCAGTGTTAACATGTAAAAAATATGACGGAGCCTCTGACAATGAGCTTGTCCTTTACTCTTTTCCTCTTTTCAACGAAGATACTCGACAGATGAAGGTCAGTGCTGGCACAGCTACAACTTCACTAATGAGACCTTCATGTTTGTGGGGCTGGTGTCCGAGCCAGGGGCCAAGTCCATGAACGTGAGTCTGTGGGGCTATAAACAGGAGAATTTGTACAAAACCACGTGGCTTTCCTACACCATTGATTTCAACGAACTTCTGACCCGAGACTGTGAGTGGCATGATGTGCTGTGAAAGACTCTGTGTGCTATCGTGTTGTAAACACTTGTGGAGTTGTTACAGGCAAGACCTGGCATTGTGACAAAGCAAGCCAGCAATGTGACAGGCGAACAGGAATCTCTGTGTGTGTGTGTGTGTGTGTGTGTGTGTGGAGGGCAGGGGACCTCATTACACAGAAGCACATGTGTGTGTATGTGTTGCACCCTGTGATGCTACCCTGCATGAGGGGTGCTAGATACATGCAAGTTGTTGTTAGTGTGTGTGTCGGTGTTGAAAGTGTGTCCGTGTAACTGTGTGCGTGTATGTGTGATCGTTAATTCTCCAGGTTGGAACCACTCAGTTTAATTAGTGGCCAATGCTTCTTTGACACAACCTGGTACTGGTACAAGCTTTTCCTTACATCCCACAAAAATATACAGTCAATTCACTTTACAGTATATTCTGTGAAGCTCTTTGAGACATCTCACAGATGCGATAAGGCGCTAATGAAATGCAAGGATTATTATTATTATTATCCCCCCCGTTGTCCTCAGCTACATTCTTGCATGTGTCCAACCTGATTCACTACCAGATATTCTGAATTGCTGCTAAAAGCTCACTGTTCTGCTTTCCTCCCCCTGGTCTGCTCACTCCAATGCATCTATCCAATGCCAGATTCCCAATGTGCCCCCTCCCAACCCAAAAACGTTCAAGATCCCGTGGATTGGAAAAGAGAAGAGAGTTTCTCTCTCCCGGTGTCCTGGCTGACAATCCTCCAGATAAAATCAGTCAATCACTTCATGACTGTTTGTGGGATGTTGCTGTGCGCAAATTGCCTGCCGTGTTTGCCCACAAATGCAATCACCACAATTTACAGTAAATCCTGTAAAGCGTCCTCTTGACGTGAAAGGCACTATATCAAATGTAAGATTATTATTGTTATAAATCGTGCCGAGAAATAAATGAATCCTGCATGTTTTCTAATGAGATGAGAGGCTCTGTCACACATTGACCCCATTGTTTACTCTCACACACGTTGACCTCAATGGTCGTTCTCATACGGTAAATTATTCTCTTCCAGGTGACGAGCGAGATTATGTGTTGTGGCTGGCACATTCCACTGATTTTGGCAGTAGAACCGACGGTTGTATCTTGGGTTGTAAAGAAAGGTACCAGCGACTGGCAAAGTCCTCAGTGTGCCGGAATGGACGAGACTATGAGCTCAGTAAAGAGCAAGCTTTCTGCCAGTGCACTCTGGCCGATTATATGTGGTACGTCACAAGCCAAAGTCGCTATCCCCTCAAAGACATGGGGTTTTAGACAGGTTTTGACAGTAGATGTTTTTACATTCTGCAACATCTCACTGTTGCTGAGGCGCGGTATGTTGGTGGCGAATCAAACCTTGTAGGGAACCTTGGAAGGGGTGGATACTTAATCATAGTCATTTGTGTATATGATACAGCACCTTATCAGGTCATCAAGATGCCTCAAAGCGCTTTGGGGATTCATGGTAAAGTGTAGTGACTCTGTATTTGGTCAGTGAATGCATCAAGTTGCACAAAGCAATGTCCCACAAACAGCCATGGAATGAGAGACGGGTTTTATGTGGGGGATTGTTGGCCAGGACATCGGGAGAGAGAAACTCAATTCTCTTTTCCAATAGTGCCACAGGATCTCTAATATCCACCTGAACAGGAACAGATGGGACGTCAGCTTAACTAACAATGCAGCACTCCCCCAGCACTGCATTGGAGTGTGAGCAAAGAATATATGAGTTCCAAGTGCCAACGTGGGGATTGAACTGACAGCCTTCGGACTCAGAAGCGAGAGTGTAAAAAATATAGCAACTGCCTTTCAACAGCCTATCTTGTTCTGCTTTTGACCCTAGTGTTGTTGTTGCAGTGATTTTGGATATTATCGTGTGGGAAACGATGAAAAATGTGTGGAGCAATCTGATCTGAAAGACAAGGTACTCGAGTTCTGCTTGAAAGGGAAAGAGGAGTTACTCAATACACAAGGGTGAGTTATTCGAGATACAGTTTAATGCCTTCTTAACCAATATCGCCAACACACAGAAACACCTGTCATGCTCTGGGCAGACCACACCTTGAATACTACTTATGGCTCTGGTCACAACAACAACAAAATTACATTTATGAAGTGCCTTTCACATCGGTAGGACGTCCCATGGATTTGGACAGACAGAGTTACGGACTCAGGGTGGAGAGCAGGGACTGAAGCAAGGAGATCGAAAGCACAGTCTAAGAGGAAGGTTTTGAGACGGGTCTTGTAAGTGGCAAGGGAGGGGCCGAGGTGGAGGGATTGCAGGATGGAGTACCAGAGGGTGGGGGCAGGGTGGCGGAAGGCCCGCCTGCCAATGGTGGGACGGGCAAGGGTGATGCGAAGCAGGTCGGAGCCTGCTGAGCGGAGGGAGCAAACAGGATGGTAGGGGGTTAGGAGGTCACAGAGGTAGGGGGGAGCAAGACCGTGGAGGGCTTTGAAGGTGAGGACCAGGATCTTGAACTATATCCACTGTGTGATGGGAAGCCAGTGGATTTGGGCAAGGATGTGAGTGCTAGGGTTGTGGAGCCTAGTGCGGGAGAGGACATGGGCTGCAGAGTTCTGGATGATCTGTAGCCTGCAGAGAGAGGAGTTGGGGAGGCCAACAAGCAATAAGTTTGCATAATCGAGCCTAGATGTATTGAAGACATATATGAGGGTTTTGGCGGCCTGCGATGTGAGACAGTGGCAGAGCTGGGCGACGTTGCGGAGGTGGGGGAAGACAGAGCGGGTCATGGAGCAGATGTGGGGTAGAAAGGATAGTTGAGGGTCAAACAAGACCCCAAGGTTTGGGACTGGATTAGCAAGGTGGAGTGTGCAACCATGAATGGTGATGCTGTCAGCGCCTGAGGTGAGGAAGCGTTGACAGGAGCCAATCAGGAGAGCCTCGGTCTTGTTGACGTTCAAGTGGAGAAAGTTAGCTCTCAGACATTCAGTCAGGACAGCAGTGGTCCTGGAGTCGAGGGTGGAGGTAGAGAGGAGGAGTTGGGTGTCATCCGCATACATCTGGAAGTTGACCCATGTCTGTGGATGATATCACCAAGAGGGACCATATAGATATTGAAGAGGAGGGACCAAAGTCAGAGCCCTGAGGGACACTGCACGAGATGGTCTAGGGGCTCGAGGAGAAGCTGTTTGTGGAGATAAAGTGCAGGCGGTGTGACAGGTACGATCTGAACCAATAAAGGACAGCCATGAAGGTTGAGGTGAAAGGAGGGACGGTAGATGAGGATAGAGTGGGCGACAGTGTCGAAAACAGCAGAGAGATCAAGGAGGCTGAGGAGACAGAGGGAGCTCGGGTCGCAGAGGGACAGAATGTCATTTGTCATTTTGATCAGGGCTGTTTCTGTGCTGTGGGGGGCAAGGAAACCCTATTGGAGGGGTTCAAGAAGGGAGTGGCGGGAGAGGAAGGAGTGAAGCTGAGTAGCAACAACATGTTCTAGGACCTTGGAGAGGAAAGGGAGCTTGGCGATGGGGCCGGTAGTTAGGATAGGAGTGATGACAGCTGTTTTTAATGGGGTGGGAACAGTACCAGAGGACAGGGAGAGGTTTACGATGTCAGTGAGGGGGAAGGAGGTATAGCTGGGAGGTAAGGAGAGGGGTAGTCACTGGGACATAAGGGGGCTAACCAGGCCATAGAGGCAGTGCAGAGGAGAGCAATGAGGATGATACCCATTAGAGCTCAGTCCTTAGAGGATGAGCTGTGAGCAACAATTAAGTAAGCTAGGGCTCTTTAGTCTTGAGAGAATGTGACTAGAGGAAACCTTACAGAGGTGTATAACATTTTAAATGGGATTGAAATAGTAAACCCAGATCAATACTTTCAGATGCACTGAGGCAGTAGAACATTTTAGAGTTGTAAAGGGCAATTTCAGGACAGATAGCAGGAAGTTTTCTTTACCCAGAGGGTAATTAGCACCTGGAACAGGTTGTCAGGAAGGGTGGATGTAGCCAAGACACTGGGACTCATTTAAAAAGCAGCTTGATGCTGTGAAGGGGATGATGGCAGGGTGGCTCTTCTGGAATCCTCTTCATCAAATTAAATCTTGTGATGGTGCGGGAACTCTATTTAACATTTCTCTGAAGGACGGTACCTCTGACAATGCAACCTCCCAGCACTGGGCTGGTAAACCAATTTCTAAGCCCAATGTTCTAATGTGGGACCTGAACCCACGCCCTTCTGACCCACAGACAAGAGCACTAGCGGCCGAGCTGAAGCTGATCTTCCTAAGAATGAAGTGAAATACGGGGGACCCTGTTGTAATGTCCTTTGCTATAACATGGGTTCACTTTGACCTACTATTGCACCTTCCCCATTTCTACCTCTTGTGAAATTTGACAGACAACACTAATGTTTATTTTGCCTGCTCATTACTCAGATATCGGAAGATTCCTGGAGACAAGTGCGAAGGTGGTTTCAAGCCGACTCGCTCCGAAAGTGTCACAAATGTAAACTGTGAAGAATATTTGGCTTTGGAAGAGACAGTAAGTCATCTAATCTGCATGCCCCTTGTCCCCTCCACTCCACCATTGGCAGCCCTGCTTTCTAGCAATACATACAGTGGAACTCTCTGCCTCAATCCTTCCGATTGCCTTCTCTTTGCCCATCTTCAGACCGCACCTGAAGACTTTCCTTTTCAACAGTGCCTATGGTCACCTCCTCCTTCCCCCCGGCTCAGGGTCAGGCTCCGCAACTGTTAAGCGCTCGGTGGCGCTATCCCACATGAAGGCTGCTGTGTAAATGCAAGGTGTTTTTTCTGTTGTTGAATCTGGACTTTCCCCAACAACCCTTACTCCACTCCTCTCCCTTTGATTAATTAACCTCTACGTCCTCTGCCCTAATCCCCCCATCATCGGTGGTGCAGCTTTCCAATTCTACGCCTCTTGCCTCTGGAAATCCCTCCTTCGGCCCCACTGTCTTGTCCCCTCTCTCTATGTGTCCTAATACCTACCTCTTCAACTGCGCCTATGGTCACCTCCTTCCCCCATCTCAACTTACAGTCCAGGCATGCATTACAGTGCATTGCTGCATTTTCGAAGGTACTATCCTTCAGATGAGATGTTAAACCAAGGTCCCACCTATACATATTCAGGTGGATGTTAAAGATTTGATGGTGCTATTGGAAAAGACAAGGGTGTTTCTCCCAGTGTCCTGGTCGACAATCTCCCAGGTCACTTACAAATTGATCACTTACTTCACAATTCACATCCACAAAATATACAATCAATTCACTTTACAGTACATTCTGTGAAGTGCTTTAAGATGTCCTCCTGCCGAGAAAGGCATAAACCGCTCTCTAGCACTCCGATACGCTACCGATACCGTTAAATGCAGGTTGTTGTTGTATAAAATGCAAGGATTATTGTTATGATATTCGCACTCTCTATCGGGTTAAAGGTGAAAACTGCAAGTATTGTCACAAGTGGAATAGATTGTTGCTGGTTGACTCAGTCAGATTTTTTGATGGTGGATTTCTAGGCATCCAAGTCCTCTCTGGTCATCATTGTTCTCTGCTCGTTGGTCACGTCAGTGTTGATAATCGGAGGCATCGTCATAATTTTCAAGAAATATGTGTGCGGAGGGAGGTGAGTGGACCAGCACTGCCAGCCTCAATTGGTGCCTTGACCTCAACCTGATCACTGGGCCAGATCATGCCTGGGGCCTTTCACACTGTTTACAGCCATTATTGTGCTCTAAGATCAGCATGGCACAGTGGAAGCACTCTTGCTTCTGAATCAGATGGTTGAGGGTTCAAACTCCATGTCGGTACATAAAATCACATAGTCCTAGTTGACACTCCAATGCAGTGCTGATAGAGTTTTGAAATGTCGGAGGTGCCATCATTCAGATGAGACAATAATTCGAGGTCCCGTCTGGGGACCATTGGTGGACAGGCCTTCCCCACACTCTGGAACTCCATCCCTCAGTTTCTCCGCCTTTCCCCCTCCCTTCAAGACCCATCTCAAGACCTTCCTCTTCGACTGTGCTTTCGATCACCCTGCTTCCCCCCTGCCCTCCACCCTCCCCAAATCTGACCCTCAGCTCAGGCCCGAAACACTGACTGTCTAGCGCCTTGGGATGTCCTCCCGACATGAAAAGTGCTATACAAATATAATTTTCTTGTTGTTGCTGCATTTGACTCACAAAATATACAGTCGCTATGCTTTATAATGAATCCTTTAAGCGCTTTGAGACATCTTGAAACGTGATAAGGCACTATATCAATGCAAGGAATATTATTAATGTTATTAAGATCTGTGGGTTAAAGATATAGGAAAGTGTGACTTGCCCCAAAAATTAAAACACAAAGCTTCATACAATGCGGTCCTGGGGAATGCAGGTTCAGTTGTAATGCGTTTGAGATGCGCATTTACTGCACAGGTGCCGCTCGTTCCCCTCGCACGCTCGACCGCCTGCTTCAAAGGTCAACGTCAGGGTCAACGTCAGGGTCCCTAGGTCACATAGACATCACTTCTTGTGCACCACGCAGCATACAGGAAGTAATGTCAGTGGTGACCTATTGACCCAAAAGGAGGTCATTCCCCCTCTTGCCTCACGCTCTCCCCTCACTGTGGTGTCTTTTCTAGGAGTCTTGTTTACCGTTACTCAGTTCTGCAAAGTAACAATGATGAGGTGTGCATCGCTGATGATCTGGACAGCAGAAGGTCAAACACAGAAAGAGTTTATCATGATGATTCCGATGTTGTGAGTAACCTCGTGTGACTTAGTGTTTGTGTTGGCCCCGTTCAGTGTGTGTCGGCCCGGCTCAGTGTGTGTCGGCCCGGCACAGAAAGTTGTGGGTTCAAAGCCTGGCTGGCTTTGACACTGCAATGTCAGATGAGTGTTAAATGGGACGTTCACATGAGACGTTAAACCAAGAACCCATCTGTGCCTGTTCAGGTGGACGTTAAAGATCCCATGATTCTATTCAAAAAAGACAAGGGAGTTTCTCACTCTCGATGTCCTGACCAACAATCCCCCAGGTAAATAATAATATTAATTTGGTCACTCAAACCAGGACAGTTTGAGGGACACTGCCGTGCACAATTGGCTGCTATTATTCGCTCACAAAATATACAGTCAATTCTCTTTGCAGTATATTCTGTGAAGTGCTTTGAGACGTCTTGAAGACGTGATAAGGCACTATATCAATTGCAAGAATTATTATTATAAAATTGCTCACTCATTCCATGACTGTTTGTGGGATCTCTGTTTGTGGAGTCCTGTAGCTCAGTGGTTAGAGCGCTCGCTTTGCAAGCGAGAGACCTGAGTTCAATTCCAGGCAGGGCGAAACCTTGGGCAAGTTTCCTTACTCCACACGCCTCATAATAATCCCTCCAAAACCAAAAACAATAATAAATTGGTCATTTTCAACTTACGACTGTTTGTGGGACATTACTGTGCGCAATTGGCTGCCGCGTTCGCCCACAAATATACAGTCAATTCACTTTACAGTGTGTTCTGTGCAGCTCTTTGGGACATCCTCCTGACGTGAAAAGTGCTATATCAAATGCAAGGATTATTATTATTATTATTATTATTATCTTGCTGTGCAAAATTGGGCTGCCACAAAAAGCCGCAAAATGCACAGTCATTAATTACACTTTACAGTGTATCCTGTGGAGTTCTTTCAGATGTCCTCCTGATGTGAAAGGCAGAATAACTGACTGCTGTGTATGGGAATTGAGCAGGGTGGCTTGCACTGAGAGTCAGCATGGCCTCTGTTGTGTGTCTATTTCTAAGGTTTGTCACAAGAGACACTTGTTATAAAAGTTAAATATTCTGTGTTTTTTTTTCCCCCTCCCTAGGATCTACTTGACTGAGCCATTAATGGGCTAAATTTCGCACCAGCAAGCAATCAGTTGCCAAACTGCAAACTGGTTTGTTTATCAAGTGCAACCTCTTGCAAACCAATCCTCGTGCAAGAGTTCTTGTTCAAAACAATCCTCAGGCAAAATAGTCCTCGTGCAAAACAGCCCTCGTGCAAAAACAGCCCTTGTGCAAAAAAGCCCTATGCAAAAACAGCCCTATGTGGAAATACTCCTCATGCACAGACATCAGAGACTCTTCTTCCTCACACACTCCGCAGTTTTTTTTATGACATTTATCTGTGCAAATCTAAATGTCTTAATGTCCCGATAATTAAAAGGTCCAAACATCCTTTGTTTCTAAGTCAGCTGCCTTTCCTTATGTCGCTAAGCAGCAGGTGGTGGTGTGGAGAACGAGTACCGTCACCGAAACATGACGTGAACTTCTCTGTTACTGTGTCTGACTCGCTGCCTGCTTGCGGCACTCTCAAGATCCACTTCAGACTGGTGTGATTTCCAACCTAGAAACCGCATCACCTCAAAGCTATTATTTGTTTATTAGGAACAAATGCTTCTGATGTGGGCAAGAACGATGTCTATCCCTCTGTCCGTCTTTCCCTTCATCTGTCTGCTTGATCCTCTGGGTCTACCTGGCTCTGTGTGTCTGCCTGGCTCTGTGTGTCTACCTGGCTCTCTATGTCTCTTCACCTCAAGTCTGACCTTTTGGACCATGCTTTCGGTCACCATTTCCATCAGCTCAGGCACCCAGTCAGCAATGTGAATGAAGCCTTTGACACGTCCTCCCCATGTGAAAGATGCTGTGTAAATATGTGAGTGTCTGCTGGTGGAATGGTGTGAGACAGACAGTTTCTGTATTTTCACTCTAAATAAAATTTTGTCTGTGACTTGCTGGTGTGTGCGTCACTCTTTGCCTTGTGTGTCTGTGATAAAGAATAATGATTTTTTCCTTTATCTGCTTTATCCCTGACCCACAGGCAGAATCCACAAAGATTTCACTAGAATTCAACAATGCTGATTAGGCCACGCTGCCACTGCCCACATGAGCCTTCACAGAGACTGTCTCTGATCATCAGTGGGACCAGAGAACTATAGCACAACAACAGGCTGTTCAACCCAAACATAATCTGTGCCTAAGTGGGGTCTCTTTGGAGCCAGTTCAGTGACATGCCTGGCAATGGTATGTCAGAGTCGAGCCAGCTCTCTGTGGCGGTCTCGGTAGTCTGGTTCCTGAACCAGGTGGGGCCGCAGTATTCCAGGGCACTGCTGATGACAGCAGAGCCAGCCTGGCTCATCAGCAGGACCTGGAAGAGCAGACCAGTCACTGGGGGCAGGGAGTCATCTCACTCAGCTGCTGTTAACCCTGCAAGCCAAAGCTCTAACGGGTAGGGTGGTCCTAGCTGGACAAGCAGCGGGAAAGCTTGCCGGACAGCAATATCAATGGCAAGCTGTGCGGTTTTAGCTGGTTAGACTCCAGCAGTACCCCCAACACACACTCTGGCGTCCTCAAGCCTTGGCTCTTGCCAACCTGCACCTAATACTTTGCGGTATTAGGTAAGCAGGCTGCATCTGTCCAGGGAGGACAGTGTTCAGTGTTTATATTCCACACAAGCCCCCATCTCTCTATTCCCCTCTCCTCCATCCTCTATTCCATTCCCCTTTCCTATACTCCTCTTTCCCCTTTCCTACACCCTTCTACCTGCCTCTCATATACCCCTGTATTCCCCTCTCTAATACCCCTCTATTTCCCTCTCCTACAACTATCTACTCCCCTCCTCAACACCTTCTATTTCCCTCTCATACACCACCCTATTCCCCTCTCCTACACCCCTTTATTCCCCTCTCCTAAATCCTTCTATTCCCCTCTCCTACACCCCTCTATTCCCCACTTCATCACATCTGTATCAAATTTTCTTTTAAATTTATGCTTTTTGCTTCAACCACAGCTTCCGGCATTGAGTCCTGCATTTCCACAACCTCTATGTGAAACAGTTACTCCTAAACTCCCCCATTAGATCTGTTATTGGATAAAGATAATATAGACGCAAATGTGTTGTTGTGCCTTCTTTTGGGCCTCACCACCAAGTGGAAAAAAGCCTATTAACCTTATCACACAGAGACAATGGTAAGTTAAGTTTGAAATCTCTTTAATGGAAGGTGGTCTGACACTGTGACTCTCACTTCCACTGTCCACAATCCACTAGAGCTAAGCTTAGTCCAGTTTACAGTCTGCACATCCCCCAGCTGTTGCGAAACGCTGAATGTGCCTCTGGTGATTGTGAAACGTCAGCCTCTCAGAGTCACGTCAGAGACACGGTAAGGAAAGTGAGAGGAGGAGTCAGCAGTGAGCAGAGCAAGCGATCCCTGAAATCACATTCTTTCGGGAATTCCAGCCAACAAGATTCGGGACATCCAGAGTGAGTACACTAAATGCTGTTGTGTTGGTCTGACGCCAGAGCTCGCTTGCTGACGCTCTCTCTCTTTTTCAGTCGATCAGACTCCTACTTACACAGGGATTGACTGTTCTGTCTGTGTTAACTACTGCACCTTCTCAGTAGGTCAGCTGGGCTCAGCCGCAGAAACAACAACCGGGATAGGGACAAACACGGAAGATCTGATCCTGTGAGGATCGCAGTACGGCTGATCTCAACCCATTTGATCTCATCGTTCCAGGATCCTAGCCGACCAACCCACAACATTGTGTTGCAGTAAACTCTCCCCTCTTTGTGTCTGTTCAGTTTTTAGCACATTCTTTACAGGTAAGCAATAATTTGTTATTAATATAGCGCCTTTTGGTTAATTAATTCCTATTTTTTCCCTTGAAAAATAGTCAATCATTTGTTTCTGCCGAAAATGAAGTGCTCAAATCATTAACTCTCTCACTGCCATTTCTCTGCTTTTCACCTGCCCCAAACTCATCTTTAAATTATATTTTCCTCACATGTATGCTTGCTCCAAACTTCCAAAACTCAAGAAACTCATAAGTTTATAACACAAAATTATCAAATGTTCTGATGAATTAAGTGAAAACTGGCAAGTTAAATTGTGACATTATTGCAGGTGGAACCATGTAACCACCTATAACCACGATGGCTGAGGGTCCAAATATTAAACATCTATTAACAGGGCATGAAGAAAAAGCTGACACAGGCATGTTGAGAATTCCTTCAGATTAGATGTTAAACTGAGGTCATGTCTGTGCCTATCCAGGTGGATGTTAAAATTCCCACAGCAATATCAAGGAAAAAAAAGGGAGTTTCTCTCTCCCGGTGTCCAAACCAACAATCCCCAAGATAAAATCGGTCAGTCACTTCATGGCTGTTCACTGTATGTTACTATACGCAAATTCGTTGCCACATTCGCCCACAAAACACACAATCATTACACTTTACAGTAAATCCGGTCAGATGTCCTACTGACACAAAAGGACATCTGACAGGATTTACTGTAAAAACATCTGACAGGATTTACCCTAATGATAATAATCCTTGCATCAAATGCAAGAATTATATTTATTAGAAATCATATCTTGGATTACTGTCTGACGTAAATATTTTCTTTAATTTTTTTCTGCAGATATTCATCTTCAGCACAAAGTTTGTCTCCGAGCAGATGTGAGAGGTGAGTGGTGAATAGTCTGCCCTCAGCACTCTCACTGTGGGACCTTCACATGAGCTCAAATGACTCCTCAATGGACATTATGAAGCATGAACTGCAGAGCAGAGGTGGTCTCAATCACTTGCACTCTCAACTCTAAATTGGAAGGTTGTGGGATTAAGTGCAGTGCTTGGGGGAGTATCACATTGTCAGAGGTGTGGTCCTCCGATGATACGTTAACTGAATTGTTTGCTTGTTAAGGTTTTGCCCACAAAACACACTCTTTACAGTACAGTATGTCTTTTGAAGCACTTTGAGACGTCGCAATGACATGATAAATCAATTTGATACAATGCTGTATCAAATAAGGTAGACATTAAAGATCCCACGACGCTATTGGAAAAGAGAAGTGTTTCTCTCTCCCGGTGTCCTCGCTGACAATCCCTAAGAGAAAATCAATCATTTACTTCATGGTTGTTTGTGGGACGTTGCTGTGCATTCACAAATCAGTCACTTTCCTTTCCTTGAGACATTTTGACGATGTGTTAAGTGTTATATCAAATCCAATAATAATATTATTAATAATAATAATTATTATTGGATTTGATACAACGTCTTATCACATTGTCGAGACATCGCAAAGCGCTTCACAGGATTTTACTTTAAAGTGAAGCGATCGTGTGTGTGTTGTGTGAACACGGCAGCCAATTTGTGCACAGTGACATCCCAGAATCCAAGGATTCATTTTGATCTGATTCAAATTATTATTACAGAGTGTGGCTGAAGAAACATGATGAGGAGCTCGAAACACTGCAGATCGGTGGCTTGCTCAGAGATAAAGGGGGGACATCAGTGGTCAGTGGGGTGGCGGGAATCGGGAAGAGCACCATGGTGAGAAAGATAGTCCACGACTGGGTCTCAGGGAGTAGATATGCCCAGTTTCACTTTGTCTTCTGGTTCACGTTCCAAGACTTGAATACCATTGAGGGGAAAATGAGCTTGAGCACCATGGTCCACAATTCCTATCCTCACTTTGGGAAGAAGCTTGAGGACGTGTGGGATTCCCCAGAGAGCCTTCTCTTCATCTTGGATGGGTTGGATCAGTTCAAGGTGAAGGTTGATTTCAGAGACGAAGAGAGAAGCGCAGGCTCTGAGCCTCGTTGCCTTGATCCTGAGAGAGGCTGTGAGGTGGCTGACATTGTACGTTGTCTAGTGCGGGGAACGATGCTGAAAGGCTGCTCGGTGCTGCTCACAAGCCGACCAGAAGCCCTGGAGACTCTGCGTCAGGCACAGCTTGACCTGTGGACAGACATCTTCTTTGACGAAAACAGTGAGGATTATGTGAGGTGCTGTTTCAACGATGAGAAATCAGTGGCATTGAAACGGGCGAAGGAGACTGACATCTCTACACGATGGGCTTTGATCCATCTGGAGACCGGACGATCTCCAAATCACTGGCTCCTGTCTTTACCCCACTGGAGGGCAATCCCCAGCTCCCACAAACAACCACACAGCTGTTTTCAAATTTCATTTGCAATGTCTTAAAAGATGGCCGATGTCTCGGAGGGAAAGAGGCTGCGCGGGAGGCCTTGCTCCAAACTGGGAGGGCAGTGTACGAAGCGGGGTGGAAGCCGTGCACCGTCTTCACTGAGGACCACTGGGACCTCATCTCAGGGCTTCTGATGAAGATCCTTGAGATGGATGAGGGGGCAGAGAGCTGTGTGTATACCCTCCATCGCCTCGCTTTCCGGGAATATTTGGCTGCACTTGGTCAGTACCTGACCTCAGACCCATCAGAGGTAGCGGCGCTCCTGGATCAAGCGAGCTCGGACTGTTCATTCCACCCCTTTATCCATTTCCTTATTGGCCTCAGCGCCCACATGTCGAGATGGCTTGAGGACTTGGTAGGTCCACTTTGTCCAGAGACGTCCTCCCAGGTCTCTGCCTGGCTGAGGAAAGAGTTGGAGACAAGGTCCCATCACCTGGATGATGTGAGCAGCAAGAGGGATCTGATGGACTTGTTCCACTCTCTGTCTGAGAGTCAGGATGTGGAGCTGATGCGGCAAACAATGAGGTCCATAGAAGCCCTGAACTTTGGGGACACATACCCGGAGGAAGCCCTGAGCCTGAGTGTGGTTGATTGCTTTGTGCTGGCGAGAATCATGGAGCCCTGTGACATCGTGGGAGAGATGTATTTCAGTAACTGCTCGGTACAAGCTGAAGGGATCCAGCGATTAGTCCCCATGCTTCACAAGTGCACAACCCTGAAGTATATCCTTCTATAATAATAACAATATTATATCCTATATATTCCAATATTACACATTCCACACTTTTCCCACTTTACAGCATTGATACTCAGTACTTGTGATTCAATCTCAAGTTTCTATGCCTTTAATAAATCCCTCACACCCTGTAGCCCTCCCACTGCGTACCAGTGTGGCTCAGTCAGTAGTACTTTCAACTTTGAGTCAGATGGTTGTGTATTCAAGTCTCCATGTTGGGGGACTTGGAACACATATAGTCCAGACTGAAGCTCCAGCACAGTGCTGGAAGGAGCATTGCATTGACAGAAGCACCTCCTTTGGATGAGACGTTAAACCAAAGTCCTGCCTGTGCCTGTTCAAGTGGACGTTAAAGATCTCACGGCACTATTGAAAAGAGAAGGAAGTTTCTCTTTCCTGGTGTCCTGGCTGACAATCCCCCAAATCAATCACTGTTGGCTGTTTGCAGGATGTTGCTGTGTGGAAACTGGCTGCCGCATCCCACTACAAAACAGTCATTACATTTTACATTAAATCCTGTGAGGAGTTTTCAGATGTCTCAATGACATTATAAGGCATTATATCAAATGCAAGGATTGTTATGATTCTGATTCTGTCTGTGTTCAGTTTGTGGGGCAATAACCTGGGAGACTCAGGAGTGAAGCGACTGTCTGCAGCTCTAAGGAACCCAGAGTGTCACATACAGAAACTGTGGTAAGTCACTCACTGTGTGAGGTTGTGGCAATCACTGGTTATAATAAACTCTGGAGCACACATTTCACTCTTCTGTTAAACCCTCAACAACAACTTACATTTATATAGCGCTGTAAAGAATTCAGACTAGACAAAAGCTAAAGTCTAATTCTATTTAATATAAAAAGCTCATAAGTCAGTTTCCCTGCTGGGCTCCACATCCAACCCGAGTAACAGCAACAGTAAAAGACGCGTAATGAAACAATACTACCAGATGACTGGAGGACTTCCCTTCTATGGTCAGCACGTTCACAGCTATTAACCCACGAACGAAGACAAGTCCAAAGTTCCAGTCTCACCCTTATTTATAATTAAGTGTCCCATTGTCCTCCATATAAAGTTCTTCTTCGCGCAGGACACAACCGCTTCCTGTTTCCCACTCATCCTTCTGCTTTGCACTCCGCACTGCGACCTTGCCTCTGTGGTTCAGACTCGGCTGCCCACATATCTTCCCACTCTTGTGTAGTCAAGGTCTCTGAATACCACATTCCTTCTCCATAATCAGCATCCCGTACCCTCCTTATTATTCATCAATCAATAAACTTACTCATAAGAGTGATAAGAGCTTTTACAATTAACATCTTACATCTGCTTTGATTGTATTTACTCACGGGACTGCTTTAACTACTATGGGATCATACAGCATATATTTTAAACATAACAGCGCCTTCACGTGTTGACTATGCTTCACGCTTGACTATGCTAACTCCTTGCTCGCCAGATTGCCAAACTCTTCCTTCCACGAGCTGCAGACCATTCAGAACTATGCAGCTTGTGTCCTCTCCTGCACCAAGCTCCATGAGTCGATCACTCCCATCCTCGTCAGGCTCCACTGGCTCCCCAATCCCCAGAGGATCAAGTTCAAGATCCTCATCTTCATCTTTGAAGCCCTCCATAGTCTTGTTTCTCCCTATCGCTGTGACCTTACTAACCCGCACGCTCCATCCATTCTCCATCCTACTTGCCCCACCATTTTAGTGGTGGGGCTTTCAGCCTTTCTGCCTCCACCTTTTGGAACTCCATTCTGAAGCCCTTCTGCCTCATCCCCTCCCTTGCCTCCTTGAAGGCCAGCCTCAAGACCTTCCTCTTTGTCAGCGCTTTCGGATATCCTTCCCCTCCCTCCCCACTCCACCACCACTCCCCATTAAAGGCGCTGTGTAAATGTAAATTGCGTTGTATTTCTTTGTGTCTCTCATGTCTAGTTTATCAAGTAACGGACTGACAGTTGCGTGTATTGAGGACCTCGTCTCTGCTCTCAGTGTAAACCAGTCACTGACTGAGCTGTTCCTGGATTATAATAACCTGGGAGACTCAGGAGTGAAGGGACTAGCTGTGGCTCTGAGGAACTCTGAGTGTAAAATACAGAATTTGGGGTAAGCAAGACTGTGAGATAGAGCACAAAGCACTCTGAACAGTAGTGATGGGAAGACATTAACAGTGGGAAATGGCTGTGAGTATTGATCATTGATTTCAAGCTCTTTGCACTCACCTACAAATCACTTCACACCCGACACCCTCCTTCCAACCTGTTCCCACTCCACTACCCACCCTGATGCTCGGCTGGCTCCAATCTCCAGCACTTCCCTTGACCTCTCCGATAATACAGGCATCCCCCCCAGCGCTGCACTGGAGAGTCAGCTTGGACTATATGGGTTCCAACTCCCAAATTGGGGCTTGAACCCACAACCTTCTGACTCAGAAGCAAAAGTGCTACCAACTGAGCCAACAACAAATCACATTTGTATAGCGCCTTTCACGTCCAGAGGACGTCCCAAGGCCCTGAACAATCAGTGTTTCAGACTCCAGCTGGGGGTGAGGGATCGGGAAGGGTGGAGGGCAGTGGGGGAAGGAGGGTGACTGAAGGCACAGTCGAACAGGAGGGTTTTGAAACAGATCTTAAGGAGGCAAGAGAGGGGGCGAGGCAGATGGACTGCGGAATGGAGAGGGTAGAGGCAGAGTGGCTGAAGGCCCGCCCGCCAATAGCGGAGCGGGTGAGGCGGGAGACATGAAGCAGGCTGGAGCCCGCTGAGTGGAATGAGCAGGCAGGTTGGTAGAGGGTTAGAAGGTTGTAGAGGTAGGGGGGAGCAAGCTGTTTCTGTGCTGTGGGCAGTATGGAAACTCAATGGAGGGCTTTGTGAAGGGAGTGGTGGGAGAAGAAGTAGCGAAGCTGGGAACCTCTCATACAGCCTCAACTTTGAATCCAGTTTTCTATAAGTTTCCTATAAATTCTACAGTGAAAGCAACTTGATAATTGAGACTGAATTAAAAGAATCCTTGAATCTGATACAGCACCTTACCACATCGTTGAGACGTCTCTAGTGCATTGGCATCTTTAACATCCATCCGAACAGGCAGACAGGAAACTCGATTTAACATCTCACCCGATGATGCAATACCAGCACTGCATTGGATTATCAGCTTAGACTGTATGATTCCAAGTCCTGGTAGCGTTCTCGTGTCTGAGTCAGAAGGTTGTGGGTTTGTGCCCCACGTCGGGAACTTTGAGCTCACAGTCTAGGCTGACGCTCCAGTGCAGTGCTGGGGGAAGCGCTGCATTGTCAGGGACTGTCAACCTACAGATCAGACACCGTCTGTGCCTGTTCAGGTGGACATTTAAGATTCTGTAGTGCTATCAGAAAAGAGAAGGGAGTTTCTCCTGGTATCCTGACAATATCCCAAATAAAATAAGTCATTCACTTCATGGCTGTTTGTGGGATATTGCTTTGCGCAAATTGGTCACAATTGCCTACAAACACAGACAATATACTTTACGGCATATTCTGTGAGGTGCTTTGTGAAGTCCCGAAATAACAACAACAAAATTACATTTTATAGCGCCTTTCACATCGGGAGGACGTCCCAAGGTGTATCAAATGCAAGCATTAATGATTAATTAATGCACTTTTATGTCTCTGATCTCCAGGTTGGAAGGTAACAATCTGACAGCTGACTGTATCGAGGATCTCGTCTCTGCTCTCGGTACCAACCTCTCACTGACTGAGCTGAACCTGAACAAAAATAACCTGGGAGACTTGGGTATGAAACAACTGTCTGTGGCTTTGAGGAATCCTGAGTGTAAAATACAGAAATTGAAGTAAGTAACACACTTTGTGAGGTAAGATTGTGCCAGTAACTGATTGTCGGAGATGCTGTCCTTTAGATGAGATGATAAACCGAGGTCCCGTCTGCCTGTTCAGGTGGACGTTAAAGACCCCATAGCGCTATTGGAAAAGTGAAGGGAGTTTCTCTCTCCTTGTGTCCTAGCCAACAACTCCGCAAATAAAACCAGTCATTCACTCCTTGGCTGTTTGTGGGGCATTGGTTGCTATGCGCAAATTGGCTGCTGTGTTAACCTACAAATTACACAGTCACTGCACTTTAAAGTATAACCTGTAAAGCGCTTTGGGACGTTCTCCTGAAATCAAAGGCAATGTATCAATTGTAAAATTCTTATCCTTAATAATTATTTTCATCAGCCTCGATGATATTGGTCTGACTGATGTTTGTATTGAAGATCTCAAATCCGCTCTCAGCTCAAACTGCTCCCTGGCCCACCTGTTACTGGGAATGAACTCCTTCACAGACGTGTCTGTGCCCCTTCTCAGCGCTCTCTTGCTGAGCTCCACTTATCTCGAGCGAATCTGGTGAGTGTTTGCCATTATAAGTATATGTAACTAAACAGATAAAAAGTGTGTTAGTTTATGAAGATGTTTCCATGTGTGAGTGAATCCAGCAAAAAACGGCCAAGTTAGAGCTTTTCTCTTTCAAGTTGATACGATTGAGAGGGGACCTGATCAAGCGGGTTAAAGATTATGAAAGGATTGGGTAAGGTGGGGGATGTTAATAGGCTGTTTCCACTTGTTGGTGAGTCTGTAATGAGAGGGTGTAAATATAAGATAATCAGTAACAGATCTATTTGGGATTTCAGGAGGATTTTCTTTACACAAGAGGGTGTGAGAGTGTGTAGTACACTGCCGGGAGCTGTGGTTAAAGCAAACAGCAGCAATTTATTTAAGCGAAAACTTGATACAGACACAAGTGAGAAGGGAATAGAGGGGTGTGTGGGGTGCGGGGAGAAGAATAGCGGGATGAAGGAGAGGGTAATAGAGGGATGTAGGAGAGGTGTAGGAGAGGGGTGCAGGAGGGGTAGTAGTTTTTGTAAACACTTGGCCTGTATCACTCTGTATAATAATTGAGTTTCAGTCAAGAGCTTCTGTGTATTAGGTGGTTCGGGAAATAATAAAACATATAAATGTTTATGATGTTGGTTTCTTTTCAGTTTTAACCTTTGACCTGTTTCAGGCTGAGCGAGCATAAGTTCAGTGCAGAAGGCGTGAAAAAACTGAAGTCACTACGGAAATCAAGGCAAGGACTGAGGGTTTATGTGTGATCACAGAGCGAGAGCAACTCTTAACACTGAACTATCATGCAGTTGTCCTTTATACACTTACAATATTTTGATGAATTCCTGTCATTTCATATCATTAAAGCAATTAATTATTTGAAATTATAAGTACAGTTTAGTTACTGTTAAATGTACATTATAATACTCTTCCATTCAGTGTACATTGGTAGCCTGGCTCAGTCACTCGCACTCTCGCTCTGAGTCAAGCAGTTATGGGTTGAAGTCCCACGTTGGGGACTTTGATCTCAGAACCTAGGCTGACTCTCCAGTGCAGTGCTAGAGGGAACGCTGCATTGTCAAGAGGTGCCGTCCTTCAGATGAGATGTTAAACTGAGGTCCCATCTGTGCCTGTTCAAGTGGACTTTAAAGTTCATTGAGAGCAGTGGCTGCTGCATTCACCCCAAAAATATTCAGTCACTACAACTTCAGAGTAAAAATTCTGTAAAGCACTTGGAGCTGTCTCGATCGTGTTGTATCAAATGCAAGGATTATTATTATTATCAAAAAGCTGTGTCACCGTGGACAGCGGACCATTTTAAAGCTGTGAGAAAATGCTCTCTTGATCCACTTTACTACTGTCAGGTGGCGCTGTAGGGCAGCTCAGTGGTTGCACCATTGCCCCCTGGTGGCCTCAACCACAAGGTGCGCCTTTCAAGTGTGACCCTGGGCGTCTCAGATACAGGTGTGAGACGATACAAAATTAGATTTGCATAGCGCCTTTCATGTCGGGAGGACATCCCAAGGCGTCCCATGGACACCGAGCAAGGCAGCAGCAGGAGGAGAGGTGACCATACGACACTCAGAGAACCAGGTGTTTAAATACCGATGGAGACAGAATAAGTCTTAAATTTTAACACATCAGGAGGATATATCAACAAGATTACATTTGTATAGCGCCTTTCACGTCGGGAGGACGTCCCAAGGCGCTGGACAGAGTACAGCATTTCAAACCCGAGCTGGGGTCAGGGGGAGGAGAAGGGAGGGGAGGGGAAGGGGGGTGTCCGATGGCATGGTCAAAGAGGAGGGTCTTGAGGCGGGACTTGAAGGAAGCTAAGGAGGGAGTAGAGGCAGAGTGACTGGGGGATGGAATTCCAGAGATTGGGGGCAGAGTGGCTGAAGGCTCTCCAGCCAATAGTGGGTTGGGGGATGTGGAGCAGGCCAGAGCGGAGTGAACGGGTGGGTTGGTAGGGGGTCAGGAAGTCGCAAAGGTAGGGTGGGGCGAGGCCATGGAGGGCTTTGTATGTGAGGACCAGGATCTTGAACTGGATCCTCTGAAGGATAGGGAGCAAATGGAATCGGGTGAGAGAGGGGAAGATGGGGTCACGGAGTTTGGTGCGGGAGAGGACATGGGCTGCAGAGTTCTGGTTATCTGCAGCCTGTGGAGGGAGGAGTTGGGAAGGCCGACAAGGAGGGTGTTTGCATAGTCGAGCCTGGAAGTGATGAAGGCATGAACAAGAGTTTGGGAGAGCAGACACTAAGATGCCTGCTGAGTAGCTTTACCTAAATGGTTTATATGTTGAACTTTAATAAAGCTCATTTATTTAGTATTACCTAAGTAACAGTACCAGTTAGTTATAAAGGGCGCTGACTTCATCTACAAACGCCCAAATACCAAACAAAATACTACCGTTCATTTAGTCATCTTCCGTCCTTCCCGCCCCCCCCCCCCACCCCCCCGATTGCCCTCCACCCTTGCAACTCACGTGCAAACCCCTCATTGCCCAGCGCCTTGGGAAATCCTCCCATCATGAAAGGCGCTTATATAAGTGCAATTTGTTGTTTTGGTGACCATCTATTAGTTTGGAATGGTATTTATTTTTTATGAAGTTCATGGTGGAAAAAGGACTGCTCACATGTGCACATATATCGAACATATATCGGTCGTGCAATTTAGGAAAATCACTCTTAGGGACGAATTTCCAAAACGATTTCAAGTCCTGGCTTACTGGAGAAGCACACAGCTCTTTGAATTTGCTATGTGGGCCTGAATGATTTTTAGGTTCCAAAATTTCCATCCGCATTTCTCGTAGATAATGTTCAACCCTGGTGTCTGAAAGAGAGAACGGGTTGGTGAAAAGTGCTATGTTGTCTTATGTCTTCCTTAACATCTTGAAAACGGGCATCAAAGGCATTAATTAGTGAAGAAATCACTTGCTGATATTTTTCAAAATTGATGATGACTTTGCTGACACTTTTTAACCGTTGCAAGTGAACAAATGATCCAGTCTGTTTTCCCGAGACAAAACATTCAAAAAAGGTTAAGTGTGGCCTTGAAAGTTGAAATTAAATTAGACAGAAAAAGAAAAAGACCATCCTGTCCTCGCAACCGTGCTTTGAGGTTGTTAAGATAACCGGTAGTGGTCGTTAGGAAAGCGAGGTCAGTGAGCCGGTCTTTGTCTTGATGGGAGTCTGCAGTCTTCGAGAAGTTCTCCCCTCTCCAAAAGTGGAAGCACTTTTCGTTTTACATTCCAAAATGTCTCGAGCGCCTTCCCCGTTGATAGCCAAGGAGCATTTCGTTGAAGGAGTAACTCCCCTTCCTCATTCGCGTCTTCATCAAACAAGTTGCAAAATTTCCGGCAGTTTAAGGCGTGTGCGCGAATTTTGCTTTATGCCACGCGCGGCGCCGCAGGAACAAATTACACACGAGCAGCCCAGGTCCCGGGCGCAAAGAGGAGCAATACAACAGCACTCGGATAACTTGTGTTCCAAAGACTTTTCCAACGAAGCGACGCAACTGGGGAGAGGGGAGGGGGGGGGGGGGTGGCCCCGGGGGTGGCCCGGGGGGGGGGGGGGGGTTGGTCACTACCGGTACTGATAATAATACCTGCATTTGATATGGGGCCTTATCACGTTCCTCGAGGCGTCTCAAAGCGCTTCAGGGAATATACTGTAAATATGTATATATGTTGTTGTGGGTGAAACGCAGCGGCCAATCACACGCCGCGGTGACCCTGAGTGACAGGCGCTGTCATGTGACGGGGGGCGGGGGAATAACCCGCATCACGCGGTCAGGTGACAGCGGCTCGAGCTCAGCTCGGCCATTGGTCGGCTCTCCGTCATGTGATCTTTGGTGACCCCCCCCCCGCCCCACGAAGGTCAACGCGGAGAGCGTGAGTGCGAACAGGAATGTGAGTGAGAGAGAAAGAGGGTGAGTGTGAGAGGGGGTGAGTGAGAGAGGGGGTGAGTGTGTGTATGAGAGAGGGGGTGAGTGTGTGTGTGTGAGAGGGGGTGAGTGTGAGTGTGTGTGAGAGGGGGTGAGTGTGTGTGTGTGTGAGAGGGGGTGAGTGTGTGTGTGTGTGAGAGGGGGTGAGTGTGTGTGTGAGAGGGGGGTGAGTGTGTGTGTGTGAGAGGGGGTGAGTGTGTGTGTGAGAGAGGGGGTGAGTGTGTGTGTGTGTGAGAGGGGGTGAGTGTGTGTGAGAGGGGTAAGTGTGTGTGTGTGTGTGTGTGTGTGTGTGAGAGGGGGTGAGTGTGTGTGTGTGTGAGAGGGGGTGAGTGTGTGTGAGAGAGGGGGTGAGTGTGGTGTGTGTGAGAGGGGGTGAGTGTGAGTGTGTGTGAGAGGGGGTGAGTGTGTGTGTGTGTGAGAGGGGGTGAGTGTGTGTGTGAGAGAGGGGGTGAGTGTGTGTGTGTGTGTGAGAGGGGGTGAGTGTGTGTGTGTGTGAGAGGGGGTGAGTGTGTGTGTGTGTGAGAGGGGGTGAGTGTGTGTGTGTGTGAGAGGGGGTGAGTGTGTGTGTGTGTGAGAGGGGGTGAGTGTGTGTGTGTGAGAGGGGGTGAGTGTGTGTGTGTGAGAGGGGGTGAGTGTGTGTGTGTGAGAGGGGGTGAGTGTGTGTGTGAGAGGGGGTGAGTGTGTGTGTGAGAGGGTGTGTGTGTGAGAGGGGGTGAGTGTGTGTGTGTGAGAGGGGGTGAGTGTGTGTGTGTGAGAGGGGGTGAGTGTGTGTGTGTGAGAGGGGGTGAGTGTGTGTGAGAGGGGGTGAGTGTGTGTGTGAGAGAGAGTGAGTGTGTGTGTGGAGAGGGGGTGAGTGTGGTGTGAGAGGGGGTGAGTGTGTGTGAGAGGGGGTAGTGTGTGTGTGTGTGAGAGGGGGTGAGTGTGTGTGAGAGGGGGTGAGTGTGTGTGTGTGTGAGAGGGGGTGAGTGTGTGTGTGTGTGAGAGGGGGTGAGTGTGTGTGTGTGAGAGGGGGTGAGTGTGTGTGAGAGGGGGTGAGTGTGTGTGTGTGAGAGGTCAGTGTGTGTGGTGTGTGTGTGAGAGGTCAGTGTGTGTGGTGTGTGTGTGAGAGGGGTCAGTGTGTGGTGTGTGTGGAGAGGGGGTGAGTGTGTGTGTGTGAGAGGGGGTGAGTGTGTGTGTGTGAGAGGGGGTGAGTGTGTGTGTGTGAGAGGGGGTGAGTGTGTGTGTGTGTGAGAGGGGGTGAGTGTGTGTGTGTGAGAGGGGGTGAGTGTGTGTGTGTGAGAGAGGGGGTGAGTGTGTGTGTGTGTGAGAGGGGGTGAGTGTGTGTGTCTGTGAGAGGGGGTGAGTGTGTGTGTGTGTGAGATGGGGGATAGTGTGTGTGTGAGAGGGGGAGAGTGTGTGTGAGATGGGGGAGAGTGTGTGTGAGAGGGGGAGAGTGTGTGTGAGAGGGGGTGAGTGTGTGTGAGAGAGGGGTAAGTGTGTGTGTGTGTGAGAGAGGGGGTGAGTGTGTGTGAGAGAGGGGTGAGTGTGTGTGTGTTTGTGAGAGGGGGTGAGTGTGTGTGTGTTTGTGAGAGGGGGTGAGTGTGTGTGTGAGAGGGGGTGAGTGTGTGTGTGTGAGAGGGGGTGAGTGTGTGTGTGTGAGAGGGGGTGAGCGTGTGTGTGAGAGAGGGGGTGAGTGTGAGAGAATCCTGTGACATGTTTTCTTATGTCCATGTGTCTCACACAGTCTGTATGAACCTCTGTCTTCACGTGGGACCCGAGAGCTGAGGTATGGCCGGCGGCAGTGGAGCGCACGGACGAGCTTGTCCGGGAGTACCTCTTTCACCGAGGTTTCACCAGCACCTCCAAAGCCTTCGAGGTTGAGCGCAAAGTGGACAAGGAAAAGGGATTTCGAGTGAGTGCAGTACGTGGTTTGCAACTGCGATGGAGGTTCATCAATCACTTTTCGTCACAGCTTTGGTAGCATTTCATACGAAGATTGGGGGCGAGAACAGAAGGCCATCAAGCCTGTACCTTCTGTTTTTGCAAATGATAATATTCCTTACATTTGGTATAGTACCTTTCACGTCGGGGTGATGTCTCACGACGATATGGCATGAAAATTGGCCATTCAGCCCAATTCGTCAATATTTATTTATAAGGTCTTGGCAGATCCCCTACCCCCATGTCGGGACTTGAACTCACATAGTCTAAGGTGACACTCCAGTGCAGTACTGGTAGAGGGGGGGATCGAAAGAGGGGTGTTGCTTTGTCAGAGGTGCCATCCTTCAAAATGTATCTGTGCCTGTTCAGGTGGGTGTTAAAAGCTCCGTAGCGCTATTGGAATAAAGAAGTGAGTTTCTCTCCCAGTGTCCTGGCCTACGTTTTGTGGGACATTGATGTGTGCAGATTGGCTGCTGCATTTGCCCACAAAACACACAGTCACTGCACTTTACAGTAAATCCTATGAAGCACTTTGAGAAGTCCTGCCGGCCTAAAAGCCACGTATTATATGTTTTATTTGTAAGTTACTAAAATAATAATAAATCCTTATATTTGATACAGCACATCAAGAGGACATCTAAAATTGGCATTAAGTGTAGTGTACTATTTTTTGTAGGTAATTGCAGCAGACAATTTGCACGCAACAATGTCCCACGAGCAGCCATGGAGTGAATCAACAATTTTATCTGGGGGATTGTGGCCAGGGCAATGGGATAGAGAAACTCCCTTCTCTTTGAGTAATGTTGTGGGATCGTTAATATTCACTGAATAGGCAGATACTATCTCTGAATTGCACACCAGGTACAGTTTACAGGTGACTTTTTTTTGAGTACGGGGGAATTTTGTGTGTGTTGTGTCCTATTGAGTGACTTGCGACTTTGTGTTTTTATATACAGGTTGATAGGATTGTCGAGCAATTGCAGTATTTAGTTCAGAATTATGATCTGAATGGCCTGCAGGATTATTGGAACTATCTGGAACACAGGCTCTTCAGACGGCTGGAAGACGTGTATCGTCACACCGTCAACAAGCTGAAGACCAGCCTATACCGCTACTACCTGATCCACACTGCCCAGGTACCTCCAGATACAGGCTTTCTAATAATAAGGCATTTCAAAGTGTTTCATGCGAGTCGCTGTAAAGTGTAGTGCTTATATTTTGTGGATGAACGCAGCAGCTAATTTGCACCACAACAATGTCTCTCAAACAGCCATGAAGTGAATGACTGATTTTATCAAGTGGGGGAGTAAGGTATTATTGGCAGTGACCTTTTAACGTTCACCTGAGCAGCACAGATAGATGATGTTTTATTCGAACGTTGGCACCTCTGATAATGCAGTACTCCCTCCAGCACTGCATTAGAGTGTCAACTTGAACTGTATGAGATCCAGGTACCAATGGTGAGTGGGTAGGTTAAACCTTCTGACTGAGAGATGAGAGTGAGAATGTCTGAGCCAGGCTGACCCCTAATTATAATTCTCCGTTTGCAAGACGAGCATTTGGAGCAAGTTCTCTATTGCCACCTATCGCAGTACTTTGTTTCTGGGAGCAAAGACTTCTCAGGTCTCCAAAGTGACATTGAGAAAGCTTGAACCCCCAATGAACGAAAGAGTGAAGGGCACTGCGTAAATGAATGATGTTGACGGTTCTGGTACGATAAATTTCCTTTGGTTGTTTCAGACAAACAGGATTGATAAAACACAGGAATTCTTCCAGAAACTGGCCTTGGAGTTGCAGAACCAGCCGGAGTGGAAGGAGTGGTTTATTCTCCCCTTTGTTCCAAACCCAGAGACCAACCCAGGCTTTGCCACCTACTTCTCTAAACAGTGGGCAGAGACCTTCTTGGTGTCACTGCACAACTTCCTAAGCGTCTTGTTCCAGTGCATGCATATCCTTTGTGTGTCTGGCGATGTCTGTTAGTGTGGGAGGGGGATACGTTCATTAGGGGGGAAGAGAGAGAGGCTTGAATATAAAAGAATTAGAGGGAGTCTTATAGAAACCTATAAGATCATCAAAGGGCATGATAGAGTAGATAGTGGAAGATTGTTTCCCCTGGTTGGAGAAATTAAAACCAGGGGTCCCAACCTTAAAATCAGAGGCCAGCCCTTTTGCACTGAGTTGAGGGAGAACTTCTTCACTCAAAGGGTGGTGAATGTATGGAACTCACTACCCCCAAAGGGTTGTTGACGCTCAGTCCTTGAACATATTCAAGACTGAGATAGATAGATTTCTTATTGCAAAAGGGGCTAAGGCAGGGTCAGGTTATTAGCTGGAGTTAGATTAGAAGATCAGCCATGATTGAATGGCGGGGCAGGCTCGAAGGGCCGAATCACCTACTCCTGCATGTTATGTTATGTTAGGCTTGTGTACGAGCGAAGAGGAGGGTTTGTTTGCTTCCAAAAACGAGGCCATACATCCCATCAAAAACCTGTTTATTAGGTCTTGCCTAATCTTTCAATCCCAATGTCACATTCCTTTCACCTTAATACTTCCACTACCCAAGTCTCTGTCTTTTTTAAACATCCCCATTTATTCCGCATCTAAATCTTTCTGGAATGGAGAGTTCCATGTGCTCACAACCCTCTGTATGAGGAAACACTTTCTGATCTCAGCTCTAACCGTCCTGGCTCTGAGTTTAAGGCTTTAGCCCTTGTAATGATCTCTCTACCAGAGGGAAGAGTCATCCACTGTCTAACCTATTTTATTTTCAATCAAATCACCTATTAACTACCTCTGCTATAACCAATATAAACCCAATCCACACATCATAGCTTAGCCCTTTAGGCCTAGTATTAATTTTGTCAACCATCACTGGACAAACTCCAAGGTTACCGTTATCTTAATGAGTAGGGGACTGAGTGCTGGGCAGCTGACCTATATATTTCATTAACTGTGTCCAGGAACTTGGAGGTTTACTTTCAAGATTGTCATTAAGCGGGACCATAAGCTTGCCTTTAATGTACTTTGATTTCTTTAATTTTACATCACCCGTTCCTGTGTTACTGAACTTTGATGCAGAAATGCAGCGGACATTGCAACTGCAGGAAGAAAATGAAAGCCTGCTTCAGAAGGTAATGCTGTCCTTTTCTTCACAGCTGGACCCAACTGGACAAGCTTGCCACTTTAGTGCTCTCAATGATGATGCGCTGGTTTTACCTGGATAAATTGCTGCAGTTGTCTGAATTCATACTCTGGGGTCTCCCAGCCTTGCTTCTCACCAACTTGGGCCAAATAATCTCCGAAATTAGATAAGCGAGGTGCGTCCCTCCAGGCAGAGAGTGTATTACATGCCAGACGCGGAGAAATTTCCATGCACATAGTTTGTAAACTCGGGTGATGGGTTTGGAAGAGAATGGTGATGGGTTTTCGTGTGTCAGACCAAAACAGCTCCCTTGAATCAAATGTTGGGGAGGTGGAAGGGGAAGGAACAGGGAGCAGAAATCATGGATGTATGATTGCAGATTCTACACTTATCAAAACATTTGCCTGCAAAGTACAGGCACTACACTTGACAGTAGATTCTGTAAAACGATTTGTGACGTCCTCCAGACATGAAATAACACTCTACCAAATGCAAGGATGAGAGGCTTGAAGGGGGTTTGGGCATGGGGCAGGCTGGTGGAGTTGAAAGTTCACTTTGTTTTGAGACCCAGTGAAGACTCGATGGACCAAATGGCCTCCAGCTGCCCTGTAAATTTGTTTTATGATTAAAAGGAAAAAGAAAATGCAAGTTTTTGTTTTTACAAAAGATCCAGTGTGATATCTTGTAGGGCTGGAAATATTATCAGGCTCTAATTTGTGGTGTTCATTAGACAGGTGTTTATTATATAATCCTGTGAATTCCTGTCAAGTCTTAAGATTCAGATTCTAACACGAGTCACAGTTCCTACTAGTCAGTGTTACTCAGGAGTCTGCATTTGTAGGATTCTGTTACTTTTAAACCATAGAAATGTGCCACTTGGCGCATTATTTTCTTTTGTCAATGTTTGCCGCTTCTTGGCACAACAGTTCAATTGGACATTTCCTAGAAAGAAGTAACTGGTCTATTAGGCAGGATTTTGTTGAATCTCTAAAAGTTTAGGAACAGGCCAGGGTTTGGGGGTGGTTGTGGATTTTGTGGTGAGTGGGCAGGAGGTAATAATAATAATAATCCTTGCATTTGATATAGCGCCTCATCAAGTCTTTGAAAGTCTCAAAGCACTTCACAGACTATACTGTAAAGTGAATTGACTGTATATTTTGTGGGCAAAATGCGATAACTAATTGATGACCAAATTATTATTTTTTTTGGAAGAGATTATTACCTCCGGAAAAGTGATCCACCAATCGACTAACAACTGGGTCCCTACTTACTGCTAGGTAAACAGAGGTGTGTGTAGAAGGAAACTTGCCCAACATTTCGCCCTGCTGGGAATCACTTGCGAGGCAAGCGCTCTAACCACTAAGCTACAGGACTCCACGATAATAACAATAATCCTTGCATTTGGTACAGTGCCTTATGTCGTCCTGACATCTCAAAGCAGTTCACAGGATAGGCGAAAGTGGGCGAATGCAGCAGCTAATTTGCGCACAGCAATGCCCTACAAACAGCCATAAAGTGAATGACCAATTTTATTTGTAGGTTTGTCGGGCAGGACACTGGGAGAAACTCTGTTCTCTTTTCAAATAGTGCCATTGGATCGTTAACGTCCACCTGAATAGGCATAGATGGACCTCAGTTTAATGTTTCATCTGAAGGACTGCACCTCCAACAATGCAGCAACAACAAAATTACATTTGTGTAGCGCCTTTCACGTCAGGAGGATCCCACCCTCCCGACCACCCAGCACTGCATTGGAGTGTCAGCATAGACTATGAGTTCCAAATCCCCATATGGGTTTGAACCCACAACTTTCTGATTTGGGCGAGAGTGCTTTGGGACGTCCTCCCGACTGAACCAAGTTGGAACACAAAATAACAGAACGAACCATCTTAGTGACCATAATGCCAGAAAGTGATCGGTGGCCAAATAAATCTCTTAAACCAAAGGCCGTGAAGTGAATGAACTAGACTAATTCAACAAATTGCTCTGTCTCACACGGTTGTGCACTTCACAGACTCTTTATTAACTTAGAAATAAGTTAGTTAGTTCCAAGTTTAGTCTGAGGCTGGCGTGTTTGAAGGTGTTTTGATCACTGAGTGCCATTCCCTCTTTCTATGCAGCTGTTTGCTATGCAAACTGAACAAAAAATGAAGAAACCAGAGGAGATGATCCAACATAAACTGCCCAACTACGTACAAAACATGGACCGTCTTGGAGACACGGAATTGTAAGTACCGGAAGTAAAAGGCAGTCAATCAGTAGTGGATTCTCCTTACACCAGAAAACAGGCAATAAACATCCTAACCATCTACATCCCAAGGATTAAATCATTTCTCGCTGAATTTGATTCCATTTGAACATCTTATTTATTATAGTAATCCTTGTATTTGGTACAGCACCTATCAAGCCAAGAGGATGCCCCAAAGCACTTCATGTGATTTACCATAAAGTGTATTTTGTAGGTGAATGCTTCAGCCAATTTGTAAATCGCAACGTCCCACAAACAACCAGGAAGCGAATGTGTGATTTTGTCTGGGGAGATGGTCAACCAGGTCACAATTGCACAGCAACATCCCTGTAATGGCTATGACGTGAATGACGAAATTCTAAATGGGGGATTGTTGGCCATGATACTCTTCTCTATTCCAATAGTGCCAAGGACTTTTAATGTCCATTTTAACTGGCTTGTTTTAACAGCTCCGTGCTGAACGTCAGAATAGTCCATTTTGTATTTTTGCTGCTGTTCTCCCCCTTAGGTTTCTCCTTTCCTGCAAGCCTTTTACCTCCTATGAGTTGCTGGGCTACATTCACCAGGTAATGCTTCCTGATGTATGTAGGAGTCTGAAAACAATGATCAGCACCTGGAATCCTATCTGTTTTATTCCCTTGTTTTTATGTTTGTCTGATTGTTTTTGTCTGTTTTTATGCCCCTTGCCTAGGGGCAAATTGTAGGTTTGCCACCTGCTACGCTGGTTGAGATCAGTCACTCATCCCAGCATGGCCAAGGTCGCTTTCTTGGACCTGCTCAACTGACATCAGTCAGTTGATCGATAAAGTTGTTTGTTTGCGGAGGCCAGCCCAGTCGAGATCGGTCAGTCCATCCTCATTCAATCAGTCAGCCAGCCACTTTTGTAGCCTGGCCAAGGTCAGGGTCGTTTACTTGGTCAACTTGGCTGAGGGTTAGTAGGTCACTCAGTCACATCAGCCCTGCTAACACTTAGCATCCTGTAGCTCAGTGGTTAGAGCACTTGCCTCGCAAGCGAGAGACCTGAGTTCAATTCCCAGCAGATCGAAATGTTGGACAATATTTACCTAGCAGTAAGTAGGAACCCAGTTGTTAGTCGATTGACGGATGGCTTTTCCGGGGGTAATAATTCCCCCAAAAAAATAATAAATTGGTCACTTCAATCCACGACTGCTTGTGGAACACTGCTTTGTGCAATTGGCTGCCCCATTTCACCCACAAAATATACTGTCAACTCACTTTACAATCTATTCTGTGAAGAGCTTTGAGACATCTCAAAGACATGATAAGGCGCTATATCAAATGCGAGGATTATTATTATCTTCACCATGCAATGCTATATATTTTCAGAGACTTATTGTCCAGTCAGAGGGGCTCACTGTCGCTGTCTCAGACAAAAGCAGGCTCGTTCCTCTCGTCATTTCTCCTGCAGAACAAAAAGGTCCCATTAAAGAGCTCGCTGCACACAGGCTCGTCACAACTGCCACAGAGCCCTGCGGCCTCAGGAAAGAAAGACAGCTCCAACAATCAGGTGAAAAGACAGAACTAATTTTGTTGCAAAATAAACCTTTCAGAATGCACATGATTACATCAAAAAGTCTTAAAACCTACACCCAAAGTACGATGAAGTACGATGGATTAGCCAGCTGGTGTATTAAATGTGGATCTTAAGAACATCAAGTGGCTGCCACGTCACAAGGGACCTGTGAAGTCCTCCCACCGCATTGAAATCAGATGTCCATCAAATAGCTGATGAGGCGACTTTGAGACGACAGCTGCTGAAAGGCATTATTTGCAGCCCAGGTTTGTGAACACCCCTTCATATATCCAGGACTTGGTAGCCACTTTGATTGGCATGCAGAGAGGTAAGCCTTAACAGATAGGGTGGACAAATAGCAGGAAAGTTTGCCAGGCAGTACTCTTAATGGCAAGCTATGCGGTTTTAGCTGGTTGGACTCCAGCAGTTACCCCAATTGGGAGAGTGTGTTCCATTCGAGACATGGAAATTTCGATTTGTAGATGGCATGCATGGAACTCATCTGGTTTGGATACTCTTAAGCATGGTTACTTTAGACACCCATTTGATCAATATTTTTGATCTTGGACATCTTCTTCGGCTCTTTGCCCCCGTTTCCTCCACTCTTTTGCCTCTCATCTGCTGAATGAGCTTCAGATTCCTTTTCACTCTTGGTGCCCATAACCTCACTCCTAAACTCTCGCCACAAATCCCTTTGCTGCTTCTCTCCCTGCTTCCAAAGCCCTCTTAAACGTGTGTCTCTGGTCAACATCTATAAATTCACTGTTGTCTCCTTCTGCCCTTCTTAGTGAAGGGCACAAAATGGTTATTCTACGTGAAAGATAATTTGGGTACCTTGGGTGCATGTTGGGATTTCTTCAATTGCATCGAAACTGCTTGGGATTGGAGACAAAAAAAGTGTACATTTGCTGATAAAGTGAAATTGTATAATTGTTGCTAACGGGAAGCAAGTGAACTGGATATTGAGGGATCTTGGTGGAGTACACAGTGGATTGACAAATAGATGAAGGTAAAGTGATGAGACTGACTAGGAAGTGAGCAGTGGAAATGTACACTTAACACTAGAAACAGTAGGACACAACCCAGGAGAAGAATCTGGGGATAACTTGCAGATAGCTCATTGATTCCATCAACACAGAGTGTGCCAGCAATGAGGAGAGTGAGCAAGATTTCTACATCAAGAGATGGGCTCAAAGGAAGTGATAGACTGTACACAACGCTGTTGGGACCGAAATTGCAGGATTCTGACCAGATCTGATTCCAGCGATCACTGGGTTCGGAGCAGGGAAGCGGGTGCAGCCATGGCAACCAAATTGGTTTTTGAAAATCTTAAATCCTTGATGGTGCGTTTCCAGTGGAGAAAATCAGATTTAGAAGTGATCATATTTCAGGACCCTCAGGATTGATGAGGTGGAGTCCAGTTGCATGTTTCATGCAGTCATTAAGTTCACAACTGAAGCCGCTGTTTCACGTTCAGAGTGGAACAGATTTCAGATTGAGCCACTTTTCTCCGAGGGGGTGAATACGTGCACGATTGCTTGGGAATGGGGTGTTATTGAAAGTATTCACGGATAAGTCTGGTGTATGTTGATATTGGTGGTTTGGATTTGGGGTGGAGTTTGTGACTGTCTCCTTTGCTAAGAAAGGCAGACAGTGACCCGCTGGTGAGAGCAGGGTGTTGGAGAGATGAACTGCGGTGCTATATTCATTATATTCATGCCAGTGAACAGAAGAGGGAAGCAACCACACGTTAATGGAGCAGACTGTGTGCCTCAGATACTAATATTATGTATAGCTGAGATGTGTTCCTTCTATTGTGTTCCTTCTAGTGTGTTTCCACCTTGTGGTTTGACTTGCTGGTCCTGGATGAGATAACACAGAGAATGTTTCTGTGGGTGTCACTTGGTGTGGCAGTCTGTCGGGTGGTTATCTGAGTCCAGCAGTTCCTAAACAACATTTCTCCTGCAAAATATAGTTAATTGACTTTACAGTATATTCTTTGAAGCTCTTTGAGACATTGATAAGGCACTGTGTCAAATGCAAGGCTTATAACAAACCGAAGATATCAGGCGGCAGTTAGCGAGAGCATTTTGCGCAGCCCTGGACGAGAATAGGACAGAGAGCAAAGTGCAGCAGGAGCCCACCGACGTGTGCAGGATGGCGCTGATTGTTGTTTCTCCACAAACTTTAGCCCATCAAAGTCAAAGAGTTGACCGCAGCTGCCAAAGATGGCAAATTGCAGCCGAACGCAGGCGCCGATCCTGGCACCGTCCAGCAGCGAAAGAGGAGGCAGCAGGAGCACGAGAAGGAACGGAAGGAGCTCTTATCCAAACCTGCCTTCCAGGTAAAGTAGGAACAGCCGAGATCCTCAGGAGAGCCTAGTGTGGCTCAGTTTCAGTCCACTTGATATGGCACCGGACAGTTGCTGAACCAGCCAACGTAGTGCAAGGCAACAGTTCAGGTTAGGGCACTGCTAGCAGATTCTTTTTATTTGGGCACGTGGCAAAAAGTATGTACCGGGGCCTGGGTCCTGTGTTAGCAGAGTGTCTTTTAACAACTTGGATCTACAGAAAGCGCATGACAGCACAAAGCTCTCTCTCTCTTTTCCGAAGGATTGCAAAGGAAAACAGGAACAGGAAGAAGCCAATGAATTTCACCAGTATATTCAATTTCATAATCCCAGTGCCCCAGTTCACTATATCTCTTAATACCTCTACTAGCCAAGTCTCTCTCGTTTAAACATTCCTATTGATTGTGCCTACACAGCTCTCTGGGATCGAGTGCTCCACATCCTTGCAGCCCTCTGTGTGAGGAAACGCTTCCTGACCTCAGCTCTAAACGTCCTGGCTCACTTGAGTTTCAGGTTCTGCCCCTTGTAACGATCCCTCTACTAGAGATTCCACTCTCTAGCCTGTCAATCCCTTTCATTATTTTATACACTTCAATCAAATATGTAAATCTATGTGTATGTGAATCATCCCTTAACCTCCTTTGCTCTAAGGAGTATAAGTCCATTCTGTCAAGCCTCTCTTCATAGCTCGGTTCTTTTAGTCCAGGTTTTTTGGTGAGTTCAACTCCTGGATACATTTCCTTCCAATCATCAGACATAGGAGATGACCCAGTTTGTAACATTCAGGTTCACGGTGGCACAAATGAAAGGCCCTCTTCTGTGCAGGAGATCTTTGCTTTTCTGGCTACAAACAGTAAAGGTCAAATAAAATAATAATAAAATGAAACATCTAGCTGGACAAGATTGTATAATGTTATGATTCTGTCATGAGTGAACGTGTGCCTCTCCCTGTTGGCAGAGTCCCGAGGGTGCCAGCTCAGAGCCTGAGATTCCAGGCACACCTGAGGTGGTTTCAGATCAACTGGACTCTCCAACAAAACCAGTGAAATCCTGCTTGGAGACAGGGAAGGCAGAGCAGCCGTTCATCGTCCTGAGTCAGGAAGAGTATGCAGAGCACCACTCCTCCATCATGCACTGCAGGTGAGAAAGGTGTTGGTGGGCCCGAGGCGTGAAAGGGGAAATCACAAGTTGCAGGGGTAGAGGGAGGAAGGGTGAGAAGGGAGAGAGAAAGCTGGGCGTAGAAGAGTGTTTAGTGATAAGTGGCAGATCAACTTTATGTGGAGAGAGAAAGATATCGCCTTGCTAGAGAGAGGAAGAGATTCACTTCCAAGAGGGATCCACTTTTAGGGGAGAGAGAGACAGATAATTTTCGAGAAAGAGATCCACTTCTGGAGAGTGAGAGTGGAATGAATGGCCTCTCCCTGTGCTGATGATTTGTACGTTACCAGAGATGATCTGAGTAACTGCTTTTAAAAATGTTTTGTGCTGCAGGGTGGATTGCTCTGGGAGGAGAGTGGCCAGTCTGGATATCGATGGAGTCGTCAAAGTGTGGTCTTTAACGCCCCCAATGCAGACCAAGGCCACCATAATGTCCAAGTCACCATTGCTTTCCTTGGAGTGGGCCACAAAGCCAGACCGACTGGTGAGGAGCTGCTGCTGCTTTTCTCATGTGCTCTCTTTCTTACCGAATGTTTGATAGAATAAAATACTCAGCAGTTTAGTGCGATTTAAGAGTGGAGAATGACGTGGATGTGCGTGTGACAGTGGGGAGTGATGGGGACGTAGCAGTTTTTCTCGGTCGCTCTGGATGGTTGGGAAGCATCTGAATGACGGCTTCTGCTAGCTATATCACAGTGCTATTGGTGGCACACTGAATGCTGCTGTCAAGAACAAAGGAGACTAAGTCAAGATAACTAATAATAGCAATCCCGGTTGGGACTGCTGAAGTAAAAGCAGAAGTTTGGAAGATCTTCTGTTGGAACCAATTTGAAACATTGGACAAGCCGACGCCAATTAAAGGGATTAGAAGGTAAAGAGCAGAGAATTGGGATTGGATTAGGAAGGACAACTTCTTGGAGGAGCAAATGCCTGTTGACCAAGGGAAGCTTTACTTGTGTGTTGATGCTGGCGTTTTCAATGTGTTCACTTTCTGCAGTTGTTGCTGGGCAGTGCAGTGGGAATCGTTCGTCTGTACGATACTGAAGCTAAGAAGAGTCTCTATGAACTGACCATTGATGAGTCCTGTCCCAGGCAAGATCTTACCACCTATTACACAGCTCAGTGGAGCTCCCTGTATAATAGCCACACAGTACCCCCTTTACAATATAACTGCTTGCATTTACATAGCAAATAGTAGTCTGTCCCCCTCTGTGCCACCATCTGTCACCGCACCTCTAACTTCTGGAGCTCCCAGCCTCAACTTCTCTTTATCTGACTTCAAATCTTATTTTAAGGCTTAGGTCTTCAACCGCACCTATGGTCACTTCTGCCATCCCTTGCTCAGCGTCTACTGTGCAGCGCTTTGAGACATTAAGGGCGCTATTTAGACAGGATGGACTGTGTGAACTAGAGCCATGGTGGAAATGTTTATGGTGGTTGCACTGGGACACTAAAACTAAAACAATCACCCCCCCCAATTCCGCACTCTCATTGAAATGTTGGCTTTGACTATGTGAGTTCAAGTCCCTATGAGAGATTTGAGCCCACAACCTCCTAACTCAAAGGTTAGAAGGAGAAAGAATTCTGCACAGAATCCTAGTTCACACTAATGAGTCTCTCCCTTTCTGCTTCCCAGAATTTTATCCCTGGCGTGCAGTCCCAGTGGCATGTCGTTTGTGTGCTGCTCAGCAGCTCCAAGCATACGGACAGGAACGGTACTGGAGACGGGAGGAAAGGGACTGAATCTGGTTCCAGGGAAACTGCTTCTTTGGGACACCAAGACCATGAAACAGCAGGTATGGACCAGGCTCATCTGACTAGGTGCTTTGAGTACGAGGTTTGTCTTGTGCTAACTGTGGGGGGAGGAAGAGAGGGGCGGTCGGGAGTGGGGGGGAGCGGTCAGGCCGGAGAAAGGAGAAGAGGTGGCAGTTAGGAAGGGGAGGGTTAGAGGTAGCGGTGGGGAGGCTAATTATGAATGCTTGTCCCAACTTCATGATGGTCATTGTTTGTATTCAGGTTACACAGCCAACAGTCTGACACTGGGCTTGTTGGTCCGGGGGTTAATGAATTAAAGCTCACAGAACCTCACCACATTAAACACTCAACTAGACTGAAGCTGTGATATTTGCTGGAGGTGTGGTCTGAGACACTACCCTATGTGAAGGACTCTATATATTAAATACAAATTGTTGTTGCTTCGCAAAGTATTTAAGATTTCCAACGAGTTGGGCTTAGCGCACAATACAATCCTTCTGTGTTTTGTCTCCAGCATCTGTTCTGTCTGGATCCTGATCCCATTGCCATCAACTGTACAGCTTTCAACCACAATGGAAACCTGCTAGTCACTGGGGCTGCGGACGGCATTATCAGGCTCTTTGGTAAGATGGGGATCTCTCTTGGGGCATCAAAGGGCTCTTTGACTTGCCAGGCTGATGCAAACAGGCGTTTGCTTCACTGGCAGGGGTTTGGCTCGCTCAGACATGTCTCTTGCGAGGAATAGACTTTTTTTTCCTCTACAGAAGTGATCGAGAAAATACGACTCATAAAGAAAAATAAAGGAATATTTTAATGAACCTAGAACAGTAAGAACCCTACTTGGTGTCAGCCTGACTCGGTCACTCACACTCTAGCCTCTCAGTCAGAAGATTGGGATAACAAGACCCATGTCAGGGACTTGGAACTCATATAGTTTAAAGTGACACTCCAGTGTAGTGCTGGGGTAGCACTGCATTGTTAGAGATGCCATCCTTTGGATGAGACTTTAAACCGGAACTCCATCCGTGCCTGTTCAGATGGACTTTAAACATCCCATGGTACTTTTGTAAAACTTTTGGCCAACAATCCTCCAGATACAATTGGTCACTAACTTCATGGCTGTTTGTGGGATGTTGCTGGGGCAAATTGGCTGCAGTGTTTGCCCACAAAACACAGTCACTACATTTTACAGTTGGTTATGAAGTTCTTTAGGATGTCAGCCTAACCTGAAGGCGCTGTATCAAATGTAAGGATTATTATTTAAAATCTTCCCATTGAGTATGTAACATGTGGGGTTGAGTTTATTCTGTTCTCCCTCAGATATGCAGAGGTATGACTGTGCCATGAGCTGGCACTCTCACTCTGGGGAGGTCTACTCCGTGGAGTTCAGCTATGATGAAAACTCGGTTTACAGTATTGGGGAAGATGGGAAGGTAGGTCACAGCTGGTACTGACCTGCCACCCACCCAGCGAGGGCTCAACCCCATGTTTGTCAGATGTCAAATTGCTAACTAGTGACTATCCTTTTGGCGGGTGGGGGAAAGCTCTCTCTCCCCGGCTCATCTCTCGCTTTGTCTCTTTCTATCTCTTCCCAGCTCATGCTCTCTCTTTCCAGCTCTCCCTCACACGTTATTCGCTCTCTCTCCCCCCAGCGCCCTCTCAGGCTCCCTCTTTCTCTTTTCCTAGCTCTCCCTTGCTCTCTCTCTCTCTCTTTCCCTGGTTCACCCTCTTGTGCCACTCCCCATTTCTATTACCGCAGGAATTGGCTGCACACATACTGTATTGTGCCTTGCTCAAATGGGATTCTCTGGATGCTGATGGCAGGTCTCAAGTGTATTTTGTGAGTGATTTCACTTGCCATGTGCAGAGTCCCATGACTGCTTTACTCTCTCCCTGACCTAGTTCATTCAGTGGAACATCCATAAGAGTGGAGAGAAGGTTTCCGAATGTGTGGTGCAGGCTGATGCCATCGGCCCCTTTGTGCTGTCAGGATACAGTGGCTACAGACAGGTCCAGGTACCGCGAGGAAGACTGTTTGCCTTTGATTCAGAGGGGAACTATGTCCTCACCTGCTCCTCTACCGGTGGAATCATTCACAAGGTCAGGCATTGATTCATCAACTGAAGATGTCTGTTGGTGGGTGTGGGGGGGCTGGCGTTTGTCTGCTGGGATGGTGAGATGTCTGCCTGTTGGTGGGGAAGGGGAGGTGTCGGTTGGTGGGGAGGGGAGCTGTCTGCTGGGGGGAACAGCGAGGTATCTGTGCATGTTGAGGGTTAATTGCTGACCACTCTGAAATGGTTCCAGAGCCCATTGTAAACCCTGGACTGATTTCTCTTGCAGTTGGCGGGAGCAGAGGGAAGTCTGGAGAGCTGCCTGTCACTGGGGGGGCACAGAGCCCCAGTGGTCACTGTGGACTGGTGCACAGCGTTGGATTGTGGTACCTGCCTGACAGCTTCTATGGACGGCAAGATCAAGCTGACTACTCTGCTGGCACAAAAACCATACAGCTGAAGCTGGCATTATCTCTGAATGGGATCGGAAATGAGTTATAGTATCTGCGGGGGTGGGAGAGTCTACCTGTGAGGACTGCTCAGGGTGACCTTCTGTATTGTTCCTTGTGCCTCTGGTACTCTCTGATCTCTGAGACCCTTAACCGCGTTTTAACTGTGTATTCCGTTTTGCTACAGTTATTCTTGATTTCTTTAAATTCTGTATGTGCGGAGCAATATTTTGTGAATGTTTGGAACTAGTAACCAATTTGTTACAGTCTGTGGCTTGACTAACACACTGAATCTAACCTCATTTGGCAATGTATTTCCTGCTCATTGCCTCAATGTGATGCTCAGCAGTTGATGTTTATCAACTACCAGAAATCATTAAAATTAGCAACGGTACGGTGTCTCTTGCTTCAGTCAGATACAGATCCATGAATTTCAGCAACAGACAGTTTGCCTCTCAGACCATTTGATCTCAACTTCTGAAATTTGTAGCGCCAGCCTGACTTAGTCAGAACCACTCTCATGTCTGAATTTGTCGGTTTAAACCCCATGTCGGGACTTTGAATCTGCCCCAGCTCTCAGAATAAGGTGTTCATTCAATTCCACTGTCCTACCCTGTCCCTTCACTCCTTCAAGTCTACCCTTCATTTAACTGCCCACTTGAAACTAACAATGGGCTCAATGACGAGCTGTGTATTTTTTGTTGGTTAAACTCCAGCAATTACCCCAATGCACAAGCTGGGCCTAATACTTTCTGCAATGAGGTGAGCAGGCTGCATCCCTCCAGTGAGGACTTAAAGCCAAAAATGTCTTTGAAAATAAACAAGAATCAAAATCATTGAATCTTTACACCAAAGTTTGTCTGAATCTGCACTGGTCCAGCTGTTTACAAACAGTATAATAAAAGCTGAGATAGCTCAGCTCTCTACACACAATTTTAGCTCAAATACACTCCGAATGCAACACACAATTTCTATAGTCTTGAGTCAGTGGACATGGTACAAAGCATGCTGACTAATTGACATTTAACAGAAAAAAAAACCATGGATCATATTCTATACACTGTCAACTTCTGAAAGACATACCTCGGTTTAGAAGACAGTTTGTTCCTCATTAATGCAGGTACAGACAACAAAAGCCATACAAATGTGAAATGCAAATGGCCAAAGGAGAAAATTATGGAGAAGAAATACTGTACTGAGAACTGCTGTGACAATGTGTGACCACAGAGAACACTCTGCTTCATTGTCCACGTTAGAATCGAGTGCTGGCTTGGTACTGGCAATCCTTCTGCTGGTCTCCGTCATTTGTCCTTGTACATTGTGAATAAGGCGTATAAGACACGAAAGGTGGCTTTGCTGTCCATATTTACGATATCTGGCAGCAGAGGAAAGGACACGAGTTAGGTGTAACGTCTGATGGCATATTTTACTTTTAGAGAAGTGAAAATCTCATTACATTCTAATATTGAAAGAGGTTATGGGTTCAACTTCCATGTCAGGAACTTTGAGCTCACAGTCTAGGGTGACACTCCAGTCCAGTGTTGGAAGCGCAGTGTCAGAGGTGCCATCCTTCAGATGAGACCTCTTGTCTGCTTGTTCATGATGTTAAAGATCAGAAGGGACAAAGGAGTTTCTCCTAGTGTCTGAGTTTCTGTGGTTAAGCTTCAAATTTCCATGTAAATTCAGTTGATCCTCATCTGAGCAAGGCTCAGCATTACCCTGACCCTATAATAATAATAATCCTTGCATATAGCGCCTTCTTCAAGAATATGCTATCGCTCTGAATCATTCCGATCTCAGTCAAAACACACCTTTCTTCGATCCCTTACATTCCATTCCCCCCTTGACAGATGGTAGAATCAGACTTAGAATCATAATAATAAAGAGGACACTAGAGGAGAGGGGAGCAGTAAAGATTCACAAGGATGATAAAAGGATCCAGTGAGGAGAGCCTAGGCAGGTCAGGACTCTGCCTGTTGGAGCAGAGAGGCTTGAGAGGTGATGTGATTGAGGTGGTTAAGATAATGACAGGATCGTGATAGTGAAGAACTCTTTCTGTTGGTAAGTGATTCGAGGACAAGCTTGCGAGACAGTGCTATCATTGACAAGCTATGCGGTTTTAGCTGGTTAGAATCCAGTAGTTACCCTAATGCATATTCTGGCGTCCCCAAGCCTTGGCTCTTGCCAACTTGCACTTACTACTCTCTGGAATTAGGGTAAGCAGTGTGAGTCACTCTGTTCCTCTTCTACTGTTCTGGCTGACAATCCCCCAAATAAAATTGGGTCATTTATTCCATGGTTTGCGGAACTTTGTGCAAATTGGCTGCCGAGTTTGTCCACAAAATGCACAGTCACTACACTTTACAGTATATTTTGTGAAGTGCTGTGAGATGTCTTGATGTGATAAGGTGCTGTGTGAACTGCAAGGATTATTATTATAGCATGATCAAGTGTGCAGAAGGTACAATGTGACATCAGAGGACAGAGTGAGGGAGACAACAACACCAACAACAAAAACAACAGATTACATTTGTATAGCACCATTCAGGTAAGAATGACGTGCCAGGGCGCTGCAGATCTCAGAACCTCCCAGTTGGCTCAAACTAGTCACCAGATGGATGAAAAGCCATCGACCTCGACACAGTAAGAGCACTGAATGTTTACAACCTTTTCAGATCATGGGAAAAACAATCCTCCACCAAACTCTCACCCACCTTCCGGAGTGACGGATTCTATCGACACTCCACTTTCCTTCAGAATCTCCAATGCAAGAGTTACGTTGTGAAGCTGTGGATAAAACGCACAAAGTATCCGCAGTGCACAAGCTTACATCCTCCAGTGGGTGTTCCCTTGTTTGTCCCAGTACGTGCATTGTTTGTCATTGAGTGTATTTGAGTATGTCCATGTATGTATGTGAGTGTGTATCCATGTGGGTGTATGTGTGTGTGTGCATGCATGTGACACACCAACACAGTGAATGAATTGCAACGACTAAACTGCTAAGCAGACAACAGTGCGCTCTCTCTCCTCATTCAGTCTTTCAGCATTCGATCACACAATAAAACCCATTATCAAAGTCTCTTCACCAACTAGAACCCCTCATACTCACAGCACCTTTTACCATTGGGGGGTGCAGGTGTGGGACATGGGCAGGAAGAGTCTCAAAGCTCTTCACATAGCCAATTGGGAGTGCAAGCTGCAGGGGGAGGGGAAGGAGGAGGGGAGGAGTTCCAGAATGGCTGAAAGCCCAATCTGAAGTAGGCTGGTGCTCGCTGGTGGTCACAGGAGGTGGGATGGGGTGAGATCGAGGAGTGATTTGAAGGTGAGGTTAAAGATCTTCAACTTGATCCTCCGAGGGATGGGGAACCAGTGGAGCTGGGTGGGGATGGGGTGATTGGCTTACGGGGCCTTGTGTGGGAAAGGACATGAACTGCAGAGATCTGGATAGTGTGCACCTTGTTGAGGCCTACCCTATCCAGCCTATCCTGATAACAGCACCTGCCAGCCTTGGTATCGTCCTCGTAAACCTACTCGGTGCTCTTTCCATCGCTGTTATATCCTGCTTATAGTATAGAGACCAGAATTGGATACAGTACAAATTTAATTGAAGAATTTGCTCGGTGAACTTACCATCTCCTTGTGACTGGAAGGGCTGAGGTGATATTCACTGAGACGAATAAAGTAACCCTCTAATTGTCCAATTAATAGAATCAGGATCACACCATTGGCAAACTGGTGATAAACACAACAGACGGAATCCGGTCAAAGCACGTTCACGCCCTAGTGTCACCGCATACATTGAGGCCACCAAGCTCACAGCATTTATGCTGCTCTTTGAAAGAGCAATTCTCTGTTCAGACCTTTTCCTGATCACTGAGGTGTTTTATCATTTATAATAATAATAATAATAATAATCCTTGCATTTGATATAGCGCTTTTCACGTCGGGAGGACGTCCCAAAGCGCTTCACAGAACACACTGTAAAGTGAATTGACTGTATATTTGTGGGCGAACGCGGCAGCCAATTGCGCACAGCAATGTCCCACAAACAGTCGTAGATTGAAAATGACCCAATTTTTTTTTTATTATTGTTTTTTGGTTTTTTTGGAGGGATTATTATTATCTTGTTGATACTCGTCAACAAGGTGATGTCTCACCACTGTAATCATAGACAGACTGCAGACATGGTTGGGAAGAGAGACTGCAGACATGGATGCAGTGGGCATGGAGAGAAGGAATAACATGACCAAATCCAGTGGCAGCCTGGCTCAGTCTCTTGCACTTTCACCCCTGAGGCAAAAGTGGGACTGAGGGTGTGAGTTTGTCAGCCTGTTTCAGTCAACGGCACTCTTGCCTCTGAGTCATAAAGTTTTGGGTTCAAGTCTCATGTTGGGACTTGGAACTCATGTACTCATACTTGGACTGACACTCCAGTGTAGTTCTGGGGGAGTACTGCATTGTCACAGGTGCGGTCCATTGGATGAGATTTCAACCAAGGACCCCCGTGCCTGTTCAAGTGGATGTTAAAGATCCTGCAGCTGTATTAGAAAAGAGAAGGAAGTTTCTCTCTCGGTGTTCTGACCGACAATCCCCCAGATAAAATTGGTCATTCACTTCAATGACTGTTTGTGGGACATTGTTATGCACAAATTGGCTATTGCATTCATCCAGAAAATACGCAGTCCCTACGCTTTACAGTAAATCCTCCTGACATAAAAGGTACTGTACCAAATGCAATAACAATTATTTATTATTTAGAAGGTTGTAGGTTCAAGCCCCCACGTTGGACCTCTGAGCTCACAGTCCAGGCTGACACCTGCAGTGCTGGGTGAGCATTGCATTATTAGAGGTGCCGCCTTTCAATGAGACAGGTGTGTCTGACCAGAGCCCTTAAAGTTTGAGTTCATGCCCAACACTGAAATGTGCCATTGTCAGAATTTATCAGCCATAAACTGGGAAGAACTGACCTGAGAATCAAACTCGTTCACGGTGATCCCCAGCCTCTGCACCCGATTGTTTGTGAAATGAAGCAATGCCTGAAATTAAGGCATAAATTTAACAGTGGCAATAAGATCACGCCAATCCCTTTAATGGAGAGATTCAAACCCAAACACCATTGTTTCTGAGGAATGTTGTCGGGTGGATAAATCTGTCAACAAAGAGCTCAATAACCAGGAACAAGGATGGACAGGAGGTCATTCAGCCCGGCCAGCCTGTTACAGTAACATAGAGGAGGTCACTCAGCCTGAGGATTTTGGGTGAGGTTAGACTGCTCCCACCCCACACACCCCCTGCCCCCCCGCACCATGGGAAAGCCTGCAGACATGACGTGGGCATTCGTAATTGCCCCTGGTCCCTGTTTCCCACCCCCACAGCATGAGTCTCCACCACCCCCAGGAGAGGAGATTCAATAGTGGGAATGCCACAAAATAATAATAATAATAATAATAATCCTTGCATTTGATATAGCGCTTTTCACGTCGGGAGGACGTCCCAAAGCGCTTCACAGAATATACTGTAAAGTGAGTTGACTGTATATTTGTCGGCGAACGCGGCAGCCAATTGCGCACAGCAATGTCCCACAAAACAGTCATAGATTGAAAATGACCAATGTAATTATTGTTTTTGTTTTTTGGAGGGATTATTATTAGGCGTGTGGAGTAAGGAAACTTGCCCAAGGTTTCGCCCTCTGCCTGGAATTGAACTCAGGTCTCTCACTTGCAAAGCGAGTGCTCTAACCACTGAGCTACAGGACTCCACAAAAGAAGGAATGTTGGGGTGGAATGGAGAGAAAGAATGGAGAGGGGGGAATGAAGAGTGGAGGAATGGTGAGGGGAGGAATTGAGAGAGGGAATGGAGGGGAGGAAGCAGCATTGCAGAGACAGGAAGAAACGAGGAGTGAGGACCTGCTTCACGGTGTTCATTTTGTCAGGACCGAGTGTAAATAGATTGTCGATGGCATCAGCTTCTAAAATCAAACAAAACAAACAGTAAATAACTCACTACACAGAGTAGTATCTTCCTCACAGAGACAGTACACATTGCCCTGTCTGGCTTTGGTCTGTCACTCTCCTGATGCACTGACTCTAAGCTACAGTGTCACAGGCTCCCAGCATTCTCAGTGGTCAATCCTCACCATAAACCAACACACATCTTTTGGACAGGTGAGTCAACTGGGATATCAGAGCCATGTTGTCACCTTACGGGCATCTTTCATTCACTGGTCTCTTTCAGGTTACTGAAACCAATTCCAGCTGCTGCACCAGCTCAGGTGAGCTTTTAATAATACTAATACAAAAATAATAATAACTCTTGTATTTGATGTTGTGCTTTATCACGTCGTTGAGACATATCAAAGCACTTCACAGAATATGCTGCAAAGTGAATTGACTGCATATTTTGTGGGCGAAATGCAGCAGCCAATTGCGCACAGCAGTGTCCCACAAACAGTCGTGGATTGAAGTGACCAATTTATTATTATTATTTTTTTGAAGAAATTATTAATCCCAGAAAAGCGACCCGCCAAGTGACTAACATCAGGGTTCCTCTTACTGCTAGGTAAACAGAGGCGAGTGGAATAATCAACACAAACTGTAAATTCAACAGCAAATTTTCCAGATTGCAACATTAATTTGGGTGAAGAAGATTCTTCAGCCCATCTGATCTCATCCCGCCAGCCTACCTTCTCCCCTATCACAGATCAAGCTGATTTTCAAATCAAACCCAGTGCTCTGACCTCAACCAGCCTTCCTGGTAACCTGTTTTAGTTGTTAATTACCCTCTGGGCAAAGAAAAACTTCCTGGTGTCTATTCTGAAATTGCCCTTTACAACTCTAAATTTGTGTCCTCTTGCTGTACTGTCTTGGTCCATCCTAAAGAACAATACTAGTTTACCTTTTCATAGAGTTTACTTTTTCTATCCCATTTAAAATGTTATCCACCAGATCTTCTAAGCTCTTTGAGACTTCCTCCTGACATGAAAGACACTATATAAATTGTGTTGTATTTTACTGTATAAGGGCCTCTCTGAGACATCTCTTTTCGAGACTGGAGAACCCTAGCTTGTCTAATCGATTTTAGTACAATAATATACTAATAAAAATAATAATAATTTGGATTTCCATCGCCCAACCCCCAAACTATCATGATTGTGATCCCTTGTTTAGTTTCTAGCTTGGACATTCCAGTCTGTTATCCATGCTTCACTTGGCTGTTATTCAGTGGTGAGTGCGAAGGGCCTGACAACACCAGGCAACATCTTACTTGTATTTTCATCGCTGCTCCAAAATAAAAAAGAGAAAGAGAATAATCAGCTGAATACATATAATAATAATTTTTAATAATAAAAATAATAATAATCTTTACATTTGATATAGCATCTTTCACATCTGGAGGACATCTCAAAACCCTTCACAGCGCTGTAAAGTATAGTGACTCTATTTGTGACCAATCGCAGCAACCAATTTGCACACAGCAAAGTCCCACATACATCCATTAAGTGAGTGACCAATTTTATGTGAGGGATTGTTGACCAGGACACCAGGAGAGAGAAACTTCCTTCTCTTTTCAATAGTGCCACGGGATCTTTAACATCCACCTGAATTTTTTTCTGGTCAGCCGTGTGTCTGACACGTGGAAACCCATCCCCATGAGCATTGAAACCAGACGGAGCGTTCCATAAATACCACCTCTACTTGCAAATTCCCATGCATTGGAATGGAATGTGCACTCACTCCCTGGAGGTGCACCCTGCTTACCTAATTCTGGAAAGTACTAGGCATAGGTTGGCAAGAGCCAAGACTTGTGTGTTAAGCTGAATGCTGGAGTCTAACCAGCTAAAACCGCATAGCTTGCCATTGATAGCATTGTCTGGCAAGCTTTCCCACTGCTTAACAGCTGGGACCATTAGGGCTTTGGCTTGCAGGGTTAGTGGGAGCTGAGTGGGAAGAGTCCCTGCCTCCAGTGACTGGTCTGCCCCCCCCCCCCACCCCCGCCAAGAACTGCCGCTGGGATGGGCTGTCATCAGCAGTGCCCTTGAGTAAAGCAGATCTGTCTGGGTCAGGAACTGGACTTGAGACCATTACAGAAGATGGACTCGATTCTGACATTCTGTTGACAAAAATGTCACCTTGGAGTCAGTTCAGTTTCAAATAGAGCTCCTGCGAAACCTGAACAGGCACAGATAATAATATCTCATCCAAAGGACAGCCCTCCAACAATGCAATGTCATCTTAGACTATGTGAGTTCAACTCTAAACTCATATAGTAGAGGCTTGAACTCAAAACCTCTGGATTTTAGAGGCAATGTTAAGGAACAGGGTTAGTCATTAAACAGATCAAAACCATCTTCCTGAGCTTTGTGGATGCAAAGTTTGCATTACCTCTGCTCAGTGATATATTCCAAATGCTTCTGACTTTTTACTAATTTACTGTCAATCTGGAAAAGAAGAAAATTCACAGTCAACTTACAAAGCTCAAGAATGTTAACAGCGTCAAAGACTTTTTCCATTTCTAAAATCAAACATACATCTGCCTACCAACACACAGTAACTTCCATTTTACACCACACTACACTAACACAGCATTACACTGTGGAGTCCTGTAGCTCAGTGGTTAGAGCACTCGCTTTGCAAGTGAGAGACCTGAGTTCATTTCCAGGCAGGTCAGGGCGAAACCTTGGGCAAGTTTCCTTACTCCACACAGAGCCTAATAATAATCCCTCCAAAACCAAAACCAATAATAAATTGGTCATTTTCAATCTACGACTGTTTGTGGGACATTGCTGTGCGCAATTGGCTGCCGCGTTCGCCCACAAATATACGGTCAATTTACTTTACAGTGTGTTCTGTGAAGCGCTTTGGGACGTCCTCCCGACGTGAAAAGTGCTATATCAAATGCAAGGATTATTATTATTATTATTACACTTAGGGTTGAGAGGTCCCTGCCCCCACTGGTCTGCCCTTCCAAGTGCTGCCAATAAGCCAGGCTAGACTGGGCTATCATCAGTAGTGCCCTGGAGTACTGTGGACCCGCCTGGCTCAGGAACCGACTTCGAGACTATCACATAGGGTGGACTCAATTCCGACTTTCACGTACGTCACCTGAACCACAAGCAGAGGAAAACTGAATGAATAATATAATAGAGGGGGATGATCATAGAATCATAGAATATTACAGCACAGAATGAGGCCATTTGGCCCAATGTGCCTGTGCCAGCTCTTTGGAAGAGCTACCGAATCAGTCCCACTCTCCCAAACCCCTGTAATTTTTTTCTTTCCAAGTACCTATCTATGATGATGTGGGACCCAGTATCCCTATGGGTACTGATCAGCCTGAGCCTCAAATTATCAGCAGAATTCACACTGTTTCTTACCTGGTAAGTTACTTTTTCCACATAAACATTTTTAGGAAGGTCCAGGTCAGGCCTGAAGTGCTTCATAATGGCAACCAACAGATGGAGTGTGGCCAACAAGTCCTTGTTATTGATCACTGAAAGCCACAAGGAGAGTTTAGTCAGGAAGTGATGTTTACAGTTGTATAAAACACTGGTCAGACCCCTTTTGGAGAATTGTGTGCATTTTGAGGCATCTTAGGAAGGATGTATTAGTCTTAGAGAGTGTGCAGCGTTGATTTACTAGAATGATTCCTGTTGTCAAGGGCCTAAATTATGATGAGTGGATGTAAAACTTTGGATTGTATCCTCTTGTATTCAGCAGGTTGAGAGGTGATGCGATTGAGCTGTGCAAAATTATGAAGGGAGTTGATAGGCTGAACAGCAAGCAAATGTTTCCTCTGCTGAGAAAATTGAGCACTAGAGGCCAGAGGAAGCAGTTGAGAAGTGAAATAAGGAAACATTTTTTCACACAGGGGTTGGTGGGTGTGTGGAATTTACTCCCCTGAAGGCAGTGTGGGCAAACTCAGATGAAGAATTTTAAAGGCAAATGGAAAATAATTTGATAGACGGATATTAGGGGATATGGAGAGAGGACGGGGAGGTGGAACTGAGTTGCGGATCAGCCACTATCTTGACAAGTAGTGGTACAGGCTGGATGGCCTGAATGGCCTCCTCCTATATTGCTTCCTTCACACCTGAAGACTTTCCTCTTTGACCATGCCTACAGTCACCTCCCCTCTCTCCCCAGATCACTGTCAAAACGTGCCATTATTTAGCACTCCGAGACATTACTCCCTTGAAGACACTGTCTAAATGCAAGTTGTTGATGTTGTAGTACACTGTCTTTATTCCTCATGCTAGGCACAGGCCTGGTAGAGCAGGTTTTTTTTTATCAACTGGAACCTCCCCCTTATCAGAAACACTGACACACACACACGCAGAGACCCATCACCATCCTTAACAGTCTCCAAACCAAACTGAGTTCCACGCATCTTACTTACACAATGAAATTCCCGTATATTGGAATAGAATACACACTTTCTTCCCAGTAGGACTCATCTTGCTTACCTTATGACAGAGAGTACCAGGCACAGGGGATTGGGGTTCTCAAGAGTGTGAGTTGGGTAAATGCTGGAGCCTAACCAGCTAAAATCACATAGATTGTCATTGATATTGCTGTCAGGCAAACTTTCCCACTGCTTGTCCAGCTAGGATCACCCTACCCGTTAGGGTTCTGGTTGAAAGTGACTGATCTGCCCTTCCAGGTTCTGACGAGACAGGCTGCCTGTGCTGTCATCAGCAGTGCCCTGGAATACTGCGGACCCTCCTGGATCAGCAACTGAACTACTGAGACCACCACAGATTCAGGCTCGATTCAGACATTCCGCTGCCGGCAATATGACCTTCGAGCCAGTTTCGCGCCACGGAAACCCTGCTTATGTTATACATCCCGCCGGCACTAACTAGAATTTGCCTCCTTACACAGCACTTACGCTCAACACTCCACTTGAGGCTGGATTGATCGGTGACTTGGAGCAGCTGGTTCACGGTGTCCAGCACAACTTTGAGCTTGTGTCTCTGGGCACTGGTGGAGAATGCGATTTCACCCACCTCCAACTTGACATCTCCTAAATGTACTAATGGAGAAGGCAAAGGTCAGCAGTAGGGTGATGTCATGCCGGGTGATGCCACGTGCTCAGTGATTGAGCACAATCACAATTGTGCGTTCGCCCACAAATATACAGTCAATTCACTTTACAGTGTGTTCTGTGAAGCGCTTTGGGACGTCCTCCCGACGTGAAAAGCGCTATATCAAATGCAAGGATTATTATTATTATTATTGGTGTCAGGCTGGGGTGAAGTCATACACTGGGTGATGTCATATGCCGGGTGATGTCATGCAGGATGATGTCATTTCGATGCTATAAAGCCCAGGGTGTGATGTCACCCTGTGGATCTGGCTTGGGACAGGCTTGGGTCTGGCCTGGGGTCAGGTTCGGGTTGGGATCAGGTTGTCTTACCCAGCATGTGATGAAGCACTAAGCCATCATAGATATCTTCCTCCAGGGACTGCACCACAATGTGATCCCTCTTCAGGGTACGATTAATCCAATCGATGAGGAACTGCAAACAGTTGAAAGCAAAAGATTCGGCTCTCGCTGAACTTGGCATTTGTACAAAGGCTTAACATTTTTACTAACAAAAATAATCTTTTCATTTACACATCACACCAGAGTCAGGTCAAGAAGACTCTTCCTGGGCAGCCCCCTTATGTGACAGTGGCCAGAACTGTATGCAGTATTCAAGGTGAGGTCTGACCGGAGCACTGTACAGCTTCAGTATGATGAATGGGGATCTAAACTCAACTGATTTAGCAATGTAGCCCAGCATCATAATTGCCTTGTTTATTGTTATACTACTGTATTGTTGTGCATTGTTTTGTGCTCTCTAAAGTCAGAGGACACTATTAGGGAGGATGATAAAGTTGGAGTGATCTGCTGAGCTGTGGGTGATTGAAGGACATCAGTCACAGGAGGGAATTTGCTCACATTAGGATAGAGTTCCTACCATTTTCAACTCTTGGAGTTGGGGACTCAGCAGTGAGCTGGGCTGCAAAATATTTCTTGCCTCTTCTGTGAAAACAAGAGTAAAAATTCAAACCAAGTGAACAGGAAAACCGTCACTACACTTTACAGTGAATCCTGAGGCATTTTGAGACACCTTCCTGACGTAATAAGGCGCTGTTACCAAATATAATGATTAAAGCAATAAACCAGTATGAAAAGCTAAGAGGATTTCCTTAAGACTAATTGGAGTGGACAAAGGGGAGATCGTAAACTGGGAGCTGGTGGGGCATAGGACCAAAGGTGTTGGTCCGACTGGCCCAACACAGTGCTAAGATTTGATATCAACACCTCTGGGTAGGGATGGGCTTGTCTCTGAGTGGAATACGGAAACCCATCTCCATCTATCCGTACCAAATAGAGTTCTATGCATCCTATCTATACATGGAAATTCTGGAGATGCTTATTGGAATGAAATTTACACTCTCTCTCTCCCTGGAGTGACTCATCCTGCTTATCTCATCCTAAAGTATTAGACACAGGTTGGCAAAAGCCAAGGCTTGGAGACCCCAGAGTGTGCATTGAGGTAACTACTGGAGTATAACCAGCCAAAACCGCATTGCTTGCCATTGAGAACACTGGCTGGCAAGCTTCCTGATACTTATCCAACTAGGACCACTCTACCATTAGGGCTTTGGCTTGCAGGGCTAATGGGAGCTAAGTGGAAAGAGTCCTTTCCCCCAGTGCCTTTCCAAGACCCACCAATGAACCAGGCTTGGCTGCTCTGTCATCAGCTGTGCCCTGGAGTACTGCTGAGCTGCCTGGCTCAGGAACTGGACAACTGAGACCCAAGAGAGGTCTGGCTCGACTCCAGATTTCCATTGCCAAATATGTCACCCTAGAGACAATTCAGCTACAAGGAGACCCGTTACTGTGTGCAAATTGTCTGCCTCAGAAATACAGTTACTGCACTTTACGGAATTATTGTGAAACTCTTTGAGATGTTCTTAGTGTGCTTAGTGTGAAGGGCTTCAAAATCATAGCCACTGTATCAAATGTAATGCAGATTTGAAGACCGTAAAGTGACATACCTGGAACAAGGTCATTGGCTGGGTCATTTTCAAAGTTACTAACGTCCATGTCGGAGTCTCCTCCTGGTAGATACAAAAAAAAATGAAGATTTACACACTAGAGAGCATCCAGCCATGATCAATTGTCGAGTCACACTTGGACATACCTGAAAGAGGATGAAGGTTCAGAGATATGAAAGGAGGACAACACCAGGACATTTTTCCTTACCCAGAGGGCAATTAAGGACTGGGACAGAATTACCAGTAAGAGTGATTGAGGCCAGGACACTGAACTCATTTAAAAAACAGCTTGATGCTATTATGGAAGGATGATAGGGTGGATTTTCTAGATGGATGAGATTGGTTGGACCTCTTTTGCAATACAATACACTTATTTAGCACCTTTCAAGTTGGGAGGACATTCCAAAACACTTCTTCTTGTGATTGTATTATTATTGAGGACTGAAATTCCACCTTAGCATGTAAAACCATCTGGCATTAAAATATCAAATGATCTGGGACGCTACCCTGTGTGAAGGATGCTATATAAATGCAAGTTGTTGTTGTAATATAAGATGGAGTCCTGTAGCTCAGTGGTTAGAGCACTCGCTTTGCAAGCGAGAGACCCGAGTTCAATTCCAGGCAGGGCGAAACCTTGGGCAAGTTTCCTTACTCCACACGCCTCATAATAATCCCTCCAAAACCAAAAACAATAATAAATTGGTCATTTTCAATCCATGACTGTTTGTGGGACATTGCTGTGCGCAATTGGCTGCCGCGTTTCGCCCACAAATATACAGTCAATTCACTTTACAGTATATTCTGTGAAGCGCTTTGGGACGTCCTCCCGACGTGAAAAGCGCTATATCAAATGCAAGGATTATTATTATTATTACACAATGTAGCTGAAAATTTCTTCAACTTAGTTCATCTGCAAGCTTAAAACTGTGGAAAACAGGTTCTAGACCAGGACTAAATGTGAGAATTTGCCACAATTCTGCATCATCTTAGATTTTAAGGTAGGATGTGCCTGGGTGTAACTTCAGGTCTCTTATGTCTACTCAGCACTCGGCATTCCGAGACATTGCCCAGCGTGAAGGGTGTTATATAATTGTATGTTGTTGTTCTATTACACACCCAGTTACAATCTCCAATTGTATTTCATTGTCCCACCAATCCCTCTCCTCGGGGCCGAACTGGCTCCAAGGTGATGTGCCTGGCAATGGAATGTCAGAATTGAGCCCACACTTTGTGAGGCTCAAGTCTGGTTCCTAAGCCAGGCAGGTCCACAGTGCTCCAGGGCACTGCTGATGACAGCCCAGATGACTCATTGGCAGGACTTGGAAGGGCAGACTGGTCACTGGGAGGACTCTTCCCACTCAGCTCCTGTTATAATATTTGCCTTTGATATTGCACCTTATAATAATAATAATCCTTGCATTTGATATAGCGCTTTTCACATCTTTAAGATATCTCAAAACATTTTACGGAACATACTGTAAAGTGAATTGACTATATAGTTTGCGCACAGCAGTGTCCCATAAATAAACGTGGATTGAGTGACCAAATTTGAATTAATGAATTTATTTTTGAAAGTAAAATGATGGCCTAGAAAAGTGATCCACCAACGACTAACAACCGAGTTCCTATTTATTGCTGGGTAAACAGAGGCGGTAACCCTGCAAGCCAAAGCCCTAACGGGTGGGGTGGTCCTAGCTGGAGAAGCAGCAGGAAGCTTGCCAAAAATGTGAAATGGAGTTTCCAGTCTGGTTTGGAAACTCTTTAGTATGATGATGGGATGTCAAACCACATTCTTGCTAGTATACTGCACCATCTCATTCTCTTTACAGAAAAGGGTTCCTCTCTGAACACAGTACACTGAATAGAAAACCACGGGAAACAGATGTAAAGAGATAAGAAGTTTGCTTCACAATGATAAAATACACGGGGAGAGGCTGCAGACATGGATATGTGCAGATACTAACCTCTGCTTGTTTCTGTAGTGACTTGTCACTTCAGCAGCGGAAGATTTGAGCTGTTTATGTTTAACAGATGAGTTGTTGGAATTCAGTGTGCGAAACACTTTTGAGTTCACTTAGACGAAATCCTGCAGTGACATAAAGCGAAACTGCGAAATGTAATTTAATTCACCAACTTTACAATTCATTCAATGTGGCAACATCGATGGTGCCCACACCATTAGCCCGCTCCCAGTAACTGGCGGCAAGTCAATTTGTTCAATAAATAGCTTAAGGGAGATTGAGATTGCGTTTGATCATTTAGTCTGGCTGCACAGTCTCTTTTTCGGCAGTTATAAAACTTCCTCTTTCAAGGCGGTTTCAGCAGCAATAGTTCTGAGAAGCGGAAACTGAAGTGAGTAATGGTGTGAGCAAGAGACCAAAAACAGCTAACTGGAGTGAGATGTAATGTAGTGAGATGATATAGTGTAATAAGTCCTCAATTCTGTCAACTGCAGAAAAGTGCCTCTCAAATTAACTTGAATTTTTTTCCATATTCTTAGTTGTTTGTTTTAATACTGATCAATACAAGGTACTATCTATAGGAAGTGAGAATAAGAAACACAAGTTGAAAGAGATGTGGGGTGTTAGTTGACTCATCACAGGCAGTGATGTCAAAACAGTGTGATGTAACAATAAACACGGAAAACAGGGAACTCGGGCTCTTCAGTCTTGAGAAGACACAAACGGGATCTAGTAGAGGTGTACAATATTTTAAATGGGATTGAAAAAGTAAACCCAGATCAATACTTTAGGATGCACCGAGACAGTAGAAGAGGACATGGGTTTAAGAGTTGTAAAGGGCAATTTCAGGACAAGCACCCGGAAGCCTTCTTTACCCAGAGGGTAATTAATGATTGGAGCAGGTTGCCAGGAGACTGGGACTCGATTTAAAAAGCTACTTGATTCTGTGATGGGTGCACGGTAGGATGAGCATTCTGGAGGATTGACATTGGATGGGCCAAAGGGTCTTCTTCACCTGAACCGGTCTTGTGACACATGGAATGAGATGTCAGTGGAGTTTCTGGCTGTTTTAATGGAAACATGGAACTGTCAGTGTTGATTATCATTCCTGTTGAATCAGGAAAACAGGCACAGAAGACCATTCAGCCCAGCAAGTCTAGTTCATTACGAACATCAGAATTACACTGGACCTTTGAGAATTCATACTGTACTTTGGGCTTTCCAATCACAGACTGTGGGTGCTTCTTTCCTCTGTAACAGTGATTTTCCCCTTTCAGTAATTGTATCACGTCAGCACTTTCAATTCTCTGTATTGTACCACACTGAAGTTTATTGAGAAACAGCTCATGAGGAAAACGGGAACATGGGGAGACCATTCAGCCCATCCAGTCTGTTCCACCGGTTTATTAGATGCTGGCAATGTCCTACTCTTAACGTCCAAACCTTCCACAATACGTCTTAATTCTTTAATCCCCCCAGTCTATGACTCTCTCATAGAAAATCCTTCCAATTCTGTGCTACACCTTCCTGGGAAGAGCAATATACAACTTCTCAACCTGCGTGAGCAAACACTTCCTGACTGGCTACAGAACGCAGGTTATGGTTGAGCGCCTCCTTTGAAGGATAGCATCTATTAACATGGCAAAGGATGCATCGGAGTGGACTCAAACCTGCAAGTTCCTGACCCAGACTCAAAGGTGAAGGATCAGGCCGACCTGTGAGCACCAGTCAGGTTGAGATACTCAGACAAAGATGCTTGAATCTGGTCACCAGTGGACATTTATTAAAATAAATAGTTAGTAAATGTCAAACGGCAGCTGACAGTACCATGCACATACAAAGAAAGGCCTGAGTGGGGGTCCTTTTCTACTGATTCCCCCAATCCCAAAAACACACAGTCCAGTCCACAATCAACGCTCCACATTGGAGACAACTTACAGTAAGTACATTGGAAACATGAATTTAACACTTGAAGGAAATGTAATTCCTATTAACACCATTGGGCTCTAACGTACAGAGGCTACTGATATCAAGCGTCCATTGAACCATCCTGGTCAAAGGCCAGGAAGGAAGAAAGTTGTGATACCAGAACATGAGACAATCGTTGATCACAAAGTTCAGACATCGGTGATATTTGCTGTGTTGCTCCAGTGATGAGCATGGTACTGAAAAGATTTTGCAGGTGAGTAACTCATGCCTTTGCTCTAAATGGCGAGATTCTGTGAAGCAGGATAGAAGCTTTTTTGGCTTTCTGTTTAGTTTCTGTGAATTGAAGGGCATCACTCTCTCAGGGGTGCCCATTCTTACACTGCCTGTGGGAGCCTCCAGTCACGCAAAATTCACTGGGTGGATTCACAGCGGATGACTCCCACCTTCAGAACACAGCTCAACATGGACAGTCTGGCCTTTTCTACAATACTGTAAGCTCCGTTGAGTGTGATCCTGTTCTCAGCTTGTTAAAAAATACCCTCATCAACTTCACTCAGAGCACTCACCCAATGAGAAAACAGTTACTGATCCTGCTAGCCTGACAAGGCGATCAGTCACTTCAGTTACCAGTGTAATATTCCCTAGAGCCTTGCTGTTCTCTCTGGTGCAGTGTTTAATCTGTGTGTCTCGCTGATTTCTGTTACATCTGTGTACAGGTACACGGAGTGAATGTTAAGTGGCACAGTATCAATTTATGTAGTACTATATTCAACCAGACATCCCAATCAATCCATCCATCTATAACCAGCCAACCTGATTACTCATCCAGTGTATACTGGCCACTCAATCTGATAACCAGTCACATTGTACAGGAAAGCCAAACCCAAACCAAAGGCCCGGGCATAATGAATCCCAGTGTTTGAGCATGTAGTGAACGAGTGCCTCACTGGTCGGGTATAGTCAAGTCTTGTGCAGGACTTGACTGTACCCGACGACCCATTCACAACCCATGTTATGAATGGTGACCAATCAATCAACCTTCTCACACACCATAGGTTTTGCGCAGGTTTGTCTGCACAACAGGAGTCTCTGGTGAGGCTCAACACTACAGTGGGCAATTGCTGGTGAGCAGCCAGAAACTACTGTACCTCACTCAGACAAGCATCCACAGACAGGAAGATAAATAAATCCACACAAACCACATCACGGGGTTCGCTATTAGGCGTTCACAGTTTGCTAAAAGGCAGGTGTGCAGATCAATGCAGATACTTCAAGTATATCAAGTATATGTGTGTGTTAAACACTCCAGTGACGATACTGCTGTAAACATCGTGAAGGAAGAATATACCATTCAAATATAGGCTTTAAACAAAACATTTCAAGTAAACTAGCCTGCTCGTGCAGCGGCTTCAGACAGGCACTGTGGCTGATAACACATTAACATTCGGAAACAGCTGTTATCGTTCTAACTGTAGAGGTGAGATTACCACAGGTGAGTGAGGAGTCAATCAAAACTAAAGCTGATCAAAGTTAGTACCTTACGGTCTGATGATGACAGGTGGTGACAGTGTGATGTGGAATACTTAGGGGACGAGGGAAATCACGCCAAGCTGGGTGGTGTGAGGAAGCCAGTGGCAGACTCTGACAGCCGAGGGGAGAGGAATGAGTTTACCAGCGCCATAACCTCAGTGGCTGCTCACAGGTGCAGTGCGGCCCCATTGTCAGAGTGAACAACGCTGGAGTATCGGGAAAGGAAGTGAAACAGATTCAACCTCGGGCTTAAAGTAGGGCAGGTTAATCCGGTTGGTGACAGCCACTAAGGAGATGGGGCCAATCACCCAGCAGATCAATTGGCTGCAGTTTGCCCTTAACCCTTTGGGGACTAGTGAGGTTGATAAGCATCAAACACTGACAGGGCATGTAATGAATATTTAACTCTCGTAGCACCACAGTTCTGTCACAAGGTGTCCCTCTCTGACTGCAATCTCTGGCTGTGTGAATCAGACATTCAGAGACAGTTAAAGCCTACTCTTGCTGCCCAACACAGAGCTGGGGAAGGCTCCTTACGCCCCTAAAGGTTAACAACAAAACATAAAAGCGCTCTACCCTCACCCAAATGAAGAGGTAGCTGACAGGGCAGGCAACAACAAAAATGGAACAAGGCAAGTGCATGAGCCATTGGCACGTCTGCTGATTGACATGGGCCATGCTGCTGCCAGTCAAAGCTTTACCAGGAAGCTAATAATAATAATCTTGCATTTAATACAGCACCTTATCACATCATCTAGATGTCTCAAACTCTTCACAGGATTTACTATAAAGTGGGAGTGACTGTGTGTGGTTTGCTGGAAAAGTTTGGCAAATATATGAATATTACCCTGATACAAAGGGAATCCATGTCCCCCAATGGGTAGGAAATAGCATAGCACTCGCTGATTCCAACGACAGTCTCACATCTTAACCGCCCCCCCCCAACCCCAAACGGGCCCGGTGAGCAGCAAGGATTCCCCTGCAGTGCTGGCCCTCGGCGACTGCGAGCACCGTTACTCCACATTCTTGTATTTGGTGAACAGGTTGTACAGGACTCGCAGTGTGGACTTCAGATCCAGGCTCACCACGTCTGCAAGAGAGAAAGGGGGGGGGGATGGAGAGAGAATGAGAGAGAGAGAGCGAGAGAGAGGGGGAGAAACAGCGAGAGAGAAAAAGAGAGGGGTGTCACTGACTCAGCAAACTCCACATGGCAGCAAATGGAATAAACCATGAGAGCGAGGGAACAGTGCTGGCACACTGAGAGGAGCGGGATTCACATGGCTCAGATAGAGAAGTGCAATGTACAGTGAGGTCAAGGGTACAGATACAGAGAGCTGCAGTGTACAATGTGGGGGCGGGTGGAGCTGCAATGTACGGGAGTTCGCTCAGGCTGTAACCAGCTGGTGCTCTCGCACCTCACACTCACCCTCCGGCCGAGCTTTAGGCTTTTTGAGGCCCCCGTCCTGCATCAGCTCGAAAGCCAGTGACACGTTGTGGACCTGCAAAAAACAACTGCTCATTTAATTTCATTCATTTCACTGAACCATGCTACCATGCCCCCAACTCCATGCATCTCCATTTCTCCATTTAGCACCCTTCCCGGCTTCCGCTTCTTCAAACTCCCCCACCCACCCCACTCGGCTTCTGCGTCTCTCCTCGCTTCCCGTCAACCTCCCAACCCACGTTGTCTCCCCCCCAACCCACGTCCTCTCCTCCCGGCCTCCGAGTCCCCTTGGCCATTCTGAGTGAGGAACAGGCCAGCACGAACCTTCTGGTCAAAGCTTTCCGGTGTGAGGTAGAAGTTGTGCAGAGGAACAAAGTAATTTTCCAGAAGCCCCATAAGCAGCACAAGGTACACACCATCTGCAAACTGACAGCACCAGTTACGCTCAGACATGAGCCAGCTGCCCCATTCACTCACTGCTCTTCAAACACGTTTACACTCACAGTGCCTTTCACCGCGGGAGCAAGGCTCAAAGTGCTTCACACAACCGACTGGAGACCGAGCTGGGATGGGTGAGAGGAAGATGAGGAAGGAGGGCGCAAGAGGGACCCAAACCATGGGGACAAAGGTCTTAAGATGGGGTTTAATGGTGGAGAGGGAGGGATGAAGCGGAGGGACTTCAGTGTCAGAGAGTTTCAGAGTTTCGGGGCATAGTGGCTGAAAGCATGGACACTGATGGTGGAGCATAAGGGAGGAGGGACCTGCAGAAGGGCAGAGTGGTGAAGCCAAGGGGTTGAGTAGTGGGAGTGGAGTGTACGATGCTAGGATAGGCACGAATGGAAAATGAAAGAGTAAATCGATGGAGATGGAGCAGAGAAGTGGTGAAGAAGGATAGAGTAGGCAATGGAAAGATTCGCAGGGAAACTTTGCTTTAGTAAACATGGGAAAAATCCTTGACTCTAGCAATGACATCAGGGAGATATATAGCCAGCTGTACTTCACTCAATCCTGCCGCGCACTGTCCAAGCAGAAAAGAGAGTGAAAGAGCTCGTTACCTGCGTCTCCAGCTCAGTCACCTCCAAGTTCAGCTTGTTTAGATGTTTGTTCACAAATGTGATGAGCGACTGTGGGGGAAATGTTTTCGTAACATGAACAAGCTTCTCAACTCTCAGGAAGACGATTGGAGAATTAATTCACTTCAGACAACCTCGTCTTGCCCGCATCCCCGCCTCCCCAGAGAGACAATGGAACATTCCAACTTTATCAAACCTAGACTCACTGATGCTGCCTTTTAGGGGGTTAGCTATGAAACTGTTAGGACTGGGGTTATAGTCCTGAGGCCAGCGGATCTTAAGAGGTGATGTCATTACAAGGGACAGAGCCTTTAACTCAAGAGCCAGGACGGTTCGAATGGAGGTCAGGAAGGATGTGGAATCCTCTGCCCCAGAAAGCTATAAGAGGGTTTGATCAGGTTAACATCAATAAGTTACTTCCACTGGACAGAATCAAAAGGAATGTCTATGAGAGAGACAGAGACTGGGGGAATAGAGAATAAAGGGGTGAAAAAGTCAGGTATTGGGAGTAAGATATTGCCAACATCTAACAGACTTGATGGGCTGCAATAAACCAAAGGCAACATTCCTGTTCCTCTTCCTGTTTTCCTCATGGGCTGTTTCTATAATAATAATAATAATCCTTGCATTTGATATAGCGCTTTTCACGTCGGGAGGACGTCCCAAAGCGCTTCACAGAACATACTGTAGAGGGAATTGACTGCATATTTGTGGGCGAACGCGGCAGCCAATTGCGCATAGCAATGTCCCACAAACAGTTGTAGATTGAAAATGACCAATTTATTATTGTTTTTGTTTTTTGGAGGGATGGCACAATACAGAGAATTGAAAGTGCTGACGTGATATGATCACTGAAAGGGGAAGCTGTAAAAGTCCAGAGGAAGTCACTGTTACAGCGGAAAGAAGTTTTCCTGATTCCACAGGAATGATAATCAACAATGTGGCAGCTCCGTGTTTCCATTAAAAAAGTCAGAAACACCTTCTCATTCCACGTGATACAAGATCACAAAGCAGGTTCAGATGAAGAAGGCCCTTTGGCCCATCTGATCTCATCCCTCCAGAACACCCCCCACCCCCTCCCTTCACAGCATCAAGTAGCTTTTTAATGAGTCCCAATGTCCTGGCCTTAACCACCCTTCCTGGCAACCTGTTCCAGTCGTTAATTACCCTCCGGGTAAAGAAAAACTTCCTGTGTCTATCTTGAAATAGTCCTTTACCACTCTAAACCTGTGTCCTCTTGCTGTACTGTCTTGGTGCATCTTGAAACATTGATCTGTGGCAGTTCAGTGTTCCCTGTGCTACTGTAAATATTTGTCTCAGTAAAATACTTTGGGATTACAAAGGAAGAATGAATAATTACCTTCTTCACAACGCTGAGTTTGTCAGGCGCATGGTCGAACAGTGTATCAAACGCATCTCGTTCTGCAATAAACCAGAGTCAACATCCCATTCACATCACTTTGCAGGTAAACTCTGACTCGTGAATCTGCTCTGTGTTGGAAGCAAAAAGCTGCACCGTGAGGTTGGGCTGGATGGAGACACGAAAGCTGAACTGGACGCCATTATTCACCCTTTATTTATGACCAATTAATGACTGTACTTTGGGGAGTGGAGTGGGGGGGGAGGTAAGTGGGATCTCGTTGGGGCCGAGTTTTCTCCAAGGTGATGTTTGGCAACGGAATGTCAGAATCAAGTCCACCCTCTGTGATGGTCTCTTGTCCGGTTCCTGAACCAGATGGGTCCACAAGACTTCAGAGCACTGCTGATGACAGCCCAGCTTATGGCTTATTGGCATGACTCAGATGGGTAGGACGCAATCATAATGATGAGCAATGTGGATGCTGGGGGCAGGGACATCTCAGCCTGTATCAGTTTAGTTTCATTACCTAGATTAGGTCACCCATCTTGACAGTGGGGTGGGGGATAGAGGGGAAGCCCTGCCGAACAGTTAGCGCAGGGGTTGGGAAGCCCCGTCCGACAATGGGGCAGACACTCAACCCAACTGGGGGGAGAGGGAGGGATTGACACCTCACTAGAGAGTGGGGAAGAGGGGCGGTGGAGGGTGGGACAGGATGCTGCAGCCAAGGTCTCTCTGGCTTCTGATCAGCGGCCTCTCTAGAGCAATCTGCAGGTGCAGGTGGCAAAAGGAATGCAATCGCCGTGGGGCTGGGAATCAATCAAACAACAGATGGAACCCAACACATTCAACCTTCGTGAAAGACGCCACAGGAACAGTTTACTCACCAAACCTCCCCATCATCAACCTGCAAAGCAGAACGTAGCATGCCAGTTAGGGATTATAGAGCACAGGTGCACTGACAATACATCAACTCAGTGTGTCCAGGCTTTAATATACTAATGCTCTGTTTGCTGCTCCACAGGCTGCAGGTCACGTCATCTCCCGCACCAGGCTCCACGAGCCTATCAACCCCAATTCGCCTGGCACCACTGGATGTCCCATCAAATTGAAGATCCTCATTCTCACATTCAAATCCCTCTGTGGTCTCAACCCCAACCTACCCTCCGTGACCTCTTCAAACCCTACTGCTCCCTCCACTCGGCAGGCACTGGCCTAAATCCTGCTCCCCGCCCTGCCTGCCCCACCATCGGCAGTCGGGCTTTCTGCCATTCCCCTCGATCTCTCAAACTCCATCCCAGAGCCTCTCTGCCTCACCCCCCTCTCTCTATGCTTTCAATCAACTTTTTATTGTAATATAATATTTGCTGTTTAGTCAGTGCTAGTGAGGTTAGGAATTTGTCTGAAAAATCCAGTCCTTACATTTTATTATGGGGTGGGGGTTGGGGAAACAATGCAGGGATTGGTAGTGGTGTTGGGTGGTGGAGGAGGAGGTATGACACTGAATGGTAACTTACTCTGTTGTGCTGGTGAGCTCCTCTGTAATGTGAGACGTATGGAGCATCCCTTCCCGTTTCTGAAAGTTAGACAAGAAAAGGCTGAGAGACAAACATCCAACAAAAAAAACAGCCCCACCTCTAGGGCCTGGACAACCCCCTTGTGTTATATCCTACAATAGGGATGGAGCTGAAGGGGCCTGGAATCTTGGATATAACCTGTGGTTTCAAATGGCCGGGGCTCCCAGACAGATGCCCAACTTTATACAATGGCATTCGTAGACTTTAGTCAGTGTGTGTCTGTGTGTGCGGTGTGTGGGAGATCTCCTTTGTGCTGGGCTGGTGGGGAGGGAATGGCAAGCTGCAGAGATTTAGGGTTGGAGTTCGAGACGAGGTATTTGGAGAAAGGCTTACCCGCACGACCAGCACCTGCACTGACACGTGTTCCGGAAGCCTCACACGGGATCGGAAGTGCATTGCCAGGGCTACCAGGAGGTGAAGGATGGCCACCATGTTTTTGCCATGGATCACTGCAAAACAAGAGTAAGTCATTCTCAACCGCAGCTTCCAGGTTGCAACTGCAATCAGCACATGACTGGGTTTCTAATAATTAGCCTCACTAATTCTAATAATTAGCCTCCGTCAGGAGGTCGTCTGAAAGCGCTTCACAGGATTTTACTGAGAAGTGGAGTTACTGCATTTGTAGGCGAACATCCAGCCAATTCTGTGGAGTCCTGTAGCTCAGTGGTTAGAGCACTCGCTTTGCAAGCGAGAGACCTGAGTTCAATTCCAGGCAGGGCGAAACCTTGGGCAAGTTTCCTTACTCCACACGCCTAATAATAATCCCTCCAAAAAACCCAAAACAATAATAAATTGGTCATTTTCAATCTACGACTGTTTGTGGGACATTGCTGTGCGCAATTGGCTGCCGCGTTCGCCCACAAATATACAGTCAATTCACTTTACAGTATATTCTGTGAAGCGCTTTGGGACGTCCTCCCGACGTGAAAAGCGCTATATCAAATGCAAGGATTATTATTATAATTTGCCCACAGCAACGTCCCACAAACAGCTATAAAATGGCCAATTTTTTATTTGGGGATTGTTGGCCAGAATATCAAGAGAAACTCCCTTCTCATTTAGGATAACGCCATGGGATCTTAAACGTCCACCTGAATAGGCAAACAGGCCATCGGTTTAACGTCTCAGCTGAAGGACGGTGCCTCCGACAATGCAACGCTCCCCCCAACACTGCAACTGAGTGTCAGCATAGACTATGTCAGTTAAAGTCACGATGTCCGGCTTGAACCCACACCTTCTGAAACAAAGCGAGGAACTCCATAGGTCTTTACATAGGTTTATTTTATTAGTCTTTAGCTACCGTCACTCATCACTCTGTCACTGATCACATTAATCTTGGGTGAATTAAGATAATCCTTGCATTTGATATCATGCCTTATCATCGAAATGTCTCAAAACGATTCACCGCATTACATTTAATTGTAAAGCTGGAGGAAAAGCACTCAGTGTACAGAGTGAAAACAGATGGCAGGCTGGCACTTACAATCCACACTCCATTTAATAGCCCAGCCTTGAGGGCGAAGCAGAGTGTTCACATACTCCAACACTGTGTGGAGCTTCTGCTTCTGTCCAATTTCTGACTGCGTCACTTCAGCCACATTCAGCTTATGATTTGAGAGTTTCTCTGAACAGAGAGAATGGAGAAAGAGAGAATATTATAAATTTACATTTGATAAATCACCTTTCACGTTGCGAGCACTTCAGGTTCACTGTAACGTGCAGTGCCTGTGCATTTGTGCCCGAAAGTAGCAGCCAAATTGTGCACAGCAATATTCCACAACAGCCATGAAGTAAATGACCAATTTTAAATGGTGGATCGTGAGCCACTGGGAGAGAGAAACTGCCTTCTCTTTTCCAATAGTGCCACAGGATCTTTAACATCCACTTAATAGACACAGACAGGACCTCGATTTAATGTCTCATCTGAAGATGGTGCTTCTGAAAAGCAGTGCTCTCCCCAGCCTAGAAGAAGGTGGGAGGGGGAGGTCAGAATGAATTTCTTTCGGTCCTGTTATTGGCATCACTGACAATCATTCAGCAGAATAGTGGGATCTCTAGTGCATTGCAGCGCTGCTGATCGCTCCACACTATCCTTAGTGCTAGCAACTTCTGCTGCTCACAAAGCACCTGATGCCTACCCAGCAGCTTCTGCAGAACCTGCCCGTCATAGAGATCATCTTCCAGAGTCTTGACAATGATTCTCTCCTCCACAAGCACGTCATTGATCCAGTCAATGAGAACCTGCACAACAAAAGCAACTCCCATAAGTCAGTCGGTCAGTCAGCGTGGCAACACAGGAAGAAATCCAGACGCACAGGGGAATAATAGGGACTGAGAAAAGGCAGAAAGCCAAGTTTAAATACTGGGAATTGCCTGGAATGAAAGGGAATGGCAAGTTAGACAATGGACAACTCTTCCTTTTGGAAGACGGATCATTGCAAGGGAAAGAGCTTTAAATTCAGAGCCAGGATGGTTAGAGCTAAGGTCAGGAAGCGTTTCCTCACACAGCAGGTTGTGAGGATGTGGAACAGCCCAGAAAGAAATGTTTAAAAAAAAGAGATTTTGGTAGTAGAGGTATTAAGGGGTGTGGCGAAAACGTGGGGGAGCTAGGATTATAAAATCTGGTAAAATCCAATGAACTGGGGGAACAGGATGGATGGACTGAATGGCCTCCTCCTGCTCCTGTATTCCATTGATTTTAGGGTTTTTTAAAGCAGAAAGTGTATTCTCTGTTAATGCAGGTTTACTCTGGACTCACGGTACATTTCCATCTGGTTTCACCTCAAACTTTGATGTTGAAAAATGGTAATGAACGGGGATGAATGAGATGCAGTGCTCCAGCCTCACTGGGTACTGTTCATTGTATTACATTTACCTTCACAAGCTCTTTGAATTTGGCCTCTTCCTTGGATGAGGGATCAATCATCGTGCGTTCTTCATTCTCCTCTGGAAGCCAGCGCGGGAGAGAACAGGAACAGGCATTCACAAAGGAAGGTACTCAACTTCCAACAGCAACACTTACATAGTGCCTTTCACACAGACTGTCTCACAGCGCTTCACAAAGAGAGAGAATCTGAGCAGTACTGGTCAGGCACGGTCAGAGAGGTTGTATTTTTTTTCTAATTTAGTGTTCCCAAGTATTTTTTCTCATTTACTCCCAAATAATACAATATATGTCTCTTTGCCCCTGGTTTGACCTCCTCTCTGCCCCTGGCCTGGCCTCTCTGGGGTGCAGTTCCATGATTGCCGGTTTCCCTCCCGTATCCACCCAGTTACCATTGGCCATGCGTGAGTCTTGGCAATGAGTGCTGACAGGCCACAACCCAACAGTGTTGCAAGCGAACCCACAGGCTTGTTGCTCAGTGTCAACCTGGACTGGGAGCAAACTCCCAAGGTGGGGTGTAAACCCACAATCTTCTGACCCAGAGGCAAGAGCTCTACCAACTGAGCCAGGCCAACGACAGCAAAGTTTCTTCGTGTGATAGACATTTCATGCTGATGTCAGGGCATATGAAGTGACCTTTGCTGCAGAGGGGAGAATGGAGGAAGCCTGATACACAGGTTATAGCAGGCGGCACGTACCGAGCATGGTGTCCTCTGGGTGAACTTCTCTTGACGTTGGGGACATGGGGGCGTTGATGGCATTTTTACCTTCCTCTTGCAGATCGCTCACTGAGAGGAAGAAAGTAGAGGATCAGAATTCTGCGTAAAACAAAGCTCTTTCACTGTGTCTCGGAGGTTCCACCAATGTCAAAAACAGCTTCAGCTTCGGCCAGGAAATTTTGAGGGGGGGGGGGGGGGGAACTGCCAAACCACCTGCTCTCTTCTAAAGGGGCCAGGGGGGATGACGCCGCGCGAGGTAGTTTGTATCCGTTCTGTACATGTTGGCAGCCCTCTCTTAACTTTATGCTTCAACCATCTCTAATAGTTATTGAAAACGCACCAGACAGAACTTTACAGAGAGAGATGCCATTCATCCCGTCGTGCCTGTGCTGCTCTTTGAAAAATCGATCAGCCCCACTAACCTGCCTACGCCACCCACACACAACCTGTAAATGACTTCTCTTTAGATATCTGTCTCAGATGGTCGAAGTCTTTCTTGAGTCAAAAGTTAATGAGCTCACGTCAGGACATTGATGTTAGGCTGATGCTCCGGTGAAGTGTTGCGTGGAGCGCTGCACTGTCAGAATACTTCAGTTGACATGTTAAACTGAGATCCCACCTGGGATGGAATTTAAAGATCCCACTGTTCGAAAAGAAGGGAATTTCTTTCTCCCGCTGTCTGGTCGACAATCACCCAGATAAAATTAATCCCTCACTTCATGGTTGTTTGTGGAATGCTGCTGTGCAAATTGGCTGCCGTGTTCACATAAAACACAGGGTCAATGGCCTCTACAGTATGATCTCTGAAGTCCTACGAGACCTTCAACCACGTGATAAGGCGCTATGTCAGATGCCAAGAATATTTATTTAACTCTGGACAAATATAAATCTGTGTCTGCATGGTTTAATCACACCACATGTGTTTCGGTGGACACAAGCCATCAGAAGGGCTCAAGTCAACAACAATAATATCTGCATTTGATATAGCACCTTATCATGTCGTCGCGAAAAATGCTTCATAGGATGTCCCGCACCAAACTCCGCTCCCCGATTACCCGAGTCCTTGCCAGACTGCACTGGCTGCCTGTCCCAGAGAGGATCGCCTTCAAGATCCTCACCCTTGTCTTCAAATCCCTCCACTCCTCTGCACCCCCTACCTCTCTGACCTCCTCTCTCCTCAAAACAGTGCCCGTTGCCTTCATTCCACTGTGTCTGGCCTCCTCCTTGTCCCCTGAATCCTCCGCTTCACCCTTGGCAGCCATGCCTTTCAGCCACTAGGCCCCGAGGCTCTGGAACTCCCTTCCTCACTCCCTTCGCCTCGCCCCCTCTTTCTATTTTCAGTCTCGGCTGAAGATCTTTCTTTTCGACCGCGCCTTTGGTCACCTTCCTCCCCCTGCCTCGGCCCCGGAATCCGTTACTATGAAGCCCTCTGAGACGCCGTCCAGCGTGGAGGGCACTATAGGAATCCAAGTTGTTGTTGTTGTTACTGTAAAGTGAATACACTATGTATTTTGTGGGCAAAATCCTGCAAACAATAGTGTGAAGCAGACCCACAAGCAGCCATATTTTGATACAGCGCTTTTCATGTTGGAAGAACATACCAAGCGTTTCACAGGATTCACAGTAGTGACTGTGTGTTTTGTGACAGAACACATCAGACAATTTATGCACAGCAACGTTCCTCAATCAGCCATGAAGTGAATGACCAATTTAATTAATGTCTTATTATTAGCACATGCCCGATACTGCATTTGAGTGTCAACTTAGACCATATGAGTTCCAAGTCCCGACGTGGGGCTTGAACCCACAATCTGCTGACTCAGAGACGAGAGTGCCACCGACTGAGCCAGGCTGGTACACAAGTCAAAAGTAAAAAAAGATTCACAGCTCAAGAATGAAAGCAATTTAAAGTTTGTCTGATCGGCATGGGAGTAGGTTAAGTCTTTGTGAGGAGTTTAACTTCAAGAAAACGATTTCAGGCTTGAAATTATAAATTATTACAGTGTTAAATAGATTGTAGCTCCAGTTCTGCTGCTTGTATAGAACAAGTCGTGTCATGGTTTAATTCCACCCGTTTAGTAAAGCAGTCTTCAGTTCAGTATTACACAAACAGGCTCAAAGCACAGCCGAAATCATGACAGCTGTTACCTTCGCTTTTCCTGTTCTTCTTCCCTCCACACAAGAGCCCTGCCATCTCCTCATTAACTCAGCCCAGTGTCCCGGTTCTGCCCTGCGCCCTGTCAGCTGTGGGGGCGAGTGAGGAGTGAGGTGCAGCTGGGAAAAGCTTGGGATATTTCAAGCAGGAACCACATATGTCGTGTCCATCACGGTGACAGGGCAGAGAGAACAGGGGGAGAGAGAGCGAGTAGTCTCTCAGCTTCCTGTTGGTGAAGCTTCTTCTGTCTGAACCCCGATCAGCAGTGAACTGGGCAGAACCATCACGGAGTGAATGACCAGTTTTATCTGGGGGATTGTCAGCCAGGACCCCGAGGGAGAGAAGCTCATTTCACTTTTCCAATAGTGCTGCGGGATCTTTAACATCTATCTGAATGAACAGACACAGACGGGACCTAGGTTTAACACCTCATCCGAAGGAAGGCACCTCCAACAATGCAGTACTCCCCCAGCACTGCACTGGAGCATCAGCTTAAACTGTGATCTCAAAGTCACTGATGTGGGGCTCGAACCCACAAACTTCTGCCTCAAGAGGCAAGAGTGCAAGTGACTGAGCTGACACTGCCGTAGTTTAAAAGAGTGATAAACAGATATTTTGGAATGCGAGGGTTATGGCAAAAGGGTGGAGTTTTGGGAGCAAAAGATCTGCCAAGAACTAATACACTAATTCGATATTATTGTCCCTGTTTGTTCCTGATGTCCTATATGATTCAGTCGGGATATTACATTCTAAATGACTCTGAAGTGATTTCAACCACTGTGAATGAATTAATAAAAGGATAACCATAATCCTTAATGGTCTTAAGTTGGCATAGCGCCTTTTACGCCTGGAGGACGTCTCAAAGCACTTCACAGGGTTCACCCTAATAAGCAGGAGAGCACAACAATTTGCATTTATATGGCGCTTTTTCACACGTGTGTGGGAACACTGAAATATATAAACAGGAATGTGCATTCTATGTGGCAAAATCCCAACAAATCAAGTTCATGTGTTAAATATAAAGTGCTTTTAAAATTAAATATAAGCGTGTCACTGACGAGGATTTCTTTTACGGGCTGTGGTAAAATTAAACGCTCTCGATCTCAGGGGAGACTCTGTTACTTACAACTGTTCTTTGGCAAACTAAAAATAAAACCAACTCTAGTCTACTCATACTGCTCAATCCAGATCCACTTAATCCTATGTTGACCGTGCAGGGAAATTTCAAAACACTTTTCACAAATTTTCTGCCCTATGGGACTTTGAGTTCATAGTCCTTCAGATGAGATATTAAACCAATGGGAGCCCCGTCCCTGCCTGTTCAGGTGGACGTTAAAGATCCTGTGGGACTATTGGAAAGGAGAAGAGAGGTTCTCTCTCCCAGTGTCCTGTCCGACAATCCTCCTGACAAAATTAGACATTCATTTCATGTTTCTATTTGTGGGCAAAATGGCTGCTGACTTCACCTACAAAATGCACAGTCACTACACTTAATAAACAAACTGTCTGAGGCACTTTGAGACCTCTCGGTGTTATCAAATGCAGGGATTATTTTTAAATGAACTGAATCACGAGCTGAACCAAATCAAGATCACAATTTGAGGTTTCAAACTGGGCAGCTATGGCCATATACAACAACAACCTGTGTTTATATAGTATCTTCATGCTGGAAGCGGCTTGGAGAGCGAGACCACTTACATCTGCACTCGGTGCTCGCTCAATGTGATTTGGATCTTTATAACACTGGTTAGTGTGGCCACACACCGCTGCTCAGGGCAAACAGATTATTGCACAGCAACTAAATTCAACTACTTTGCCCTTGGTGCACTATGGCTGCAGAATTCACACATGAACAATCGGGACACTCTGCTCACTCTCATCCTAACACTGAGCTCAATCACTGGCTGTCTCTCACTCTGACACTGAGCTCAATAACAGACTGAGCTCCAGGTGTGTATAGCACTTACACGTTAAAATCTCTCTATGTCTGTCAGGAGGAAAGACCCCCCACCACGCTAAAAGCATGTGACTGCCATGCTCCCCCCCCAGCCTTCCCGCAGGGTGCATGCGAAATGTCTGATCTTTGTATTCCAACAGTACATGTTAGCGATATGACCCATTCACAGCAATGAGATGATTAGGTACAGAAGAATCCAACTCGATGTATAAATGACAAGAGTCCCCAGGAAGCTGGTCACTGAACTCTGCAGTTAAACTGTCTGGTGACAGACTAATTTTACTCATTGACATGGGACAAGATGAGTCCAGCGGTGCCTCTCAACAGAGCCTGACGAGGTACTAAAAATGTACTAACAGTTCACAAAACAGCTGGTAAATTATGGACCCAGAGGCAGATTTATCGCTTGGCAAGTGGTGGACGGGTGAAAGCTTGACTGACTGTCAAGACTGACTGACTACGGCACTTAAAAGTAGCACAGAACCCTGAGCCATCAAACTCCCAGAGTCGTGAGGTCAGTGGGGTTTGGTCCGCTGGGTGTCTGACACATGAGGGCTCCATTCATGCTTAATAGTCTTCAAATCAGATTGAGGTGTTCCATCTCTGGAGGAAATCCGTTACAGACACACGGAAATTTCTGTGTCTGGAATGGAATACACATTCTCTCCCATGAAGGACACGCCCATCTTACCTAATTCCGGAGAGTATGAGGCGTGGGTTAGCGACAGCCAAGGCTTGGGGACCCCAGAGTGTGCATTGGAGTAACTGCTGGAGTATAACCAGCTAAAACCGCATAGCTTGCCAGTGAGAGTACTGCCTGGCAAGCTTCCCACTGCTCGTCCAGCTAGGACCACCTTATCCCTTAGGGTTTTGGTTTGCAGGGTTAACAGGAGCTGAGTGGGAAGAGTCCCTGTCCCCACTCCAAGTGCTGCAGATAAGCCAGGTTGGACTGTCATCAGCAGTGCCCTGTACTTCGGACCCGCCTGGCTCAGGAACCGAACTAGAGACAAGAGATTTTGTATAGTGTAAAAGGACACATCGCACTAACCCATATCGGGCACTGCTGCTAAGTTCAGTTTACACTAAATTGAAAGGGTCCCCAGTGCAGTTCTGCTCTTTCCAGTTGGGAGTATTCCTGTACAGCCTATGAGCGTAGTTCATGCTATCGATTATTATATGCCGCCCTCCTGTGGACATTCTGAATTAGAGTCCAAATACCTCCCCATGTTTAACGCTCTTCAGTATAGCTTGGGTCCTTGGAGGGTAGCGTGCACCTGGGGCAATGGGACTGCACCTGTTGTATACCAGGAGTGCAATATACATCCAGCTTCCTGTTCATAGCGCACGGCCACCAAAGGCTTCTCATCATCCCATGTCTCGCGAGGAGCGACATCAGTGGGCACAACATTACTTGTTCAAAACGTTTGATTGTAAGTTCTCTCCTCTTTGCTGGCTGGCTGCCCAGCAGTTGCACAGCCACACATAAACTCCCCGTCTCAGCCCAGACCCTGAATCCTGACAGAATATTCAAGAATGGGGAGGGAGGGGGGACAAGCGAAGATAGGATCAGCTCATAATCCTGTCTTTATGCAGTCCCCTCTCTCTTGCCCCACACACATTCTATTCAGCAAGATTTATTGGACGGCAATCACGATCGGCTGATTTTCCTCACTCTATAATGTCCCCCCATTGCTCACATGTTAATAATAACAATCCCAGCATTTGATACAGTCCCTTATTACCTCGTCAATACACTGAAGTGCAGTGACTGTAGGTGAATGCAGCAGACAATTTGATCGCAGCAACGTTCCACAAACAGCTATGAAGTGAGTGACCAATTTTATCTGGGGGATTGCTAGCCAGGACACCAGGAGAGAGAAACTCCCTTTTCTTTTGGTTGAACAGAGTATTAGGTGCACTTTGACAAGAGCCAAGGCTTGGGCACTCCAGAGTGTGAGTTGGAATAACTGCTAACCAGCTAAAACTGAGGGGCTTGCAAGGAGGGGAAGCACGGCAGCCGAGTTTAAACACTTCCACCCTGACAACTTATCAACTGCTCATGATATTAACAACAATAAATCTCGGAGAGATGGACCACTGCAAAGGCCAAAGGGTGTTACTCCAGCAAATCTTTACCACCCCACCAAAACAAGCTTACAAACACACAGGTTACACCTCCAACAACAGCAAGCTGCTGAGATGCCAGCCAGAAACATGCTTTGTTTTGTTAGTATCACAAATTCTTAAAATTAAATTCTCCTTAAATTCCACTTAAAGCACGCGAACAGCAGCTTACTGGACTTATTTTCCTAAGTTTAGACTTTCCGATTCCCGGTTTACTCACTTCTCTGTTTTTTTTCTTCAGCGGGTTTGTTGCAAAACAGGTGAATACTGAGGTAGAGCCAAACAACCGACAAAAGATCCTAATTTCTCAGGCACTGCACAGCACACCGTGCTACACAGAGCACTGAGTATAGAGATCCAAGCACAGAGCACAGGACAATACAGCAATGCACTAATGCCACACAGCTCACAGAAACACAAGCTACAAAAAAATACCCAACACACAATTTCTACAATAATACTCGTCTGTCGTAGAACAAAACAAATTGACCACCAAGATGACAAGACAAGCGCTGGAGAGAGGAAGCAACTGTTCCTTAAAATATGCCAAGGAAATGAATTAGCAGTAATTTGTGCATAATAATCTACTATCGAGTAGCTCAGCCCTTCAATGTATTTACCATGAACGGAGCTTGAGGCAAGGATTCTAGACTCATCTAAGAAATGGCTTGATGTTGACGTTAAAAGGATGGACAGTCTGGAAGGTCAAATGGGCCAAAGGGCCTTCTTGATCCAAACCAATCTTGGAAGTTTTCTTTCAACCTGAGCAATACTAATCTTTGCATTTGATAGAGGGTCTGTACCTTTTAAATGTCTCAAAGGGCTTCAAAGGGATTTGCTATCAAATGTAATGACTGTTTACATGCAGGCAAATGTGCGAGCTGGTTCACAAACAACAAAATACACATTCAGTTAATACACTTTACAGTGAATCCTGTGAAGTGGTTCAGGGCGTACTCCCGATGTGAAAGGCACTGTTATCAAATGCATGCATTAAGATTGAAAACATTTTTGAATAGCAGATATAGAGGCCACAATTTAAACTAACTAATGCAACATGGCTATTCACTACTTGCAAAATTTCAACTTCCCATCCTGACTTGTAGCAGTAGATGTTTAACAACTTGCATTTCCACTTTTTCACAAGTCTCATCTTACACTTGGGTTTGAACTCCCTGTCTCAATCCCTCTGCCTCACCCCCTCTTTACCCGTCTTCAGATTACATCTGAAGACTTTCCTCTTCAACCGCGCCTATGGTCACCTCCCCTCTCTCTGGCTCGGTGTGAAGCTCCGGCAGTTATAAGCGCTTCGAGACACCACCCTGAGTGAAGAGCGCTGTATAAATGCAAATTATTGCTGTCAAATAAAGTGACGGTAATTTTATGCTCGAACAGTAACACAAACTCTTTGAAAGTTGTGAATTAATGGAATACAAAGCTCATCAAAATAATAACATTAATCCTTACATTTGACAGCACCTTTCACGTCGGAAGGATTTACTGTAAAATGTAGTGACTGCATTTCGGAGGGGAACGTGGGGCTGCGATCTGAGCTGATGCGAAAGGATTAACCATTTTCATTTTCCCAACAGCAGTCAGAGGTTCAAACACAAGCTAACCACAGGCTAAGCCTGCCCGACTGATCTCCACTCAGTGCGCATGAACAGTATTAATCTGCCGAGACGCTTACGTCTGCTTGATCTCAATTTGTTAAATCTCTCGCTCTACGAAAAAACAAGGGGATGTTTAAACAAATCCCACCTGGGCCTTGACCATCTATTAATGTAAATTTTCAGAGCATCCGGAAGTTGGAAAATTCTTACACACTGCCTCAGCTCTGAAGACCGTTTCCTGTAAATTTCTTTTAAGCACTGCGGAATTCTTCAAAACATCTTCAAAGTTAAGATGGAATTCAACAATTTGCCAAATTTTGGATGCAATATAATACAAATTTACATTTACACAGGGCCTTCCACGTCAGGAGGAAAAGATGACTGACAGTGCGATAAAAGAGGTAGGTCTTGAGACAGCTTGAATGAGGTGGTGCGGTGTGAGGGGAGGGGGAGGGAGTCGTAGGGACTCCGGGATGGAGTTTGAAAGATACGAAATGCCACATAAACTGAGTAAATCCAGACCTGGGTAGCTCTTAGTTTTCACTTTCACTAAGCTGTTTTGTTTGAAAATCTTATTTTTTTTTAATAAATGTAACCTTCTCACCAGCTCTCATTTTGCGTATTAGATGGTAATATTACAATCTGCATTATGAGGACCTCTGTCCTCTTTCTCCACTTCCTCCTGAGGTCACATTGGGGACAGTGCCTTGGAGCACAGTGCTTGTGGCTGCGACGGTGACCTCAGTAGAAGTATCTCACACCACACAAACTCCTGCCCTTTGCTGGATTGTGGAACGACCGTAGCAATTACAACTTTCCTTTTAAAACCATCATTTACTGCAAGTTTCTATAACCGCGTTTGCTGCATCAACGACAATCAATCTTGTATTTGATCCAGTGTCTCAACATCAAAACCCCTCAAAGCGCTTCAGTAAAGCACTGTTAGGTGCAGCGAATGGGTATTTTGGGGGAGAATGCAGCAGCCAATTTGTGTACTGGAAACAGCCATGAAGTGAGCGACCAATTTTATCTGTGGGATTGCCGGGCAGGACACCGGGAGAGAGAAACTCCCTTCTCTTTTCCAATAGCACCATGGGATCTTTAACCTGTAGAGGGCACAGAAGGTACCTGGGCTTAATATCTCCATCAAAGGATGACACCTCTGACAAACATTTTGGACACTGAATCAAAGATTATTATCAGTAATTAATATTAATTAATGGGAGTGCCTCTTTATCAGGAAGCCGTAGAGACACGCGCCTCTGGAGTATTTCGTAAATAGCTCCAAAGCTGCCACACATCTACATTACACTCAGAAGACTGCACAATGCAGATCTGCAATCTGTATCACAAGCTTTTTCTCTGCCACCTACACAAATGCACAATCAGAGCATCCTCTCAGCACGGCCCTCGGAGCTGCACAACCAACAACAACAAAATTACATTTGTAAACCGCCTTTCACGTCGGGATGACGTCCCGAGGCACTGAACAATCAGGGATCAGGAGTCTAGAGACTCATACTAAGAGTATCACACATAGAGAACTCCTGATAAAACTGGAAGAACTGTGCCTATTTTCACTGGAGCTGGGAAGTTTCTAACATAGGGGGAAATTATTTTCACTCGTCGGTGAGTTGGAAGACACCAGCTGATAGCAAGGGAGCTAAGAGGGAGACTGGGACGATTTTTTTTCACACACAGGGTTTTTATTATGTGGAATGTGCTGCCGGGGTTGGTGGTTGTGGAAGGATCCGGATTAGCTTTCAAGAGGGAACGAGACAGGAATCTAAAGAGAAGTAATTTACAGGGATGAAGGTCGGTCAGTGGGACTGAATCGATTGGTCTTTCAAAGAGTAGCGCACACACACAATGAGCTGAGTGGCCTTTCTTTTTCTCTGTGTAAAGCTCTCTGGGTTCATGGTTGTTGGTATGCTCCTGCTCACCTCTCACCACTGAGGGTTGCCAGCAACAACAACAAATTGCATTTATATAGCATTTATATCAAATGCAAGGATTATTATTATTATAGCGTCTTTCATGTCAGAATCAGGAGCAGGTCACAAACAGCTGCTTCTACCACTGAACCAGTATGCGGGGTTGATGAAGAAGAGAAACCTTTTAAAGCAACACAGAGATCTCCGTTTTCAGTGGGAATCATCAAGCTACACGTACAACTCCAGGGCGATTCCAGTCAAAGCAGCTCCTCTCTCTCGACAGGACACAGGGCTAAGTACATCATTAACAATAAGAATAATCCTTGCATTTAATACAGCGCTTTTCATGCCTTCTAGACGTCTCAAAGCGCTTCACAGAACAAACTGTAAAGTGAATTGACTGTATATTTGTGGGCGAAATGCGGCAGCCAATTGTGCACAGCAATGTCCCACAAACAGTCGTGGATTGAGTAACCAAATGTTATTGCTTGTTTTTTCTTGAGGGATTATTATCAGGCGTGTGGAGTAAGGAAACTTGCCCAAGGTTTTACCCCGCCAGGATTCGAACCAGGTCTCTCACTTGCAAGGTTAGTGCTCTAACCACTGAGCTACAGGACTCCACAAGGATTAACCTTCCCGTAAAGGTTCAAACACTGACTGAAAAGATTCAGTCCCCCCGTTGCCCCCAATTTGTGTGTGAGTTCCCAGTTGGAGAGCGGGTATAATCTGGGCACGAATCTTCACCGAGTGTGTGCTCTGACTGCTTATTGATCTCCCCTCACATTCCCCGCACCCTCCTTACACCGTTCCCCTCTCAACCCCCTGACACTCACTGTCTCTTCTCACACCTCCCCCTCACTCTCCCCCTCACTCTCTCCCCCCTTGCACTCTCTTGACCCTGCGCACCCTCTCCCTCTCTCGCACTCCCTCACACTCTCCCCCTTCGCAGTCTCCCCCTTCGCACTCTCCACCCCTCGCACCCCCTCCCCCCCTCGCACTCTCCCCCCCTCGCACCCACTCCCTCTCTCGCACCCTCCCCCCTCCCCCTCTCTTGCCCCCACTCCCCCCCTCACTCTCTTGCCCCCACTCCCCCCTCACTCTCTTGCCCCCACTCCCCCCTCTCTTGCCCCCCCTCCCCCTCTTGCCCCCCTCCCCCTCTTGCCCCCCCTCCCCTCTTGCCCCCCCTCCCCCTCTTGCCCCCCTCCCCCTCTTGCCCCCACTCCCTCCCCCCAACACATTTCCCCCCTCATACTCTCACCCTTTACTCTCTCCCCCTCTCACTGTCCACATACACTCCCCGGACTCACGCTCTTTGATTTTTTTCTTCCTCACTAACGTGCCGCCCAGTTTCCCGAGGAAAGACTCGTCCTTCTTCCCGCGGGCCGCCTGATGGACGCTCGCACTCCTTGCGGGCGACGCCGCCATTTCCCGTTACCGGATGTGGCGAACCGCAACTCCCCGACGGAGCTCCGCCACAAGACCACAGCGCCCTCAGCCCACAGCGCTCCCCGGCGGAGCTCCGCCACAAGACCACAGCGCCCTCAGCCCACAGCGCTCCCCGGCGGAGCTCCGCCACAAGACCACAGCGCCCCCAGCGCTCCCTGGCGGAGCTCCGCCACAAGACCACAGCGCTCCCTGGCGGAGCTCCGCCGCAAGACCACAGCTCTCCCAGAGTCCTGGCCGACAATCCCCCATAAAATTGGTCACTCATTCCATTGCTGTTTGTGGGATGGTGTTGTGTGTAACTTCGCTGCTTCTTTCACCTACAAAACACAGTAACTGCACTTCACAATGTGTTTTGCGCTGTTTTGACGATCTGGTAAAGCGCTACTGCAAATGGAAGGATATATTTATATTTAAACCCTTCGCCTTGCTTCGGAGTCCGTCTCCTCGAGCTCCTGTTTGAAGGAAGTTTTACGTTGAACACCTCCATCCGTCACCATCGTACCCTGTACTAACTCCTGCTGTCCAGGAATATCTTAAAAATATATTGATCCTGTTCAGAAACGGTTTTGCTTGACTCAAATTGACTGTTTAATTGCATGGTTTAATGTTGCATTTATACAGTGCGTCTGGTGGTAAGTTGTCGAGTGTGGTAAATGAGTTATCGAGTGTGGTGAGGTAGGCATGTATATAAATGCATAAATAAATGTGGCTGGGATATTGACAGCATGATGACTTGATAGTGACATGTCAGGGTCAAGTTATCAGGAGTTTACTGTACATCAAGCTGACACTGGGCACACTTGGCAGCCTTCAGTCAGATGTCAAACACTGAGTTGAGGTACTTGACATTTAACACCACACGTGATAATTACTGTAAAACTCTTTTGAGATGTTTTGACCTATAGGGCACTGTATTTGAATAAGTTTCTATTTTTATACTGTGTTACACTTCTGATGACTGCCTTGCTATCTTGGCTCATCAGACCAGTCACTGGAGGCAGAGATTCTTCCCATTGAGCTTGTTAGCCCTGCAAGTCAAAGCCCTAACGGGTATGGTGGTCCTCGCTGGATAAGCAGTGGGAAGCCTGTGCTCTCGATGGCAAGCTATGCGTTTTTCACTGGTTAAACACCAGGAGTGACGCACACTCTGGGGTTCCAAGCCTCCGCTCTCAATAACCTGCGCCTAATACTCTCCGGAATTAGGTAAGCAGAGTGCATCCCTCCAGGGAGACAAATGGAAGCAATAGATGTGTGGAATTTCCAGTCTGGTTTGGAGACTGTTAAGCACGTAATGGGTTTTTACAAGTGTCAAGACACCCAGCTGGCCAAAAAGAAACATTAGGCTTTATATAATATGCAAAACTAAAGTTAATGTTTGAGTTATAAACTGGCCTCAAACATGTTGAGCTCTCACAGGCTGAGAGTGAACCAACAGAGTGGACAGAACTTGTTTATTCCAAGTCTGAATAAAAGTGAAGTTCATTTAAATCCAGAGAAACAACATCAGCCTAGAGGCCAGGTGACGACAAGGTCGACAGTGAAGGGCTTGAAAGCTGAATGTCACGTAGGCAGCAGCTTCTGACAAACACATTTTATAGGAACCTGATCCCTGCTCCAAACTGCACGCCGTCACATATCCTGGGAGAGCAAGAACACATCATTACAAACTCAATTATAGATTGGCTCAGCGTGTGTCAGCCTGGATCAGTTGGTCGTATCGCATCTGACGGCACCTCAACCCTCCATACAGTGCTGCTGGTGTGCAGCAATGTTTTGAATTGCCATCCTTCAGATGATGCATTAAACCAATATCAATACAAGTTCCAAGTCTCAATGCAGGGCTTGAACCCACAAACTTCTGTGGTGCTATTGACTGATCTAGACTGGCACACGCACAATTAAGATGTCTCCAGGGAGAAAGTTTGCATTCCATTCAACATGGTGGAATTCCCATCTGTAGGTGACATACACGTGTAACTCTGGCTGGTTAGGAGACTCAAGCACTGTGATGGGTTTCCCCATGTCAGACACACGGCTGATCAGTGATAGGTTTCCGCATATGTCAGATACATGGCTGATCACAGAGATGGGTCTCCATGATGTCAGACCCCAGCTGATCACAGTGATGGATTTCCGTATGTGTAAAGCACCCGCTTGATTATGATGATGGACTTCTGCGTGTGTCAGACGCTATCGGTCATTGTAATGGGTTCCTTCTGCCTCATCATCCACCACTATCCCGTCTCTGTCCCCCTCACCATCATCAGCTCCTACCATAACCCCCATCCTACATTCCTTCCTCCCCATCTCTCACCCACCATCACCTCAATGAAACCCACCACTTGCTGCCTCAACCCCCTCCCTACAAACTTGCTGGTCACCCAGCTCCCCTCCTCTGCCCACTACTGGCTGATGTCATCAACCAGTCCCTCTCGTCTGGATCAGTCCTTGCCCCCCTCAAAATGGCTGTCGATCACACCATCCTCCTCCACCACCTTTCCTCCGTCATCCACCTCAGTGGGACCACACTCGCCTGGTTCGAGTCCTACCTCACGAACCGCCAGCAGTACATCTGCACAAATGGCTTTTCCTCCCAATCTCACTCAGTTACCTGCAGGGTATCCCAAGGATCCATCCTTGGCCCCCTCCTCTTTCTGATCTATATGCTTCCTCTTGGGGATGTCATCCGCAAACATGGGGCAAACAATTCCACATGTATGCAGACGACACCCAACTCTATTTTTCACCTCACTTTGCGACCCCCCCAGTCGCTCATCCAGGAGCTGGATGAGTGCAAATTTCCTTCAGTTGAACGTTGACAAGACGGAAGCCATACTCTTTGGCTCTCGTCAACATCTAAAAATCACACGGTTCTCACCTTCGCCACCTACTGAACCTCCCCCTAAAACTCTCCGAACCCGTACGCAACCTAGGCGTCAGGTTCAACCCCCAATTATCCTTCCTCCCCCACATCTGGTTCCTCATCAGCACCGTTTTCTTCCACCTCCGACGCATTGCCCGTCTTTGCCAATAGCTCACTCCAAAAGCCACTGAAACCCTGGTCCATGCCTTTGCCACCTCTCAGCTGGACTATTCAAATGCCGTCCTCACCGGTCTCCCCTCCACTACCATTCATAAAATCCAGGTCATTCAAAACTCTGCCGTCTGCATTCTTACCCGCACCAAACTCCGCTTCCCAATTACCCCAGTCCTTGCCAGACTGCACTGACTGCCTGTCCCAGAGAGGATCGACTTCAAGATCCTCACCCTTGTCTTCAAATCCCTCCACTCCTCTGCACCCCCCTACCTCTCTGACCTTCTCTCTCCTCACAACAGTGCCCATTGCCTTCGCTTCACCGGGTCTGGCCTCCTCCTTGTCCCTCAAGTCCTCCGTTCCACCATCGGCGGCCGTGCCTTCAGCCACTATGCCCCGAGGCTCTGGAACTCCCTTCCTCACTCCCTTCGCCTTGCCCCTTCTCTTCCCACTTTCAGGTCTTGGCTGAAGACCTTTCTTTTCGACCGCGCCTTTGGTCACCTTCCTCCCCCTCCCCCTGGCTCAGCCCCAGGATTCGTTACTGTGAAGCGCTCTGAGATGCCATCTGGCTATATAAATCCAAGTTGTTGTTGTTGTATGTGATCCACACGCCTGGCTGATCACAGTAATGGTTTTTCACGTGTGTCAGACAACCGGCTGATCATGGCGATGGATTTCTGCGTGTCTCAGGTACTCGGCTGATCATGCTGATGGGTTTCTATGTATGTCATGCAACTGGTGACCAAAATCCCCCAAATAATAAAAATGCTGATGTAAAGCTGGGCACATACCGATCTCCACTCTGCACTCCCATGGGAATACAGTAGTTTAGTTCCAGCCTGGCAATGTTGCCCAGTCTCAGGACGATGCCTGCTCCATAGGACCAGCGGATGCATTCAGCCAGTTTCTGCAGGTGTGCACGTGGACCCTCACCTGCAAACAGTCAGTGCAGTTAGCAACATGCAAAACAGACATGGTACACACCAGCCCGTCACACACAGGACACGCCAGCCCGCTATACACGATACATGCCAGCCCGCCACACACGATACACGCCAGCCCGTCACACACGATACCAACAAGCTGGTCACACATAGCACACAGAACAAGTCGGCTGGGGTCCTGTCAGACAAAGCGTTCACATTTCTCAGACGTACCATAGTTGAGATTACAGAGGTTTCCGGCATTCAAGAAGAAGTGTGTTCTGAACAGGTCTCCGAACCCACCTTGGCCTGGGCGGAAGGGCAGAGGTGTGTACATATGGAGTCCGCCTGCCCAGTATGCCTCTCCCCCAAGGTAGTCACCTGACATACAGCAAAAAATGAGACAGTTTCAGCACGAGACACATTACTGTCAACCACTACGGACGCCAAGTGCTTGTTGCATGGTGGAGCTCCAAAACAGCTCCGCCCTCCCACCCCTTGCATCTGCCCAGCCACCGTCTCCACTGGTCTGTACCCCTCATTGCAAGAGCACCTCCCTCTCAAGCCCTTCATTAGTCCAGTTGTACCAATGTTCTTCACTCTGCGACTGTCAATATGCACACACACCTTCGCTCTGTGGTCCGATGCTGTACATGCTGAAACCACGGACAGTTGTTGGTCCACCAAGGTAAAACCTGACAACAGAGACAGAGAGAGAGGTGACATCAGCCTCTATATGTCACACTTATCAACAATAACAATCCTTGCATTTGATATGGCACCTTATCACGTTATCAGGATGGCTCAAAGTGTAGTGATTGTGTTTATATTGTAGGTGAATCGATCTTCCAAGTCCGCCAATGTTCTCTCGGCTTGTCTGGCGGATATCAGGGCCTGGATGAGCGAAAACTTCCTACAACTAAATGTTGACAAGACAGAAGCCATACTCATTGGCTGCTGGCAATGCCTTCTATCCTGCGGTTCTCAGGTCTTCAACCTCCCCGGCCTATCCTAGACTTATTGAAGCAGTACGCAACATTGGCACCATGTTCGACTCACATCTGTCCCTCCTTCCCCACAACTGGTCCCTAACCAAGACTGCCTTCCTCCACCTCTGCCAATTTGCCTGCCTCCGACCTTAGGACACAGCCGAAACACTCGTCCAAGCATTCGTTACCTCCTTACTCGAATTTTCAAATTCCCTCTTTGCTGGTCTCCCCAGCTCCACCATGCACAGGATCCAGCTTATCCAATACTCTGCGGCCTGCATACTCACCCATATTAAACTCCGCACCCCCATCACACCAGTTCTAGCCAGGCTCCACTAGCTCCCTATTGTCAAACGAATTGATTTCAAGATCCTCACACTTGTTTTCAAATCCCTAACTTTCCAACTTGCTTACCCCCCGAACCAACAATCCGCTGTCTCCGCTCGACTGGCTCCCTCCTTCTCCATGTTTCTCGTGACATCCATTCCACCATTGGTGGCCAAGCTTTCAGCCACTATGCCCCGAAACTCTGGAACACTCTACCTCTATTCCTCCACTTTGCGCTCCCATATTCAAGTCGTACCTGAAGACCTTCTTATTCGACAGTGCCTAGTCACCTCTCCCTGCCCCCAGCTCAGTGTCGTGCTCTGCCACTGTCAAGCGTGCTGGTACGCTATCCTGCGTGAGGGCACTATATAAATGCAAGTTGTTGTTGCTGAACATGCTAGCCAATTTGCACACAGCAATGTCCCACAAACAGCCATAAAGTGAGTGACTGATTTTATCTGGGGGATTGTTGACCAGGATACCGAGGCAGGCTAACACAGACCGAGCTAGTGCTCATTGGCAGGTCTTGGAGGGGCAACCCAGTCACTGGGAGCAGGGACTCTTCCCACTCAGCACCCATTAACCCTACAAGCCAAACCCCTAATGGGTAGGGTGGTCCCAGCTAAACAAGCAGCGAGAAAGCTAGGCAGACAGTGTTCTCAAACGGCAAACAATGCAGTTTTAGCTGGTTAAACTCCAGTAGTCAACCCAAAACACATTCTGGTGTTCCCAAGCTTTGGCTCTTGCCAACTTGCAACTAATACTCTCTGGAATTAGATAAGCAGGATGTATCCCACTTGAGGGAGTGCACAATCCATTCCAGACACAGGGAAATTTCCATGTGTAAATGGTGTTCATATGTGGATCTCTCAGGAATAAGAGGATCAGGTCCTCATTATCTCCCCAGGTAACAATGTTAGCTGCAGCACGGGAGAACTCAGAACAGCTACACCCATTTATACTGCTTATCGCCTCACCTGTCAGCAATAGAGGAACCTTTGTCTCCAATTGGTATTAACAGGCCACCCCACAGAGAGGCTGACAACACCTGCAGCACAAGAGAAGATTATTAGAATCCCAGATCAAGAAATGGAAACTCTCTTCTCTTTTCCAAGAGCCACAGAATCCATCCTGGGGTCCCTCTGCCTCGCCTCTCCCTTCAAGGCCTGTCTCAAGACCTTCCTCTTCAACCGTGCTGTTGGGTATCTTCCCATCCCAGTTCGGGTGCAAAATCTTCACTGTTCAGCATCTGGGAGGTCTTCTCAACGTGAAAAGCGCTATATAAATGCAGTATTAATGCGATCTTTGACCTCCACCTGAACAGGCAGACTGGATCTCAGTTTAATGTCAGTCCAAAGGGAGCACATCTGGCAAGCAGCACTTCTTCCAGCACTACACTGGAGCCTCAGCCAATGTGGGGCTTGAACCCACCATGGTCTGACCCAGACGCAAGAGCTCGCCCAATTGAGGCTATATTTAAATGGTGTCAGGTTGGATTGGTACCAGGGAAGTGCAATTCCACAGAATGAGATGAGGGAGAAGAGGCGATCAAGGAGGATGGAGTGTTCCAGTGTCGAAAGCAGCGGAGAGGTTATGGACAAGGAAACAGAGGGCGCCCTGGTCGTAGAGAGGGGACGTCATTGGTGATTTTGACGAGGGTTGTCTTGATGCTATAGGCAGGGCAGAAAGTAGACTGGAAAGTAGGGGCTTGAGCAGGGGGCGAACGGAAAGGTGGGAGTGGAGGAAAAGGTGAGAGCGGAGTTGAGGGGTGGGGGTTGCTGATGATGGCAGCTTAGAAGGGGAGGAGCACGGTGCCAGAAGAGAGGTACAGGTTGGCAGTACCTGACAGCAGGGGGCAGAAGGGGTACTGAATGTTCAGAGCTGTGATAGGGAGTGGGGGGGTCAAGTCAGCAGGTGGTGGGTTTCATTTGTGCTATGAGGGTAGCGAGGGATGAAGGAGTGATGGGGCAAAAGTGTGCAGGGTAGGGACAGTGATAAGTGCAGTAGTGGAGGACAAGGGATAGAGGGGAGTGGACTAGGGGACAGAAAAAGACAACGAGGCAGATTTTATCTATTTTGGTCACAATCTTAACATTTGTTGACCAAAGTGTTCTGCTTTGACCAGAGTAAATATATGTCAGTAATGAGTTCCTTACAGTGTCCCAGAGGAGCTCCTTATTTAACTGGAGCTCAAAATCTTCCTTCAGAAAGCTCACGTCACCTCCTGTGTAACCAGCCAGCTCCTGTTCAAAAGCAAAATCAAACGTAAAGCAAGGAGCAGAGGTAGGGATTATTCAATTCAAATACAAAACCAGACAGAGCTGATCACTCACTTCATGGATTTTGCTGTATTTGCCCACAAATGCAGTCACTACACTTTACAGAAAACTCTTAGAAAAATACTTTAAAGACTTATCAAGCAGGGTTTATTTGTGGAGTCTGTAGCTCAGTGGTTACAGCAATTGCCTCACAAGCGAGAGACCTGGATTTGATTCCCAGCAGGGCGAAATGTTGGGCAAGTTTACCTACTCCACACGCCTGATCGCTTTTTCTGGAGTAATAATTCCTTCAAAAAAATAATAATAAATTGTTCACCTCAATCCATGACTGTTTGTGGGACAATTGGCTGCTGCGTTTCGCCCACAAATATAGAGTCAATTCACTTTACAACATATTTACAGTATATTTGAGATGTCTTGAAGACATGATAAGGTGCTATATCAAATGCAAGGATTATTATTATCTATACTTCTGCTTCAACCACTACTTTAGGCAGTGAGTTTCACAATTTCTACCTTCTGCGTGAAGCAGTTTCTCCTGAAGTAGTTCTCTTTTAGATCCCCCTAGTCGCTAGCTTATACTTGTGTACCCTGGTTACAGACTCCCCAACCAGTGGGAAAAGCCTACTTATGTTGATCTTATCGAACCCTTTTATAATTTTATAACACCTCTAGTACGTCCCCTCTTAAAGTCTCTTCTCTTGGGGGAAAAAGGCCTATCTTATCCAGTTTATCTGATAGCAGTAAGCTGCTAACCCTGGTATCATAGTCGTTAGCAATCTACCCCTGAATTTGGCTGAACACTCCAGCCTCGAGGTTCTGCGTACCTGGTTTATTTTAAGCAAGGCACCTCGTTTCGGCAGGATGGCTGAATTCCGGCTGTCGATAGCCATGGCGTGCTGTAAAGCAAAGAGCACAAACCAAAGTGAATGCAATCTCGAGTGTTCACGCCATGAGAGAGGTGATACACAAAGCTAAAGACCACTGTGAACAGCCCAAAGCTGAACACATTGAACATTTTCACATCCACTGGAAGCTACGATATACAAACCACTAATGCCTGGCACCATCTTCACACTCACAGACTCATTCCCATCTCTTATCACTCACTATTAGAGGGAGGGAGGGAAGGAAGGGAGGGAGGGAGGGAGGGAAGGAGAGAAGGAAGGAGGGAGGGAGGGAGAGTAGGAAGGAAGAAAGGAAGGAGAGAAGGAAGGAGGGAGGGAGGGAGGGCGAGAAGGAAGGAAGGAAGGAAGGAAGAGAAAGAAGGAATAAGGGAAGCAAACTGATGAAGGTTTACCGAAATGGAAGATTTGAGAGAATGGCCACTTTCTTCCCGGACGGCGAAGGATGCAGTGCGGGAGAGACAGCCCAGGTCCCGCCAGACACCCTCCCACTTCAGAGTGTGCTGAGTGCTCCAGAACGGAATCTGTAATCCACAAGAGGGAGAGTGATCCTCAGACCTGAAATTACCAACAAAATGAAAACTACAAAAACCTACCAGGTTTGGAGAGTAAACCTGGTACAGTGGCTTAGTGCAGAGATATGCCCAGGGGCTTGGCAGACCATATTTGGGATTTTATTCATTGACAAGGCTGCTTGTCGACTCTCAAAACCAATTCACTGGTTGACGGGTCCAGATCTACAATGGGTACTGAACATTGAGTCTTGTCCATTACTGTACTTTGCTGTTACATATCCCACTGCACTATTATAAAAGAGCAGGGAGTTTCTCTCTTTCGGTGTCCTGGCTGACAATCTCAACTAAAATCAGTCATTCATGTCATGGCTGTTCGTGGATGTTGCTGTACACAAACCGATTACTGCAATTATCCCCAAAATAGTTACTACACTTCATTGTAAAATGCTGTGAAGTACCTTGAGATATTTTAACGACATGATAAGGTGTTGTGTCAAATGTGAAGATTATATGTGAGTTAACCCCCAAGGGGTGGAGGGTGGTCAGAGAGCCAGGGGAGCACAAACTATAGCAGCAATGAGAGCTTAACTAGTAGGAGTTAAATGGCAACCGCTGGCTGGGTCCTTACGTTATACTCCGCTGACACTCCTCGGTCGGTCTCACGAATCGAACTCCATGGAAACTGTCCGGTCACCTTATAAAAGTTCATTGAGAAACTAGGGAAAAAACACAACCATGCATATTAACAAACCAAATTCTTGTCCAGCAACAGTCAATCGTTCAAATGTTTCACTTACACACAAGCTCCCACTTCACGATGGCCACTAAATACTTCTAAATGTTTCTCTCCCTTGCCCACCTGCCCACCCAATATTTGGCAACGGAATGCTGGAATTGAGCCCACCCTATGTGACAGTCTCTAGTCCAGTTCCTGAGCCAGGCAGGTCCACAGTACTCCAGGGCACTGCTGATGATAGCCCAGCCCAGTTTGGCTCATCAGCAGCACTTGGAGTAGCACATCAGTCACTAGGGCAGGGATTCTTTCCACTCAGCTACCATTAAACCGGCAAGCCAAATTCCCAACAGGCAGGCTTGCCAGAGAGTGGTTTAGATGATTAGACTCCAGCAGTTACCCTAACACATACTCTAGGGTCCCCAAACCTGTGCTTAATCCTTTCTGGGATTAGATAAACAGGATATGTCCCTCCAAGGATACAGACACACAACACATACACAAGTGAGTGCAGACACATGGAACTAGTCAAAGCCCAGGTTTCTGCCACTGCTTTTGAAGAGTAGATGACGCCACATTACTTTCTGTCAAAGTTGCCAATCTGTGGTTTAAAGAATGAGAGGCCATAGGAGGTTTCCTTTGTCCCGTAGGAGAACTGGAACGTGACCTTTTCTGCGCGACCAAAGAGATTCGGCAGCTTCAGTCCGAGTACCTATCACCAGGGGAGAAAGAGAGAGAAATAACTAAAGGATATGGAGCGAGCGGCTGACAGAGATCTCACACAGCACTGCACGTACCATGCTTCCTTCGTTGTTCCCGACCATGGTGTTGTAGCTCCCGGTTAATCGTCTCATTTCCTTTACTTCAAAGATGACGTCCAATCCGTGAGGCAAAGCTTCCTCACCTTTAAAATAAAAACAAACAGGTTAACAGAAGGCCAGAGGCACTGCAGTAACAGCACACAATGAATGCAGGCTACACAGAATGGAGACAGGGCACAATGAAGAATTCTTGTACTTGAAACAGAGCCACAATGTATCAAAGTCTTTCAGTTTGTTACTGTAAAGTGGAGTGACTGTTTATTTTGTAGGAGAACATATCAACTAATTTGCCCACAACAATGTCCCACAAAACAGCTGTGAAGTAAATAATGTATCTATCTGAAGATCTGTTGGCCAGGACACCAGGAGATACTCCTTTCTCTTTTCTGATAGTGATCTTGTGTGTCATCCTGGCTCAGTTGTTAGCACTCTTTAGATTCAGAAGATTGTGGGTTCAAGCCCCACGTCGGGAACTTTGAGCTCAGTCTATGCTGAGGGTCCAGTGCAGTGCTGTCGGAGACTCTGCCCCTCAGGTAAGATGTTAAACTAAAGTCCTGTTTGTGCCTGTTCAGGTGGACGTTAAAGATCCTGTAACACTACTCTTTAAAAAAGAAGAGTTTCTCCTGGCCAACAATCCCCCTAATAAAATTGGTCATTCGTTTTATGGCAGTTTGTGGGACTTTGCTGTGCGCAAACTTGTTGCCACACTTGCCCTCAAAAAATTACAGTCCCTACACTTTACAGTAAATCCTGTGAAACACTTTCGTGAGTTGTCCTCCCGACGTGAAAGGCACTGTATCAAATGGAAGGATTATTATCTTTCACATCCAACTGAACAGACCTAGATGGGAGTTCAGTTTGATCGAAGGACAGCACCTCTGACAATGAGGCTTTCCCTGGCGTGTCAAGCTAGGCTCTGGGTCCAAGTCCTGACTGTTATGGAGTGACCTTGGTTTAACGTCTCATCGGAGGGACAATGCTGTGTTCCCCCAGCAGTGCACTGGAGCATCAGCCTAAAATGTGAGCTCAAAGTCCCCGAGCTCCTAACCCACACGCAATCCAAGTATCTGACCAGCTGGGCTGAGCTGACACCCTGTTGGAACAGAAACATTTGCCATAGTACCGTGTGCCGTGTCGATCAGCACATCCACGTGTCTGAAAATGCCCATCCGAAGTAAACGCTCCCTGGCCTCGTGAGATTTCTTCATTACCTGTTCAGAAGGAAGGCAGGAAAAGAAACTTAATCTATTGCCAATTCAGCTGCTGAGACACAGGCTGCTCAGCACTCGTGTCAAGCTGCACATCTATACCACCAACTACAGCCCTCAATGCATGGGTGTATAGGGGCAGCCCAACAATAGCCGGTAACACACTGGTCTAGTTCGTTGGCCTTCGAATGAAGCATGGAACTGTAATAGGTGTCAGCCTGGCTCTTGTCGGTATCTCTTGCTTCTGAGTCAGGAGGCCGTGGGTTCAAGCCCCATGTCACGACTTTGAGCTCACAGTCCAGGCTGACGCTCTTGTGCAATGCTGGGGAAGCACACCATTGATTTCAGAGCTGTACTTCCAGTCTCTGCTGGTGTTCCATTTTTATCCGTTCGTCCTGTTCAATATTGGTGCCTAATCCATCTGTTATCACATAGCTCACCTGTGACAGACATCACACAGCTCACCTGTGTGAGGATTAAGGATTAACTAATATTATGTTATTATTAATAATAAGATGATCACATTATCTGGTGCAGAACTCACTGAAAATCTTTCAGGATTTCAGTGCAAATACACACAAAATATAGATAAATATATATAAATAACACATCTGTAAAATACAAACCACATTCTCATCGTGTTTGACTAACTCGGTCACAAGGTTGATTCCTGTCAAAAGCAATAGATTTGAATCCTGCAATTAAAGTTTACATTTACTGAACACTTACCTCAATCAGGTTTTTAGCTCTGAAGACATCAGCTATCTCGTATGCTAAGATGTCATCTTTAGTTCTCTTCACTCCATCAACATGGACATGCTGTACCACCACCTGAGCGAAGAGGGAAAATAACCTGAAATTAGACTAACCTTTAACCCCTTCACCATCACCGCTGTTTTAATCCAAGAGGTTCTGTTTTGGTGTTTCTGACACACACGGAAACCCAGCACTGTGGAATTCAAACCAGACAGAATTCCAAAAATGTAGTCACCTACACATGGAAACTTCCCTGCACCTGGAATGAAATGCACGCTCTCTCTTTGGAGGGTGCATCCTGCTTTTCTAATCCCGGAGAGTTTTAGGCGCAAGGTGACGAGAGCAGAAAACGGCCATGATTGGGAGGGTCAGCCTGGACCGGGACGTCTCCATGTGAGGTTTAACCCCAAACCCCCTGACCTCAGAAGCAAGAGCACAATAGACTGAGACAGGCTTCACAAAAACTGTCCTTGACAGACTGCAGCCCACAGCACATCAGAAAACACAGGCAAAAAAATCTCCGAAGGGGGTGGTGTGTTAACCTGGCTCAGTTGGTAGCACTTTTGCCTCTGAATCAGAAGGTTGTGGGTTCAATCCTCACATCAGGACATGAACACACATAGTCTAAGGTGATACTGTAGTGCTGTTTGTGCCTAATCAGATACAAGTTAAAGATCCCACCCTACTATTCGAAAAAAGGGAATTTCCTGGTATCTTGGCGCTGGCTGACAATCCCTCAGAGAAAAATTGTTCACTCATCCATGGCTGTTTGTGGTAGATTGTTGTATGCAATTGGGTTTCCATTTTCGATGTCCTCCTGATGTGAAAAGCGCTGTACCAGATGTAAGGATTATTATTAGGATTATAAAAAAAAACACCCTCTCTCTCTCACCTCTTTATTCTCCAGCACTTGCTGTTTGCTCTCCGGCTCCACCTCAATTGTTTCTGCCTCATCCATCGCCGACCCGAACTCCGGCCCATGAATGGGGAGAGGATCCAGGCTCTGAAAGGTTGGTTTGGTTTTAAAATGGATTCTATTTGCTAAAGGCAGGCAGGTATTCCACCAGAAAAACAGCAGTAGAAAATGACAAACTTGTGCCCAGGTTCAAGGCATTTATAAATACCTCCTCATCCCATTCCCATATCAATCTGGCTCAGTCAGTAGCACTTTTGCTTCTGGATCAGAAGGTTGTGGTTCAACCCGCCACATCAGTACTTGAAACTCATATAGTCCAGGCTGACGCTCCAGTGCAGAGCTGAAGGAGGTATTGCTTAGGTGAGATATTAAATCATGGTCATGTCTGCCTGTTAAGGATCCCGCAGCACTGTTGGAAAAGAAACAGGATTTTCTCTCTCCCTGTGTCCTGGCTGTCAATACCCCCGATAAAATTGGTCAAACAAGTTGCGTTTATATAGCACCCCTTATACAGGGTAGCATATATATTGAAAATCCCAGGATTCAAACTGGGATATTGTAGATTACAGCTGGCAACCTGTGTTGCTAATTTAAGGTGCGATAAATGCTAGTTCAAATTGTTTTCCAATACCCAACCAGTAACTTGTTTTTATCATTTATTTGTTGCTCACGTTACAGCCCTAAAATTAGCATGCAGACTAATGACATGTGTGGAGTCCTGTAGCTCAGTGGTTAGAGCACTCGCTTTGCAAGCGAGAGACCTGAGTTCAATTCCAGGCAGAGGGCGAAACCTTGGGCAAGTTTCCTTACTCCACACACCTAATAATAATCCCTCCAAAACAAAAAATAATAAATTGGTAATTTTCAATCTACGACTGTTTGTGGGACATTGCTGTGCGCAATTGGCTGCCGCGTTCGCCCACAAATATACAGTCAATTCACTTTACAGTATATTCTGTGAAGCGCTTTGGGACGTCCTCCTGACGTGAAAAGCGCTATATCAAATGCAAGGATTATTATTATTATTATTATTATTATTATTATTAGCGTCCTCACTCCATGGTTGTTTATGGGACGTTGTTGTGTGCATATTCACACTTTGGAGCATCAGTTCCTAGTACATTCTTGGATGCGGATTCTGTCTCTCTCAAGAAGGTAGATAATAATAATAATAATAATAATAATTCTTGCATTTGACATGGAGCTTTATCAAGTCATCAAACGTCTCAAACTGCCTCACAGGATATACTGTAAAGTGGATTTGACTGTATATTTTGTGGATTAGGCATCCTCCCAACATAAAGGGCTCTATATCAAATGGAAATTATTATTAGTACTGCCTGGCAAGCTTCCCATTGCTTGACCAGCTCGGACCACCATCCCCATGAGGGCTTTGGCTTGCAGGGCTAACAGGAGCTGAGTGGGAAACGACCTTGCCCCCAGTGACTGGTCTGCCCTTCTGAGTCCTGCCGACGAGCCAGGCCTGGGCCTGGGCCTGTCATCCGCAGTGCCCTGAACTACTGAGTCCAAAGTCCCTGAAGTAGGGCTTCAACCCTGACCTTCCGACCCAGAGACGATACGAACATGCGACAAATATACTTAAGAGGAAAATCAACGCAGACACGAGGGAGAAGGGAATAGAGGGGATCGGGCGGCACCATCACAGGCTCCTGTGGAGTGTAAATGACCGAGTCACTGATTCTGTGATATAATCACACCCTATGTGGACGGTACAGCATAATCACCTCCTATATACTTTGTGTGGTGCTGTTATCACCCCTTATATTTTCTACACTGTGTGGCAATCGCCCCTAAACACTCTGTAGTACTGTGACCCCCCCCACCCCACCACCTTTATATATATATATATATATTCTACACATTGTCATCACCCCCTGTATTTGGGGGTCAGCACTGGTATCACACCCTATAGATTCTATAGGCTGTTGTCTGCCATACATTCTATTGCAGGGCTGTCATGACCCCCTGTGTGTGTGTGTGTGTGTGCGGTGCAGTGACACCCGGTGCGGGGCGCGCGCGGGGCTGTGACCTGAGCGGAGGCCTCACTCACTCACTCACTCACTCTGGCGTACACGGTGCCCATCCTGTCCGGTCCCGCGGCGCTCCGACCTCCGCCTCACCGCGCCTGCGCCGCCGCCGCGCCACCGCCCACCTGACCCCCATTACCGCCCGCTCATTGGTCCTCACCCCCCCCCGCACTCTCATTGGCTTACCGCACACCCCGCGCTCTCATTGGTCCTCGCACCTCCCGCACTCTCATTGGCTTACCGCGCACCCCGCGCTCTCATTGGTCCTCGCACCTCCCGCACTCTCATTGGCTTACCGCGCACCCCGCGCTCTCATTGGTCCTCGCGCCCCCCCCCCGCACTCTCATTGGCTTACCGCGTACCCCGCGCTCTCATTGGTCTTCGCGCCCCCCCCCCGCACTCTCATTGGCTTACCGCGCACCCCGCGCTCTCATTGGTCCTCGCACCTCCCGCCCGCACTCTCATTGGCTTACCGCGCACCCCGCGCTCTCATTGGTCCTCGCGCCCCCCCCGCACTCTCATTGGCTTACCGCGCACCCCGCGCTCTCATTGGTCCTCGCGCCCCCCCCCCGCACTCTCATTGGCTTACCGCGTACCCCGCGCTCTCATTGGTCCTCGCGCCCCCCCCCCCGCACTCTCATTGGCTTACCGCGCACCCCGCGCTCTCATTGGTCCTCGCGCCCCCCCCCGCACTCTCATTGGCTTACCGCGTACCCCGCGCTCTCATTGGTCCTCGCGCCCCCCCCCCCGCACTCTCATTGGCTTACCGCGTACCCCGCGCTCTCATTGGTCCTCACACTCCACGCTCCGCCCACTTGGTGGTCCTAACGCTCCGCCCACTCATTGGCTGGAGCTGTGAGTCCATTGGAATCCATGTGGCACAACAACAACAACAAATTGCATTTGTACAGCGTCTGCCGTGGGGGGGAGGACGTCTCAACCCACCGGACAGCGAAGGGTTTGCACCGACAGAGAAGAGTCTCGAGCAACGTGCAATGGTACCTCACTCAATCCTGAACCCAACACTTTCCTGAGAGGGTATCTGGCGTTGGAGATCTACATTTAGCTTCTCGATAGACTCGCCCACACATGGAGTCCTGCAGCTCAGCGGTTACAGCACTCGACTCGCAAGCGAGAGGCCCGGGCTTGATTCCCGGCAGGAGTGAGACGTTGGCCGAGTTTCCTTACTCCCATGTTAGTCGATTGGCGGATCGCTTTTCCGGGGGTTAATAATTCCTTGCGAAAAAAAAATTGGTCACTCAATCCCCCACTGTTTGTGGGACACTGCTGTGCGCAAATTCGCTGCTGCGTTTCGCTCACATAATATACAGTCAGTTCACTTTACAGTCTATTCTGTGAAGCACTTTGGGACGTCTCGAAGACACGTTAAGGTGCTATATCAAATGCAAGGATTAATATTATTATCAAGATCATTGACTCTCTGCTAAGCAACCAAAAATGTGCATTTCCTTAACTTTATTGAAATAAATGATCTTTGGAAGGCATTTATTTATGAAACACAAGTCAAATGAAAATAAAATTTCCATATATTAAAATAAGGTGAATACAAAATAAATGAGGCGGCTGATGCCGCCTGCCTCAACCTGGCATGTTTTGGAGAGCAGCATGTTTATTTGTAAGAATGCACATTTGTTATAAATATGAAAGGCTTTAAACAGTTTTATTGGAAATATACAACAAAAACAGAAGTCTCTGGGAACATTCACGCAGCATCTATGGAGAAAGGAAAGTGAGTCAACGTTTCGTGTCCACGACCCTTCGTCAGAACAGAATATTTGCTATAAACACGTTTATTGCAAATATAAATTGTACGTATATAAATTCATGGACACGGTCGTATTTTTGATTTAAGCAAAGACATGGGAAAGAGTCTGAGCCGTAAAGATTCTTCAATGAACACTTGACAACGTAGAAACAACAATAAATATTACCAGCAACTTCTATTTGTACAGCACGCAAAGTATTGTATTTGCAAACAGGATGCACGGTCAAAGAAGGAGTCCAGAATAGAATTTCACTATTCCACAATAGAACTGAAGACACAGTTGCCTGAAACATGTTCAACATCTACATCAAGATCAATAAATATTCCACTTTTCCAATGGCACCAAATCTGGTTATGGAGATTCATTTGCAAAACTCATTTGGATGCTGGATGTCCAACTGCAGAATGACTGTTCTTCTGCCCTCTGATGGAGTGCACTGTAACTGCAGAAATGTTCATCAAACCTGTCAGCCCACTCCTGCAGACCAACAGCAGCAGCAAAGCGTTTCTTAGGATATGACCGTAAAGTGTCATTGTGTATTTTGTAGGTGAATGTGGCAGCTAGCGCAGCGGCAGCTCTCAGTGGGCAGCGCTCTCATCTCTGTGTTTGAAGGTTTGGGGTTTGAGCTCCCACATCTGGTCTTTGAGCTCATACTCTAGGCTGATGCTCCAGTGCAGTGGTGGGGGGAGTGCTGCATTTTTCTTCCGATGAGACATAAAAACTGAGGCCCCGTCTGTGACTGTTCAGATTCTTTGACACTTCAGATGGACGTTAAAGATCTCATGGCACAATTTGATGAAATAAATACGCTATTGTTCATTGCTTACTGAAAATGCAACATGGATGGGATGTAAAGGAGGGAGCTGGGGCATGTGCAGATTGGTGTGATCTCTGAGCTAGTGGCTGATACTCAGCGCACCAGCTTCAGCTACTACTTACAGCTGCTGCTGCCGCTGCTCTGAATGAGATATTGATGTGTGCAAATTGTTGTGATTATTGTCCACCCCGTCCTAGCCACCATCAGTGGGCGGACTTTCAGCCTTTCTGCCCCATCTTTCTGGAATTCCATCCTGGAGATCCTTTGTTCCCTCTTTCAAGACAAGTCTCAAAATGTAACTCTTTCCCTGTGCTTTTGGTCTTCTTTCCCTTCCCACCCTTGGTTGCCACTCCCAGGTCGGGTGCCCCTTTGCTCTGTGAATGCACTTTGGGAAGCTCTTCTGCCGTGAAAGGCGCAATTTTAATGTAAATTGTATTGTCAAACCTCAGAATGAACATTTGCTGTCCTCTGGTGGAGTGCCCTTGCAACTGCACAAATAATCCTTACATTTGCTGTTATTGTGCTTCTCACATCGAGAGGATGTCTTAAAGCCTCTCACAAGATGTCCTATAAATTCTTGTCACTGATTTTGTGGGCGAACATTGCTACCAGTTTGCATACAGCAATGTCCCACAAACAGAGTTGAAGTGAATAACCAATTTTATTGAGTGTGCTGTCAAGGCTGACACGTGAATCTTGAGCGTGACCACTCGGGCGATGTTCTGCAAGGCGCACGTGAAACTCAGCACAAGTCAGCGTTTTTAGGACTGGTGCAAAATGGAGGGTAAAATTGAGAAAAAATCTTTTCTGCCTTCCTAGTCTTCTTGCAGAACTTGATTGAGCCCTGTCCCTCAGCCCTCCTGATTGGTTCCCATCGGCGCCTCCACACCTCAGGCGCTGACAGCATCACCATCCATGAATGTACACTCTATCTTACTAAGCCAATCCGGAACCTTAGCATCTTGTTTGACCCTCAATTATCCTTTCTACCCCACATCCGTACGATGAACCGCTCTGCCATTCCCCACCTCCGCAACATCTCCCGGCTCCGCCACTATCTCACACCGCAGGACACCAAAACCCTCATACACGCATTCATAACATCCAGGCTTGACTATGTAAACCCCTTGCTTCTCAGCCTCCCGAACTCCTCCCTCCATAGGCTGCAGATCATCCAGAACTCTGCAGCCCTTGTGCTCTCCCGCTCCGTGACCCTATCACTCCCATCCTCACCCGAAGTGGAGCGGGTGAGGCGCGGGACATGAAGCAGGCCAGAGCCTGCTGAGCGGAGGGAGGGGGTAACTTGGTAGAGGGTTAGGTGTTCACAGAGGTAGGGGGAAGGAAGGCCATGAAGGGCTTTGAAATTGAGGACCAGGATCTTGAACTGTATCCTCCATGCGATGGGAAGCCAGTGGAGTCGGGCGAGGCTGGGGGTGATAAGATTGTGGAGTCTGATGCGGGAGAGGGCACGAGCTGCAGAGTTCTGGATGATCTGCAACCTATGGATGGAGGAGTTGGGGAGGCCAATAAGCAGGGAGCTTGCGTAGTTGAGCCTGGATGTTATGAATGCAGGTATGAGGGTCATGGCGGCCAGCAGTGTGAAACAGTGGCGGAGCCGGGCAATATTGCGGCAGTGGGGGAAGGCAGAACGGTTCATGGCACGGATGTGGGGTAGAAAGGATAGTTGTGCATCAAACAAGATGCCAAGGTTCCGGACTGGCTTAGTAAGGTGGCGTGTGCATCCATGGATGGTGATGCTGTCAGCACCTGAGGTATGGAGGTGTTGACAGGAGCCAATCAGGAGAGCCTCGGTCTTGTTGACGTTCAACTGAAGAAACTTAGCTCTCGTCCAGGACTTGATGGGTATTTGAGGAGGACAGATTTGCAGGGTTATGGGGAAAGGGCTGGGGAGTAGGACTGACATTACGTTGCTCTTTTCAAAGAGCCGGCACAGACTCGATGGGGCGAATGGCCTCTTTTTGTGCTGTACGATTCTATGATTCCTGACAGATATTCTGGAGTCAAGGGTGGAGGCAGAGAGATAGAGTTGGGTGTCATCCACATATATGTGGCAGTTGACCCGATGTCTGCAAATGATGTCACCAAGCGGGAGCATATAGATATTGAAGAGGAGGGGACCAAGGACAGGGACGCCACAAGTTTAAGTGTGATTAGTGTTTGTTATCTCATAGTTGTTTTTGTTGATATTTATCATGTCGTTTAAGATTGAATGCCAAGGGTTGTGTTTCATTGAAACTACAATAAAATTCTGTTGAGTTTACTTAGCCGTGCTTTCTCGAGGTTTCTGTATAAATCAAACAAGGAGGGAATACACAAGCAGTCTACGTCACAGTCTATTTAAAATAAAGGACTGATGATGGAAGCTTTGCTTTAATTTAAATAGTAATTGGTAGTACCTGTCACCATGGAAGATTTCATTAGTCAAGTTAAACCTAGTTATAGGGACTTGCATTCATTAGTGAGGATTGAACACAGAAGCCATCCAGTACATTCTGCAAGAAAGAACAAGTCATATCGTGGCTGTACATAGAGGGGTGGAGAACCGTCTCACTGGGTTGAGTTGGTGAGAGAGTGAGTATGTTTTTTTTGCTTCTCCAGGAAGTAAGAATCTCCACCAGAGCTATGTGACTCGAGTCACTTGAATGTCCAAGGATCCAGTATATTGGGGAAAAAGATAACAGAGGTCCCTGATCTGAGGAGTTTGATCCACCCTCACGAAGAGCAGTGGAGAAACTGGAATACAGGGCTGCCTTGAACTCTTGGTGACCAGGTTCAGACCAGACTTGCCTAGCTCGGAGAGGTGACACAGCTATTTGAATTGCTCAAGTTGGCAAGATGCAAGCAATTGTGTCGGTGTTGTCTTTTGCCGATTTGCAACCGTGATTTTGGGGGTGAAAGAGTTGCCTGGGAGGCAACGCAAGTTCCCGTTTGTGGAATGTGGATTTCTTTTAATTCAGCTTAGCGTAGGGTGAGTGAGGAAAACCTTGCTCAATAATAACAAAAAGAATTATCCTGTACTATATGAATCCTGATAATGCAAACGCTGAAAAATGTGATGCAGCGATTGTACTGATTTGTATTTTTAAAAACACACAGCCTTGATTAGATTTTTGTCATGTTGCATAAGTTATTTTAAAGTGCCACACCCTCAACCAGGAGGCCTGCGTTGCTCTCAGCCTGAGTCAGCAGGAAGGCTGAGCTTGTGTAATATGATTGATGTTCAATGGTTAAATTAATAAAGCTGAGGATGTCACTTGTTGGATGTGCATATTGAGCCCTTTACTTAGAAAAAAATCCTTGTAAATCTTAACTCTGAGAAAATAGTTTTTTTGGTACAAAAAGAACTTTACTCTGCTGTTTGAACAAAAAATAATCCTCTTGCTTTTATGATGGATGTAAACTGCTTGCTCCAATCCACACAAGATATACTAATTTACATTTTACCAATTTCAGGTGTAGTATTAACCTCTATGTCAGAATTCTTCCACATCTCACTGGATGAATGTTATCAGATGTACCGCAAGCTGGGGTCAGATGTATCCAAGCAGAACACCATAGTGGAAGCAGCGAAAATAAGCTGGAGCCATGCCTTTCATGAGAGCCATCCTTGGGAAACAATACTGAAGTAAGTTTAGTGCAAAGCTCTTTTTTAAAAAAACACTGCCTGTATTTTCAATTCCACAGAAATTCCTTTAGGAAAATCATTAACAATTAAGAAATGTTTTAACTTGGATACATAAATGTTGTTTGGAGAATCCCTTCTGCAACAATTCATAGTTGTGGAAGTGAAAATATTAATTCCCTCCACAAATCTCCTTCCCTGTTGCTTCCAAATGCTGAGCTACAGTTATATGATAACTGAAAGCTTTTCATATTGTAGTTCAAAGAAACCTTTCACTATTTTTTTTAAAAAAGCTTGCGATGCACAACTCCATGAAAGACTCAGAAGACAAAGTCAAATACTAAAGGACAGCGTGGTGCCATCATCACTGATGTGCCAATGGATAATGCCACAGAACAGCATAGCGCATTGGCAAAGTGCAGTTCCCGGCATTTCATGGAGAACATTTTGACTATGCCGTGGGGGAGGAAGTGTCAAACAAAGGTTTAGTGTTCATCAACAAATAGCAGGGCAAGAAAATATCGAAGGTTCGAGTTAACCTAACCTCAGTCATTTCTGAGCATCTTAACATGCATAGTTGTAAAGTGTTTTCACTCTTCCCCCCACCACCCCCACTTTCAAAACTGCTGTCACCCCCCTTAAGAAACCATCCAGCTACCCTTCCATGCTCTCCAGCTTCACCCGCTCTCCAACTTGCCCTTTCTCTCCAAGGTGGTGGAATGAGAATTGCCTCCCACCTTCGCTCTTTCCTCTCCCAGTACTCCTGGCATTAGCTGCACTGACATCACCCTGGTCAAAGTGCAAATTACATTCTCCCCATCTGTGACGCGTATCTGCGTCCTCATTCTCCCAGCCTTTGACACAGTTGACCATTCCATCCTTTTCCACCACCTATCCTTTCTGCTCTATCTTAACAGTAAGATAAATGATTGTAGATGACCAGTGCAATTGAGAAATAACTACCTGGACCAATTCCAGCTGATTTTGAATTCGCATTCTTCAAATTTTCAGCAAACTTACAGTGAAATGTGACTTTTGCAATTTACATTATTTCACAAAGTTAATTTTCAGCTGATATTAATATGCTGACTGTCACTGACACACGCAGCAGAGAGGAGAAAACATGATAATTTAGAGAAATTATCACCATGGTCCCAATTATGTGTATTTGGATCATTACAACATTCACAGAACGGTGTTCAAAAAATATTTGTGACCTTTGTGAGAAATTGATTTCAAACTTTCAGTTAATTGTTTATTAAAGTGAACAAAAGAGAAACGGAGCAGAACTACTTCCTTTTAGCAAATAACCACTGTGAAGGTCACAGGCATCTTTCAAAGTTCTACTGTTTGAAGTCAGTGATCAATGCAGAGCATTTCCGTAAACCATTGATGGGGAATTGGTTACTATGGATTCAACAAACCCATTTCCTAAGCATTGCAGTTAGTGCCCCTATTCTATAATCTCATAAAGAGTATTCACACCAAACTGAAGGAAAATATGTAAACATACAAGGATCTTTTGTGCCTCGGAAACTGGGCAATGGAAAAGAAACAAAACACATCCTTTTAATTTTCTGAAAATTGGGTCACTGCAGAAGCTGCTTTTCTTAATGCACTGGAGTTTCATAACTTCATTCATTTCAAGATGATTACATAGTGCTCACTAAGTACTTGACATATATTCAGATTTGGGTTTGTCATCATCCAAATGAATAAACTAGCTTAAGATCCACCTGTTTGAATTTTGAAATTTATAGCCGAGTGTAAAGTAATGGCACGGATGATCCCCAGTGACAGATTAACAATTTCAGTTGATTAGCAATAAAACTAATGTGCAGAAATAATCTGCACAAAACTGCACTAGCTGAGCAGATGGACACATGCCTGGATCCAAAGAGGTTTCAAAAAGGATGTCTGCACTGAACACGACAGTTGCCAAAATGTTTAAGAGCACACACTCTGGGTTCCCGAAACCTTGGCTCTTGGCAAACTGTGCCTAATATTCTCCAGAATTAGAAAAGCAAGGTGTATCCCTCCAGGGAGGAATGTCCATTCCATTGCAGGCACGAAATGTCGATATGTATAAACCTCTGTCTGGTTTGGATGCTCCTAAGAATGGTCGGGGGTTTCCACATGTGTCGGAACATGGCTGACCAAAGAAAACTTATACAATTCTGTTCTTTTAAGGAAATAAAAAGAATTAGCTTACAAAGATAAGGAGAAATTTTAATTAAAAAGCTTTCAACTGCACACTAATTACTGAATTTTCCAGAATTGTGCTTGTTCCAAACGGAATTTGGAAAATGCTTGAACCTAAGAATGTCTAATGAATATAAAGAAAGGATCCTATTTGCAATGCAGTTTTCAGACAAGTTAGTCATTGATGAATTAATTATCTTTTCAACAATTGAAGTGCAATGTCATAACAAATTATTACAGACTATACATGCCTCATTCTCCCAAGAAATAGCTTATTTGTAGAAGTAAGTTTGTTTTAGCAATGAAGAGAAAAGTAAATGCATTCTCTGACCCATTATCTTCAAACACACATGGCCATTATTTCTGTGGGACATTGATTATTTCTGCACAGCAGTGCCAACATCAAATCATACAGCAATTTGCCAGAACTGAGAGGTGAAATCAGTTCAATGGTGGCATTTAAAACTGATGTTTATGCACTTATTTTTCTGCTTTCCTTCATTTTCAGTACATTCTCTTTCATCTTTAGTAAACCTTGTTTGATTTAAGATGTTAATAAGTGCAAAGAAATTAAATTGGAGTCCTGTAGCTTAGTGGTTAGAGCACTGGCCTCGCAAGCGAGAGACCTGGGTTAAATTCCGGCAGGGCGAAACCTTGGGCAAGTATCCTTACTCCACACGCCTGATAATACTCCCTCAAGACCTTGCATTTGATATGGCATCTTATCAGGGCTTTGAGACGTCTCAAAGTGCTTCACAAAATATACTGTAAAGTGATTTGACTGTATTTTGTGGGTGAAATTTGGCAGCCAATAGCAGTTCCCACAAACAGTGGTGGATTAAATTTTTAAATTTTTTTGATTAATATGTTTAAAGGAAGAGGTAATGGTACAATAACATTATAAATTCAGTGGAACTAAATAATTTTTTTCTGTTCAAATTATAAGGGGTTGATAAAAGTTAGATCCATTTAAAAAAAAATGCAAACCCAACAAGTTTACTTGAACACAAGTCTTTGTGAAGCATACTTTCCATTTGTAATTCTATAATCTTTTTTATATATGTCATATTGTCAAAGTAAATGTCAGCGTTTGACTTTTTGTTACATTTATAATTTCTCCAATCCAGTAATGTGTCTTTCTATTTCATTGTAATTCTACCGACTAATTCATTCTCCTATTATTAGGCTTTTTGTAAGGTGTCAGTAAGCACTTGCCCTCCACCCTTAGCCATTCTTCAAAATCATTAATCTGTCAGTTTTATGGTTCGTTTGCTGAGTCGATGAACACTTCTTAAATCATGTAAAGTTTAATTGAAATGCTGCCATTGCCTTTCTCAAATCTTTGACCTTCCACTTTCATAATTCTGCCTTTCATTTCGTCAATGCATTTACTTTCGAATGACTGTACAACAGCATACAATGAAACAAAATCCAATATCCTACATAATTATTAATCATACAAAAAGACTGCTTTTTAAACTTGATTTAATGTTTCCTTTATTATGGAAAATTCTTCAGTATTCTTGTTAAACACAGTTCTTTGCTACTTCTAATTTTAATTCGCAATCGATTCACTCTTAGTAGAATTCAATAAACATTGTAGTTTGACTTGCTACCTTGTTAAAGACTTCGCCACAAAATCCCAATCTTACAGGTTGTTGTGACCCTGAAAATAAAATTCAAGCTAATTTTGAAAGTTTGAATGCTTTGAAAATGTTTTGGCTTCTTGTTTCCATGTGGCAAGAATATGGACTCCAGCAGTGCCCCAAAGCGCACTCTGGGGTCTCCAAGCCTGGTCTCTTTCCAACCTGTGCCTAATACTTTCCGGAATTAGGGAAGCAGGAGGTGTCCCTCCAGGGAGAGAGAGCGCATTCCATTCCAACAATCTATCTCTGGGATTTCCGTATGTAGGTGGGATGCATGGAAATCCCAGCTTGGTTTGGATACTCTTAAGCGTAGTGATGGGTTTCCACATGTGTCAGAAACCTGACTGACCAACAAAAAAATCTAAAGGAAGGTTATCCAATGTGGACATGTCTAGTACATCTGCTCACAACATAGGCATGGGCCTGAGAGCAGTTAGCTAGCCTACCTGCTCTTTTATGTCAGATTGCCCTGTGGCACAGGAATATTGAAAGAGAGATAAAATGTATTGAATAGTTTTTAAATAATGGGAAGAGAAGTCAAACCAGAAGCTGTTCCTGTTCTATGTGTGAAATTGAACCACAAACATATTTCTGGCTGCTTTTTCAGTTCCAGAAATGTATTGTATTCACGGCTGACATTTAAAAAAAACACAATTACAGTGTGTTATAGTCCAAGTTGAGTAATGTTGCAATTTTTCTCTTTTTTTCCCATTTTGGGAATGGCAATTTGCTTATTAACAACCATCGTGCTTTGGTTATACATGAGTGCAAATGTCTGTGGCCAGACACACCGCTTGAGTGCGTAATCTCTGGGAACAGGACGCTACAAAATCTTGAGGAAAAACAATGCAACCTCCACAAGCTTCACAGCCAAACTGCCGAATGTTATCAGCAGCGCAACAGATACAGGGGTTTGTGGTTGCTTCATATTGAAATGTATTTAAAATGTATTGACTTGATCAACAATCAAACTTCCATGTCCAAAACAATTTCAAAGTGTGCAGATCACATTTCATCCAGCAATGTGAAAACAAAATTTTAATAAAAGATAACCAATGGTTCAAGAGAAACCATGTAGCATAGACAGTTTATAAAATTAATGCACGTTAACTAATAATTGATAATATTAAATTTCAGAGCTAAATTGCACTGTCA